GCTCTATTTTGAACCAATTGAAGTATCCGGACCGTCTTCAAGGGTAGCCCCATGTAGAGCGCGTTACAGACGTCAAGGCGGGAAGTCACCAACGCGTGCATCACTGTCGCCAGGTGCTATGCAGTCCCTGTCTCTGCCCAGTTTACCATCCTGAGTCACGGATGCAGAGGCAGAACACTGGACAGTACAGCAAAGCCCTGTGACTTCTGACTGCTGGGTTGCAGTGCTCTTGAATGCAGTTTTAAGCAGTGCACAACATGACCTGTTTTCTCAGCCAGAAGACCATGGCTTCATGGTATACTGTAATTGGTTTGGACTGTATATAGATGCCATGGTGACAAAGAAAGGGGTTTTAAATGTGAGTCATGTATTGCTGTCAAGGGACAGGAGTTAGGTATTAGAGTGTTGCTTTATAGTGGTGTCATGGCAACACAGTGCATTGACACATTGCCTGGTTGGCTGTGATAGTATGTATGCATCCTCTGTCATTTTGCTGCAAGTTCAGTCTCAACTTGATGAAGAATATTTCAGTTAACAATGCCAGCACTGAAGTGATGCACAGCCCCAGGGTTGCAAGATTGCAGTGGAGCTTGATTTTTATTCCACCTTATGTGAAGTATAGGGGTGATCGACGTGTCTCTTACGCAAGCTCCTAATGCCAGAAATCAAAAGGGCATTATGCAGAGATTCTGCCGCCTTTTCCCTCCAAAATGGATTTTCTGTATTGAGGCAAAAAACAGGAAAAATTGTGGGAAACCATGGGAGGGTCATGAGTAGCTGACTTCATCTGGATACCCCATAAATTAAAAGCCTCTTTTGGAAACACCATGTGTTGCTTTGAGTCTCCTTCTTTCCTTCCGTATTTATTTATTTATTACATTTTTATACTGCCCTATAGCCCATTTGGCCTCTCTGGGGGGTTTACAATTTAAAAACATAAATAACAAAACAACAATCAAAGCGAATAAACAAAAACAACAATACCAGTACTGTATAGGAAAAGTTGGCAACCTACAACACTTAAGATAGAATTAGTGCACAGCATAGCAGTTAAGATAATAAAAACATATCTATCAACATATTTGGAAAAGAAATATTTTCAAGAAATATTTCTTGGAAAAGAAAAAAATCTTGTCTGCATCACTATCTGAGCCAATGTTCACCAGAGCCTCAAAATCTGCTTCTGGTGCTGGATGTCAGCCTTGAGGTATGTGCCATAATAATGGGTTTAAGATGTGCAATTTGTTTTCACACTAACTAACCACTCCCTTTATGGGTCTGGGACTAGCAAGATAAAAGTGTAATTTTCAGGCAAGAGTTGGGGCCTGGGGCCTCTTACATAGGAAGAAGTGGAAGATACAGTTGTCCATTTTACTAGATTAGCACATAACGTAAATATCACAGCCATGTGGGACTTTCGCAATTGACACAGATCAGACACAGAAATCTTTTGACTTTTATCAGCCACCTTTTCCCATTACTTGTTCACTCAAGCTAAATTTAAAGTCAGCAATTTTGACTGGAATGATTAGCTCATTCCAAGCCTCATTATTATCATCATCATCATCATCATCATCATCATCATCATCATCATCATCATAACATTTCTGTATGAGTACAGTTGAGTATTTCTCTTGCAAAGACCTGAGGGAGAAATAAGGCTTACTGGTTTGCCCAGGCCATGATATTACTGCAATGCAAGGGAGGGTGTTGGGGAGAAATATAGTGTTGTCAGAATCTGGGGCGACTGAAAGCTGGAGACAGTTACTAGGCAACAGCCATACCATGGGACATAAGCAAGCAAAGAACTCGTAGTTCCCTCAGCAGCTCAGGCTCTGTGTGTGTGTGTGTGTGTGTGTGTGTGTAAGAGAGGGAGAGAGGAAGGGAGGAAGGAAGTGAAAGTGTGGTGAATGTGTAGCTTCATGTCATGAATGGCATACAGGTGAGAAAGTGGCTGTATTTTCAGAGAATAGGGGACCATTTGCTCACACAGGTTTTTAATCTCCTGCAAACAGTCCCACTAAGCATTGTTGAGGCAAAGATTAAAAGGTTCTAAGTCTGCCATTCAGCTATGAAATTCAGTAGGTGGCCTCGGGCAAGCAAGTCACACCATCTTGCTACTTGTGAAGACAGAATGAGAAAACACTGTCTAAGTCACCCTGAGCTTGCTAGATGAAAGGCCACTGGTACAGCTCAGGCACTGGGCTTAATGGTTTTACAGGGAAGCCCTTTTTTACATGGTAATGTCATATGTCTTCTGTGGGATGGACAGAGTGCTGAGTCTCTGTGTTCTTCCTGCCCTTGATTGGATGCCTGCAATCCTCTGAGCTCGGGGATATGGGCAGTCACCATGGCTGCTGCTTTAAAGAAGTCATACCAGCCCCATAGAAGTAGGTTCCATATTCACAAGTGCTGGATTCAGAGGTCTTCCTGTAGACTCTGTTCCAAAGTCTGCAGAATGTAAGGGATAACAGAAGTAAGGGGTCCATCTTGGAATGTATCTGATGAAGAGGGTTTCTCTGTGGAGGAAGATATTTGGGGGGCTGGAATGCAGGTCCCAAGTTTAGATGCCTTGTCTCAAAATATTCATATGTGAGAAGTTTATAAAACACATGGCCATTGTGATATTTCAACACATTTGTCTTCCCTTCATGCTCACAGTATACATTCATGGTAAAGGGAGGGAATACATGTGCGGGCATAATAAGGTGGTGAGATCTCACAAAAGTTTTTTATGTGATAATATAATTGGAAGATATTTGTGACACTGACCCTACCTACCGCAATTGATTTGGAGTTTGTTCTCTTCGTATTAACTTTGGCACCACCTGCTCTTCCCTTATCAACAATGATAAATACATCTGCAGCCTCTGTTTCTGACTCATATTTGTCCCTGCTAATGAGGGTGATCTGTTTATAAGTAGAGAGGTTAGTTGTTACTGTTGTTGGTGAACCATATATTTTGCCTGAAAAACTTGAACTTTCGTCTTTTTCTTTTGGATTCCAATGCTGTAAATACCATTCTCATGGCTACATGAGATCTTTCTACCAGTGCTCGTGGAGATCAAGGTGTGGAGATATTTTCCTGCTCACACGTGGAACTTTGCCATCACATTGTACCTTGCAGAAATCCATAAGGATGGTATGTCGCCTGCCTTCTCTGTTCCAAAGAAAATTAAAAACCACTCTTTGCCTCCTCTTGCTTTTGGCTGTCCTGGTACACATGGTGTTGGACTTAACACTACCAACTGGTTATGCTTCCTGCAGATACACCTCAAAAGTAATGGATTTCCTGGGACTCCAATCACTCAGTCCTGTATCATCTGCCCAGAATAAGCTGAACTCCAGAATTCTTCAAGGTTTCAGTAGCAGCAACAGGTCCCTGGGGAAAGGATTTCACCCTCTGAAAGGTGTACCACATGCAGATGGCAAGAGAGTCATGTCCTTCCAAAATCACAGCTTGAAGCAGCAAGTTGTAGAAGAAAAGCCAAACGGAACAAGCATCTCCAAACTGGCTGCTCTCTTTGATCATCCTCTCTATAAGATTCCAGTTCCAAAGATTGCAAAGAAAGACAAACTGTTTGGCACCAAGCCAAAGATAAGGCTCTTCATCAGAAGTAGTCAAAGTGATGAAAGGTGAGAGAGCCTCTTCTTTTCCCAGTACAGTTTGAAGGGCCACCCCATGAGACATACATCTTCAGGGATAGAACTGTGTGTGTTCCTTTATATGCATGTCATACAAATAAGTATTTCATTTTTCCCTTCACTGTTCTAGAAGAACCAGTAGATTGTGGGGATATGAGGCCAACCCTGAGTTTGTGTTCTGTCAGTAACATAACCTTATGCTTCCAGTGCCTCATATTGCAACTAATTGGATATTTTGCAAGTTGTAGATATGGCAACTTCAATCTAGTGTTGGTTTGGGGCTTAAGGAAGAATCAATGCTAGGAATATATGGCAACTAGTACAGGAAGAGTTATAAACACTGCTTAAAAGTATATATATTATAGACAGTACTGTATTTTATATTTTAACTGTTTTAAAATGACATTTTAGTTTTTTAACTGGTTGTAATCATGCAGAGAAGATTGATTATTAGGTGAATTAGAAATATACCAAATAAATAACAGCTATGAACACATGGTAAAGAAAGCATACTGAAATAAAATGGTGGCAAAACAGTGGTGAAAGCATTCAGTATCATGAGGTTCAGAAGAAAGTACACTTTAGCTATGAGCAACTGTGATTTAATAGTACAAAGTATTTACATAGTCTCAGGTTTTGGCCTCAGTGCTCTCAGACAATTTAGATTTCTGTTTGTAGTGAGCTTGTTTTGAGAACATTTCTGAATTAAACCAGGAGTGCATAATCTGCAATCCACAAACTAAGTGCGGCCTGCAGAGCTACTGGATTGGTTTCTATCTGTCTCTTCACTGACTAGCTGGATCAAGGGAAGAGCCTTCCAGCAAGAGTTGGGAAAGAACACATTGAAAAAGTTAGGTCTCACTGGCTCCATGCTTTCAGAATCTTCCTCTGCCCTGCTGCTCACCTGTTCAGTGAATATCAGCTGCTGTAACTCCATCTTGTCACACAGGAGTCCTATTTTAGCTGCATAATTGTACTGACCTGACACCTGTGTTTGCAATGAATACATATGGCTACATGATGAACATACAAAGTATCCTTCTTCCCCTGTGTTGTGGTGATTTGCAGGAGCAACAGTGATAAGACAAAGTACGATACCAACCCTTCTTGGCTCCAGTTTTATGCCAAGATCAACCGCCATGAACTCTATGCCCGCCATGATCCCTCTGTCCATGCCTTGATGGAGGATTTGGCCACACAGAAAATTGTCAGCTCAGGTACTGTAAGTTACATTCAGATTGTTTAAGCGTGCTTCTTCTAATCTGCTTCTCTTCACTTTATCTTGTCCCTTTCCCCCCTTCTCCCTTTGAATCTTCTTTTTTCTACCTCTAGGCTCTACACCTGGCCAGTTAAACCTTCCTGAGGGAAATTATGGGATGACAGTGGAGTTGCTTCTTGGAATGTTCTTCTTCAGTTCTGCTCAAGGGAGGCTTAGTTAATGTTATACATGCCGACAAAGAGATCAAGCTTTCTTTTTTGCTCCCTCCTGAATGGGAGAAATAGGGACTTGAAATAAGCAGATTCTTCCCAATGTCATTGCAGTCCAAAAGCCTGGAGGGACCCAACTGAAGCTGGTGATGACCTATCCCAATCATGGGCAAGCTCTCTTCAAACCCATGAAGTGAGTAAGGTACTTTGGATAGCGCTGTACTAACATCCAGGACATATGCTGCTTTTCATATATTGCAACTATCCTCTTTGATGGCTTCCACTTGTGAAACAGTGCCTAGAAGTTTGCACTCTGTGAGTTAATTAATGGCTAGAGCTTTTGTCTAGGCTAGAGCCCTGCATTCCCATCTCTGCCTTAGGAGTACTGTAAAATCAAGGCTTGCATTTGAGGTTGTGTTAAACAAACACCTGTGCAGAAATTATATGAAACCTTCCATAATTATAGGTACATCACTGGGAATCATTTGCCACCGCAATTTCTCCCCTACTGCATGATACCCAGTACAGCTGGTTGAAAGAGGTCTTTTCCTCTTTATTATTGAGCCCTTTGTAGGAAAAAGGCAGGATATAAATCGAAAAATAAATAAATAAATAAAAAATTATTCCGGTTCCTCAGGTTCACAGCCAAGCTCTGTCCTATTCTCAATGACAATAGAGTAGCTTTCCTTCCGTAAGTTCAGGTGATGAATAATGCAGCCACTCCTGTTCAATATGGTATGGAAAAGAAATTTCTCTACCTGTTCCACTGGTATGCACAGCACAAATTATTATTCCACCATTTCTGACTCCCAGATCATAACCTGGATATCTTTTTTACCTTGTACTGAATTTTCCCTTATCTGAAATGCAGCCTTCCAGTCAATAGCAACCCTTGTTTAAGGGTCCAATGGGGGTCCTTAAAATCAGCTTCCATTTGCTGCCAGTGAGGATGCACCAGATTACAGCTTTTTCACCAGATTACAGAAGAAAAACACAGAACATTCTGCTTCAACATCTTTATTGGCACACAGGTCACTAGATGGAACAACTATGTTCTAGGATATCACCCCCCCCCCCAGCAGCCTGTTACTATATAGGATAATCAGTAGGGCTGTCATTTGACCAGAAAAAAACAACTTGGCCCTGTACTTTCAATGATAATCTGATTTGCATGATTTTCATGGCATGGAGTCATAAAAATATCCCACGCAGGTTACTACAGTTCAGACTATAGTTAGAAGCATGACTGCAGTGGGTTTTTTTCAAAATTGGCAAATCTTAGCAATGGAAGGGTCTGGAAAAACAGTTGACATTCCTGGCAGGCAGCAACCCTTTCAAATTGAAAAGCTGAAAAAACATTTCAGTGTCTCAGGTAGAAGCCAGAGATTTCTGAGGGAGTGGAAAGGAAACGTCACATGCCTGTTTCCTAACACTGTGGTCTTGCAGCCCTTGTGGCAGGCATGACGTGGGTGCAATTCTTCGCTGGCCTTCATCTCCACTGGCATTGCAAGCCCTGTCAATGAAAACTGCTTGCACTGCCCATATTGGAGGAACTTCCTTAGCATTGTTGTGGATATTTACTCCATAGTTTTAAGAAAAACAAAATTAACAGTCGTTTAACATAAAATGCATAAAGATGTACGTGGTTAGGTTATACATAATACATGATCTACTGTGGTTAGGCTATAGTTACTATTATCACCTTAGATCGCTTTTAGATTTTGCAGCAAATGGCGAATATACCTTCGAATACTGTTGTCTGTTTTTTTATGGAGAGGTGCGACCTCTGGTGGTGAATGGTGTAAATGCTTGTGGTATGTTACTGAATCAACATACCAACATACCGTTCGAACCAACATTTTTTAAGCCTTACCTATCTCAGTGTGCACTGTGAACACCAGATGCAAAAGATCCATGTGCTTCAGTTCAGCACTGGACAGCTAACAGTTCCAAATAACCCGGTTGCACATTTCCTTGCTCTCTCCCCAGGCAAACCCGAGACCAGGAGACTCCAGAAGACTTCTTTTATTTCTCAGACTTCGAACGACACAATGCAGAAATAGCAGCCTTTCACCTGGACAGGTGAGTCCATCCCAGCTCCCATACTTCAAATACACCTGCTGTATAACATTAGAGTACAGCAGATAGCACAGCGAGTGGTCATAGCTTTGGATGGGAGAGTCCACATTTTGAAAGCAGAAGAGTTTCATCTCTGATAATCATTTACAAAAGAATTCCAGATAGTAGGACAGGGAAAGACTTCTGCCTCAGTCTTTCAAAAATTAGTGCTGATCAGAGTACATCAGTCTTCCCAACTTGGTGCTCTCCAGATGTGAAGGCTACAACTTCCAGCACCCTCTAGTCAGCCATGCTTGAGTCACTCCAATGCAACTGGAGGACATCAGGTTGGGCAGGGCTGCAGAACGCAATAGCAGGGTAGGTAGGCCAGTGGGCTGACTCAGTATGAGGCAGCTCCATTGACAGTGCAGAACAGAGCCATGGTATAGACTAGTTCCAGTTGCTGGAACAAGAACTGGTACAGGACCTGTGGACCTTCAGATGTTGCTAGCTATAATTCTTATCATCTCTGATCACTAGCCATGCTGGTTCAGGCTCATGGGAGTTAAAGTCCAGCAGCATGTCAGGGCCGGGACAGAGCTGTGGCTGTCTTTATCCAAACTGAGTCCTGCCTTGGGTCTCTGAGGTCAAAAGACAGAAGCTAAAGGAAGAGAACCAAAGGGAAAGTACTGATTGATCAGCCAGGCTCTTGAGTTTTATGTCAGGTCTGGTCAATCCAAAGCCTGCCCAATGCTGGGGACATGATGGGTGTCACCACAGAGCACCTTAGACAGTAGAGCCTACCAGTGATGCCTGCCTTGGTGGAATTCTCCTTTAAAAAGCAGCTGGATAGCTGGGAACCCCCATTTAAACTTCCCACAAAGTGAGATGCTACTCCAGAAATTAAAAAGTAGGCAAGGGACCATCAGAGAGACCATTGCTGTGGTCCCTCTTGAACCTGGAACTGGTCCTGGCTGTGCATGAGGTTGCACTCATTTACTTTTGTGCCTGAAAGAGGCTCCAAGGCTTGGATATGCAAAATCCATCCTAGCTCACTAGACTAGGTCCCAGCCTCAGAGCTGGGTAATTACTTCAGAATCATCAAAGAGGATGACAGAAGAGAGCACCTATTCATATACATTTCCCTGTGATAATTTATAGATACACATTTAGAAATAGTTAATGCAGTTTAAATAGAAATACAGGGCATCACACTGTAACGTGGAAGACTGTGACCAGGTGACCCATGTGCCTTGTTCAGTCTTCTCTTCATGTGCTGCTGACAGGTAACTTGAAAGCTCAGCTCTTCCTTCTGATGGTTCTTCATTTTTAAATGGTAATAGGACTGAACAGACCTTCAAAAAAAGGACATCTTCAAAACAGAGGACAGTCCTTTGGTAGCCCTTCAAAGAAAGAACTGTCTGCTGTGAAGGAAGACCCATACCATAATCCCCAACTAGTATCTTGTCAAACAGTGACCAATAAATATATTAGGGAAACCAGAAAAAGGCAGGTATTTTCATCTTTATGAGAAAGATGTTTGTGTGGAATTTCTTCTCTATATCCAGAGGGATCATTTTCCGTTCAGTGATGAACAGAAATTGTTTTAGTTTGTTTGCTCTTCTTTTCTGGGAGGATCCTGGATTTTCGGAGGATTCCCCCAGTTTCTGGCCGTTTGGTGAATATAATCAAGGAAATCCGGGACATTACAACTGACAGGAAGCTGTTTAAAACTTTCTACATCTCCCCAGGTGAGCACTTTCCCACTTGTTTATACTTCACAACATGGGCGTATGTGGACCCTTGTGACAGTACATCCTGCCCAGACAGTTTGCGCCTGTAAGACAGGTGGTGGAATTCTCTGTCGCAGGGTTGGGTGATGGGCTTTGCTGACCTTTAACCTTTGCTTCCCCCCATTTTGTCTGGGTCAACTCAGCTGGCAATGTCTGCTTCTATGGTGAATGCTCCTACTACTGCTCCCCTGAACATGCTTTGTGTGGTAAACCCGACCGGCTGGAGGGCTCCATGGCAGCCTTCCTGCCTGACCACGAACTGGCTGGACGGCGCTCATGGAGAAATCCCTGGAGGCGTTCTTACTCCAAAACCAAGAAAGCTGTGTGAGTTTGTTTGGGAAGGAAGAAGGGCTGTAATCGCTAAAAGAGGAAGAAGAGGGGGAAAGGAAGATCTGGATGGGGTGGTTAAGTGAGCGGGCTGGAGATGCAAGACTGTCAGTCAGGCATTGTGGAAGGTGTGTCCAGGTTAGCCTTAGGCACTGAGGAAACTGTATAGACCCCTGACAATGCAGCCCCCAACTCAAGGACATATGAGAAGTTCATTTCATTTTGCAAATCGCTCACACTTGCCCCACCCATAATCCCAAACATGAATGGGAGTGGATTGGGCGCATGGGGAGAAATTCAGAAATTCCCAAATCTGCAGTTGCATGAATAATGTACATTTTGAAGAAATTCATTAAAATACAGATTTTCACAATTTATCAATTTGAAAAATGTACAAAATGTACAAAAATGCCTATTCCTCCAGTTCACATGAAAGAAAAACAGGTTGCAAATGAGAACATGAGCAAGATGATCCAAGCTGTGAAGCAGAGTCTGAAGAAGTGAACTTGAATATTCTTGATTCTTCCTACCCAAACTGTTAGTTTGGGTATCCTATCACACATCTCCATATCTGTGTGGCGCCTTCTTGCCTTGCCTTTTATCCACCACTTCCGAGCTCACAAGCTCCCGACGTCGCTGTTCCTTGGAAAGCAGCTATGATGCTGAGAGGCACTAGCTAGCCAGCTGTTCAATGGTTTCTCCAAGAGTTGGGGATAAATTCCCTAGTTGGCCTGTGGGTTGGCTGGTGCTGCTGATGCAAAGAAAGCTGAATGGGGTCTGGATTGTCCACTATGGATGTATCTATGGGATATGGTATAGCGATAGTTTTATGTAAACCTTCTTGGACTTTGTATGATGAAAAACCAGGGAGCAAATGGAGAAGATGAAATACTTAAAAAATATTTAGGTAGGAGTTTAAAGAAGAGGAATATGAATTGCCCTGCTGGCCATAGCATAGCTGCATGCTGATTTGTCATCTGCTGGGAATTATCTCTTAGAAATTAGGACTAATTATGTTTTAAGCTACTAAGCCATGCTGCTTCACAGACTGAAAAGCTTATGCCACAAAATTGCAATACACCCCAAGAAAGATATACAACTCCTGAGGAACTTGCCTTGTTCTGGAACCCTTCCTTCCCTGTAGTTTCAGGGAGCCTAAGCTGAATGTTAACAAGCTGAAAAGAGTAACATTTTCTGTAATCACACCAGTTATGTATTAGCAGAATGCTGGATAAATAGGGCTAAAAGGAAATGAACAGACAGCTCAATGGATGTTGGTTTCTTTCCCCTCATTTGCCTTACAATCACTTTTCATAATTGACTTTTCTAAGGTGGGAGCAGAATGAAGCTTATTGTGCTGAGGTACGAGAGACACCACCCTACAACAGTATTTCCCGCCTGCTCAACCTCATTGACATGACAGTGCTTGACTTCCTCATGGGTAAGCCTGTTCAGGATGTGATACATTTGCGGAAGGGGCCAATGCTTAGGGGCACAGCACATGCTTTGTGCACAGAAGGGCCCAAGTCCAGTCGCCCAGCATCTCTGAATAGGTCCAGAAAAACTTGCAGCTGAAACCCAGGAGAACCATTGCTACCAGTCTGCATCAAGAAGATGGGTCAATATAGGACAGCTCCCTCATTCTAATCTTCAGTTAAAACACAGGTGGGAAACTTCAAGTCCAGGGAGCAAATTCTGCCTTATAGTCCCAGCTCAGCCCCTAGGATTCCTCAGATAGCTTCACCTCTTTTCCCTGCCCCACTACCTCCCCCTTTTTCAGCTTTTGTGCAGTTTATTTCACATCCTAAAACACTAAACCTCTCCTAAGGCTTAACCGCTAGCAGTAAGGTCTTTAAGCTAGTATGCTGTGGGAGTTGTATTCTTGGCCCAATCCCCTTTGTTTTCAGGCCTGCTTACCACTGGATTGCAGTTCCAAGGAACTGCCAAATTAAATCCAGTTCTTAGACAAAGAGGTTCACTACTCCTGGTTTAGAAGGATCCAGCAGGAGGTGATGGGCATGGAGTGGAAAGTCCCTGAAGTCCTGTTGAGCCAGTGTTACTTAGAGCAGACAATATGATGCTAAATGAACCAGTAGTCTGACCTGGTGTAAGGTAGCTTTCTATATCCCCTAAAGGGTTCCTCTTTCCTTTGCCAGTCTAGATCTTTTAGCATGGATTGCAATAGAGTTTGGCTCCACACTTCTTATTCTTAGAGCACACAACTCAATAGCAACTGAGAGTTCTCGAAGATCAAATTCTGCATTCAATACCTCTACATTTGTGCCCATCCAGCAACTCTGTCAGATCAGACTCTTTTGCTTTGCATTGTGATAAGATCTATGATTAGAACTTGACCATTAAGGTGATTATATTGTATTTCCCATTACCTTTTGCTGTCTCCTGTCAGCTGTTATTGGTCAGAGGTTGGTCTGAAAGATATTTCAGGAACCTTTTACAACTCAGTGCTTGTGTTTAGGGCCCAGCTACGTAATCTTTGACTTTAAGATTTCTATACATAAAACATGTGCAGAGGTCCCACGCTGATAAAGCTATCAGTGTGGGGCCTCTTAAAGGACTGTTGTTGGCCTACTAGTATTCTGATCATGTGTTTTAAAGGGTGTGTTTGCATGTCAAGCTAACCCACTCCTGCAAGGAGCCACAGTGGGCTGGTTGTTATGTGTATAACCCATGATGCACCTGACAGCTGATCAGGCATATCATGAATTGTTCACCACCCCCTTCCCCTTTTGGTTCTCCTGCAGGTATCCAAGTGGGCTTAGCAGCAGGACCAAGTTGTGTGCCCCCCCCCCCCCACATCCAAACCTTAGTCATTGCTAAAGTTGTTTTCTTCATGATTTTTGAAAGTGATAACGATGCAGGCAGAAAATGCCTGATTGTACGGTCCACAAGGAATGTCTGGTCCACAAGCAGCATGAATTTCCCCAAGAGTGAACCCACTCAGTTTGGTGGGGAAAGGAAGAGGGGAACTTAGTTTGGAGTCAGCTGGTCTTGATATGAACAAAAACTAACTTCCCAATTTCTGTCTTATCTTGATGACTGCCTCTTGCTAACAACCTTTAACATAATAATGATTGCCTGATCTGATCAGGCAATGGGAAGGAACAAGGAGAGCCTGATCTGCTGGGAAGGAAAAGGAGAGAGGGTGGGGGAAAGAGATACTGGCCAATGGCAATAGTAATATTTCAAGAAGGACAGCTGTCAGGGCTTTGTGACGCATCTTTTAAATAAGAAATGCAAAAGCTCTCTTCCAGCAAAGCAGTTAAAGGGGTCTAATCAAACATTGTCAGCAATCGTTGTTAACAACCCAACCACTAGGTGGTATAGACATAAAATTATTAGTATTTATTATTATTAGTAGTAGTAGTTGCAACTGACACACTAAGATGTGTCACAAAATCCTTCAGGAATGCAGTTTTAGAAGGTGGAGGGGGGACGCAGCAGGGGGCAGGTCACGTGAGTTTAGAACCTGCAGGAAGAATTTGAGAGGGAAACGGAAAAGGGGCAGGCAGGGAAACGGTCAAGCACATGGGCCCTCACCCACCCCATGCTTTCCCTGTAAATCATGATCAGAGCTTTACATGTGTTTACATTGAACAGCTATACTCTAATGCAGTTGTCTTGGAGTAAATCCCACTGAAATCAATGACACTTCCTTCCAAGTAGAGATGTATAAAATAGCTTTGTAAAAATAGTTTTACATTATGCTGATGTTTGCTCTTGTGTCAGTTTCTAACTGTATTGTTTTGATACTGAGTTTTTATTGCTGTTGCTGCCCGCCAGCTCCAGTCCTCATTGGGAACATATGGATTAGAAACCAAAATTTGTAGTTATAAATTTCTAATAATGCTGTAAATTGTATGAGTGGCAATTCTATTTTGCATGTTATATAACTGATATAGTCACATTTTTCCTGCTTCTTTTAATGTGAGAACTCCCCCTTTAACAACACACATATTTTACCATTTCCTGGCTGCCTCCTTCTAAGAATTTTCAAAATATAAGCAGAGATACTCATATCAAAATTGGTCCTGTACGATTTCTCTCCACTTTTTCACTAAGTGTTGTGCAGTATATTCTGCAGGTTATGAAAGCAAGCATGGCTCTAGTGGCACAGAGCCCTCTAGTGGGCACACGGCACTATTGCACATTTACAAAGCAAGTCATGCAGATCCACAGGAAAAATACCCAAATCCATGGTGTGGCTACCACTCCCTTTACTAGGAACAATCAAATATGCACAAAATTGTGGAAAAGCTTTTGAGATCTCAAGACCTCTTCATTGTCACAAACACAGTGGGTTCTATTGGGGGGGGTGGCACTTATATGTGTCTATAATGCACACATAATAGCCAGAAATAAATTTCTAAATCTAAAAATGCACACTAGAGGATTGCTTATTATCCCATCCATTTGAAAGTGGTAGGGTATTTCTCTGTTTAAACTTGTACAAGATTGCACCATTAATTGATCAGCATTCCTTTATGTAGGTTGTAGCCTAAATTGTTATTGATGTTCAGTAGCATCATTTCATACATTATTTGAATGATTAACATTTGATGCTGTGTTACTGGGAAACAGTTCTGCAATCTGGAACATCTGTAGGGCAGCAGGCTAAGGAAGGCACATGGAAAGTGTGTCTTCTCCCCCAGGTCAGGGCACCAGCTGTTCACATAGACTGCAGCCCTCTCTGTACCCTACCCCATTCTGTTCCAGAGGGTCCTCCAACCCTCAGGAGCAGTCTTCAGGGACAGAGAGTTTAACAGGAGAAGGCTGCCTCTACTGGTGTAAGTGGGAGCAACTTCTGCTAAGAAATAGAACCAATTTCCTAGCGAGGATGTGAGCTCTCCCACATTAGAGGCGTTCAAGATGCAACTGGACAGCCTTCTGAGAGAGATGGTTTAACTTGGTGTCTGCACTGAGAGGGTTGGATCCAGTAGCCTTCTGGTCCCTTCCAACTCTACCATTCAATGATTCTATGAAGGGTGAACTACCTGCAGCCCTCCAATTGTTGTTGGACTGAAGTTCCACCAATCCCAGTCGATATGATCAGTGAAACCTGATAACATATGGATGTCATGTTTACATTTACGGCAGAGCCATCTCCAGATTCAACCCTATGGGTTTTTGGTATCTAATACTTACCTTGGTACTGAGCTTTGGCGATTGGACACTGTAAAATACAATGTATAAATGAATACTTGTACCTTCTAACATGTCATCTGAGATGTTTTTAAGTGTTGATGTGCATGTGTCCTATTCCTCAGCCAGCATGCATAAGACTATGCTCTAAAGCTGATTATTTATTTAGTATTTGCTCTGATCAGTTTTCTGTCCCTGCTGTCTTAATTTTTTGGTGTTGTAAGCCATCCTGAAAGTTGTTAAAACAGAAAGGTGGCATACACATATTTTAAATAAATAACATAGAGACAGTCTACAGTTTCTCGCCTATTACATTTCCATGTTTCAAAGGATTTTGAAGTGGAGGTGCTTTTTCACACAAACATTCTCCCATTCACATCTGCACTTTTGAATTGAGTCCAGGACTACATCTATACTACAACTTCCAGACTTATTTTTGTCAACTGTCATATCCTCCTCAAGAAATTCTGGGGACTGTAGTCTTCCAAAAAAGCTAAGTACCAAGAATACCTAGCGATAGCAAAGGATTCTCAGAGTTCTAAAAGCACTTGTTTTCAGAGTTCTTTGAAGGAAGCCATGCCAATCAAGCCCATTAAAACCCTGCAGAATTTTGTAGTGTAGGCATGTTCTTTCTCTCCTTGCAATTACTTTTGTCCCACTTAATAGCCCATGATTACTTCTGCTCCATCTAATAGCTTTCAGTTTGCTCCCACTGACCCATGAATGGCTAGCCTTTTTGTTTCATCTCTGTGCTGAGGGTAGTCCAAGGAATATGAGAGGAAAAAATGTTGGGCTTTCTCTCTGATCTGAAGCACATGTACCATCATAAACCTTTCCGGACCATATTACTTCTTTCAAGCCTAACTTCATTCATTATACTTATGATGTTGCATGGACAATGTTAGTTCACACCTTCTGTTCTAAGCATTTATTTGCTGGCTAAGAAAGTAAATAATAGCATCTAGTCAATACAGTCATGCTTTTGGATTCAATTCTACAAGCACTAAGCAGGGAATAAGCCCCGTTGAACAGAGGGGTATTTACTGCTGAGTAAAGATGCATATGAGTGTGCTATTTTTTTCTGTTCTGCCCTTCCACTGGTTTTCATTTTCTGCTTGCATGCCCTTTTCTTGCAGATAAATTTGTTCCAGATCAAGATCAGTCAAGTGCCACCAGTTGGACAATAGAGGCACCCCATTTGGGGTATTTTGTGTTCGACTATTTTCTTGGATGCTTTTTTTTTTTTTATGGCTTTTGCTAATCTCCCACATTTCCAACTGCTATTGAGAACCCATTCCTAGAGTCAAAAAGCTGTAACCTCTGATCTCAGGAGTTCAGCTTTTGTCTTCCTCTGGGAAAAAGTGGACAATAGTCAGAGATTTACAAAACTGATTTGTTGGTGCCCAGCCTGAGAGGTCTTGAAGGGGCCTGATTGTTAAAAAGTGCTGAGTGGGTGTCATGAAAATCGGACTCTTCTGAGGTGTTCCAAGCAGGGCACTCAAGTATCTCCTGTTTATTGTATCAAAGTAATACTCAAAACTGCAGCTAAGGTTTCCAGGGGGCAACCTTCTGGCTTCAGGACATCATTTGGAGGGCCACAGGATAATTCAGATTCCCAGATCTGAGATGAAGACCAAGATCTGACCTTTCAATGGTCAGTCTGTGCTCCTATCTCCCTCCCTGTCCTTGCAGTTGGCATGGCAAGAACCATGCTGGCTTCCTCTTCAAGGTCAGAAAATCAACTTCAAAAGAAGGGTAAAGGGGACATTTGGGGGTGGGGAAAGGAGAAGACTATTAGCACCAGGATATAGCTATCCTGGCATGGTTCTTGTCCCCACCTCCCACCCCCAAGACTGAAAAGGTGCAGGGAGATGAAAATTCCTTGTAAGCCTCCAGGGGCTTACAAGCATGAAAGATGTGACACTTGGGATTTCACCCTAAGCTTTCCATTTCGGTTCACAAATCTGTGGGTTCCATTCCTCAGTGACTTGATTCCCACGTAGTCTTGTCTCTTTCAAATAGACACATTAAAAATCCCTGTACACTTTTCCAAAAATTTGCATGCTCCTACACTCCAGGCCATTAATTTCAGTCCTGTTCAAAATGTTAGCCCAGACTTTGGGTGATGTGTGATTGATGTTTGAGTGCCAAAGTCTGAACATTGACAGAGACCCAGTGCCAGCAGGTATCTCTTTCCTGTGCCCACTGTGTCCTGAAATAATGTAAAACAGAAAATCTTATGATCATTATCTGCATAAAGTAACTTGCTAGAGGAAGTTATTAATAACTGGTGGTATTAATATCTTAATATATTCCTCTGTCCCTATAGTCTATGATGAAACTTAAAATTTATATCAACCAATCATGGTCTCTAGTGTAGCCTAAACTGCCTTCGTACCAAATTTCTCATTTCATTTTAAGATTAAGATGCCTTTGAAGATGGTTTGCAATCTGAAGCAGTCCAAAATGTGATGGCCACACTGATAGCAGGGACAAGAAGTTCTGAACAGATAATACTCATTATCCCAATTCAATTAAATGGTTTTAACCTGTAAAGCCTTACAAGGGTCAGAACCACAAGACCTGGTGGAGGGCCTCTCCCAGTGTGAACTTACTTGTATTTTATGTTCATAATCCAAGACCCTTCTCCAAGTGCCTTCTCCAAGGAAGGCTGAGGATGGCAACAAGGGAGAGGACCTTCTCAGTAGCAGCCCCCAATTGTGTAACTTTCTCCAGTGCAGGCTACCTGGTGTCAACATTGTCCCCTTTTGGTACTAGCTTAAAGCCCAGAGAGCTTTGGCTTTTGGCAGTATAGAAATCTGAGATAGGATAGATTGCCAGACAGCAGACAAACAGGCATTCCCAAGCATTTAGCAGAATATTGTAAGTTTTGTAATGGATCTTGGGGTTTTCTGTTGTTTTTAAATTGCTGTTTTTTTGTACATTGGTTTTATATTATGTATTGGGGCGGGGGAGGTGTCAGGTGTCAGTCTGTATAAACTACCCAGAAAGCTTTGACTGTAGGGCTGTTAGAAATGTAATAACAAAACAAGATGAAAGTACTACTCCTTTCTGAAGACTATGGCTTTTCCATCTGACTCAGCAACATTTTTTCCTTGACATCTGATGACATGCTTTAATGAACCCAAAAGCTTGTTCGCTTCTTATAAAAGTCATATTCTACTGTTTGTACTTATGGATATTGTCTATATAGTATTTTGTTTTGGTGGTCTTGAAATTAATTGTTTCAGTGGTCTTGAAATTCATACCCTTCTATTTGGAGGTCCTCAGTGTGGTCTCCTCTTCTTTAGCACTCCTTTCTCTCCCCACTCTTTCTTTTACTAACTTCAGCCTCTCCTGTCATTCGTACCTTTCTCTGCAGGAAACATGGACCGTCACCACTATGAGACATTTGAAAAGTTTGGCAATAAGACTTTTCTGCTGCATCTGGACAATGGCCGAGGGTGAGTACAATGTGTGTCCCTGTGGATGGCAAAGAACTCTGAGAAGCTTTTGCGCCTTGTTGTGCATCTCTGAAGAAAGGGCTACATGCTTTCCTGCTTAAATTTAATCCTAGATTATTTTCTGGGACTGGACTTTTTAATGTAGGAACTTAGAAAGGCAAGGAATTGAAGCAGGAAAGAGCTGGATCCAAGATTGTTCTGTGATAGGTTCACACTGAACCCCTCTCTGAGGTCTGTGCACACAGCAGCTATTTCTTGAGAATGCCAAAAAAAGACCTGATGGGTGAAGCAGATGGCACCACTTATTCTCAAAAGCGTTGACTTCTCCCCAGTTCATTTAGGTATAACCTTGCATGAATTGAAGAATATGGTACTCTAGTTTGTGATATTTTCAGAATTATTTTTAAAGCTACAAGTCCATACTTGACAATTTTCAGGAGGAAAAAAATAATGGAACTGCATGAATGTTTTCTACTGTCATGGGAACAGGGTCTTTCCATACCCTGTTGCCTTCCACTATCCATCCCTGATACATTTTTAAGGTTTTGTGGGGAGAAGATAATTGTCACGAGAGAGCTAGAGAGAACACAGCTGTCTGCTTGACACCTCCCCCTGCACAATGGTCGTCTCTCCTAAAATATTGAACTTGTACAGGGAAAGTCAACTTTTCAACAGGATAATGGAGGGGCTGTATGCAAATTTATCTTAGTTACAAAATTAATTCCAGTTGGAACTTTGAAACTTTTACATCTCAGAATAAACATTTCTAATGGCCCAATGTATTAGTTTCACCCAAAAATAAATGGCATGTGTTTCTTTTTTTCTATTCAGGTTTGGGAGACATTCCCATGATGAAATGTCCATTCTCGTTCCTCTCCGGCAGTGTTGCATGTAAGGACTATTTCCCCACTCTTCTACTTCGGCTTCTCAAAAGCCAGCTCTCCCTTCCTTGTGCACTGGGGCCTAATAAAATCCTAGCCTGCATGGCAATTAAGCTTCTGCCCTCAGTTCATGGGACATAATGGCCATTATGTAGGTTAATCTTGAGGGATAGACTATTGGACTTGATGACCTTTTGCACTGTCCCATCTCTCTAATTCCATGAACTGGCTCTCTTCCCAACTATTTGGCATATGCAAGCCTAAGCCAACTCTCAGATAACAGAGTGAGACAGAGCACAATTGGGCAAGCAGACTCATTTCTGCCAGAAACTATCTGAAATGCACATTCTCAGAGTGTAGAGGAGACCTAGCCAACCAGCATGTCCCCTTCCCCATGATGCAGGAAGATGAATGTGTTGGTGAATCAGGAACTTTTTCTGCATATTAGGTAAGGTTGGCCCAGATTAGTAAAGCAAACGAATTATGCAATTTTTCCAGAAATCCTGTGACATTATACCATTTTTTAAAGGTTAGTAAAACACATGGAAGGAATGTGGCAGGAATCCATAATGTTTGTAAGTATTTTTAGCTGATCAGTTCTGTCATCTCCCACCACTGCCCTGATTGGTTCTGATATCTGTAGTCCATGCATTCACTAATTGCAATACTGAACGTGACATTTCTCACATTTCTTTTAATCCTATCTTCCTTGGGTTTACTTTTGTTGATGATTCCAGCATTAAAAAGTCAACGTACTTGCGACTACAACTGCTTGCTAAGGAGCCTTATCGCCTGAGTGATGTTATGCGCGAGTCATTAGCCACTGATCACCTGTCACCAATCTTATCGGAGCCTCATTTGAAGGCACTAGATCGGAGGCTTCAGAAGGTTTTGGCTATGGTGAACCACTGCATGGAGAAAGAAGGAAATGAAGAAGTACTGAAAAATGATCTAAAAGGACAGCACTTTATGATCTCAGAGAAGGAAAGTGATTCAGCATGAAGGAGCCACACACAGTAAGCCTGTAATCTGCACCCCTTATTGTGGCCTCTGCACTCAAGACTTGTCATACTGTTGTGCTGTATGAACATAAATGGGTTGGGGAGAAACCCCATAACAGGCAAGCTTATAATCTGTGGGATTATAAAGAGGGCCACAGAACCTATACAGAATCCATCATAAAGTGTGCACTCCTTAGAATAATTGCATTATAAAGTACTAATATAGTACTAATTAACTGAGTGTAGAAGCGATAACAATTACTGACCTTTTCTGGATTTTTTTTTTAATCTTGATATCATATGTAATATTTGTTAAGATCTGGGAGTTACATTCCACCACATATAGAGGACACCAGGATGAGGAAAGCTGGACTGCAATGGCTTCGGCAAGGGGCGGCATAGAAATGTTTTAATAAACAAACAAACAAACAAAAAAGGAGCATGTCTCCCGCTCCTTTGCTTCCGAGAGCAGTGTACTCGATCAAGGCACTCTCGCATACCTCTCTTGCTTTTGATCTGCGCAGCACGCATAGTTCCTTGGGTTTATAGGAAACTGAGAGGTCTGTTCATCATGGGAAAGTGCCTTCTACTGGGCTGGTGGGCGTGTCCTGGTGGGCCATTGTAGGCTGGTCTCAGGAAGAGGTCTTTCATCATACCCCTGATCCTTTGAACAGGAGCTGCCAAAATGTGAACCTGGGACCTTTGGCATACAAAGTGTACATTCAGCCAAAGAGTTGTATAGTCTTTTGCAGTCAATTCAAACAGTTGCTCGGCATTTTGTTTCCAACAGTGCCCAACTAGATGGAAATAAGATGCACTCTGCAGGTAGAATGTGGGGTGGCATGCAAGCCAAGTCGCCCCAGCATCTCCCCAGCAGCCGAGCATCGGATTAACAGAACACACAGGGGCCATGCGCATGCTTGGAAAGGAGTAGTGGTGCCAGGCGATGATGTCATGAGCCACAGCTCATTAAATTCGTCCGAGCTTTCACGTGGCTGGACAGTGCACTGCCAAGGATATTGCTTGGACTGGCTGTGAGTTGTTTTTTCCAAACTAAAACCTCAGTTTTCAGGTTTTATTGCAGTGTTGGCACCTTGCGATAAATAAGTGGGTTTTGGCTTGTAATTTGGGCACTCTGTCTCTAAAAGGTTCTCCATCACTGCCCTATCCACTTTCTCCACACCATGCATAATTGTGTAGTCTTCTGTTATATGCCTTTCCTCACCTAAACTAAGCAGTTCCAGCCATTGTAACCTTTCCTCATAGGGGAATTTGGTTGCCCTTTTCTGCCCTTTTCTAACTTTATTCCTTTTTAACGGCAGTTACCAAAACTGCACAAATTATTCCACCTGTGGTTGCACGATCAATTTGTATAAGGGCAGTATAATATTGGCAGGGTTTTTTGCAATTCCCTCTCTAGTTATGTCTGAAATGGAATCTGTGTGTGTGTGGGGGGGGGGGGTTGACACTGTGTCAACATTTCATTAAACTGTGAATGTGCATATGTGTGCGCGCATGCACACATACACTAACCATACTCAAGCATAGCTTCCTAGGTTGCTTGCTGTTATTACATGTGATATCAAACATATGCCTGCCCATTGATAAAATGAATATACTTTCTTTGTAGAAATTTTGTAATATACAAAGCTGCTCCCTTATGGAGATACATTTTGGGATATCTGTTTTGGGACCAATCAGTGCCTATCTGGGAAACCCCTTGGGAATCCCATGTACACCTCCCTTAGTTCTATGGAAGAAAAATGGAATATAAGCAGAATCCACAAATGATGATTGGTTAGAATTGGTTCAATGACTGGTAAGGATAGGTTGTCCTTAGAGAAGAACTTAGCCAAGACCATATTGTCTGCTGCATATGTCAGAGTGTTGGTGTTATGATTTTTAAGTTCTGATGCCTGCCAGTTTCTCTTCTGTCTCTCTCATTATTTTCTCCAAATAAAGTCTGAAGCTCCCTAATGAGATAAAGCACCCTTGGCAACAATCTGATTAACAACGAACCAGTCTGCTGTTGCTTATTCAAACCATAACATTGTTTTCTTTGAAAAGACTGTATTGTGCTTACTAATTGTCCCTGCAGGCCTTCCTTTTCAAGTTTCTCCCAGCAGCAGGCTTTATGGAGCCTATAAAGATGAATGAATGTGATGAACATATAAGAAACATGCAGAATTAGATATAGGCAAAATGCCTGATTTCTATTACACTAGCTAAATCATCTCCGTCATGAGATTGAATTGCTGTGAACTGCAGGTTTGAGGGCCTTCCTCAGCAGAGGGCTTATGTGGCAATACAACTACATCTGGAAGTGCCTGGCATTTTCATTTCCACAATGCCCTAGAGCAGTGGTGGCGAACCTATGGCACGTGTACCACAGCAGGCACACTGAGCCCTCTCTGTTGGCACGTGAGCCAGGTCGCCCCAGCAGCCGAGCAGAGGGTAACAGCATACATAGGGGCCATGCACATGCTTGGAAAAGAGTAGTGGTGCCAGGCGATGACATCGTGAGCCACAACGCATTAGCTGCGACTCGTCTGAGCTTTTGCATGGCCGCTCAGTGCACTGCCAAGGATATACTGTGAGTTGTTTTTTCTAAACTAAAACCTGTTTTCAGGTTTTATTGTAGCGTTGGCACTTTGTGATAAATACATGGGTTCTAGGTTGCAGTTTGGGCACTCGGTCTCTAAAAGGTTCACCATCACTGCCCTAGAGTAATGCCATGTTAGGTGCTCCGGGGCACTCTGGGAAATTGAAATGGTGGGTGGCTTCCCAGATCCATCTGCTGCACCATGTGAGTCTCCAGCTGTGGAAATGAACAGGTAGGAAGGCCAAAATATGTATCATTGGTGGTGATGGAGCCAAGGTAAGACATACTGCTAAGTCTGATGGAGACTATAGCGGTTTTTAGGCCCCAGTGACTGCCCAAAAGTGCTGACACTGAACTTTCCTCACATACTTGATCTATCATGCTTTTAATCAATGTGTTTTATCTAAGTTTCCTGTCTATTACAATCTTCTGTAAGACAAGATGACCTTTGCAAGCATCTTCTAATAGAAAACATTCTTGTCCTTTATCCTCCATACATGAAGCAAGGCAGAGCCTTTGGTTCAACATGCAATATATTGCATACCAAAGCCTAATCAGTTTGGCTCAGAGTCATATTGTTCTTCCTTTTCTTTGTTGTTCCCAGAGAATTTACCGACCTGCTTCTGACCATGACAGAAAGGGACCATTTGAATCCCTTTGATTCATTGTATATTGGGTGTACAATCCAACTTTTGAGAAAATGACAGTAGACACATGTATTTTAACATTCTGTTGCTTGGATAATCCTGTTAATCTTAGATAATGAGGTTGCCTGTAACCCTCAAACTTGTGGGATTATAGCCTGATAGAAGTGCAGAGGCAAAGGTTACTTTCATGCTCCTCCTGCCATGCAACACAACTAGATGGCTATTTTTGACTAAGTGTTTGGCCTTGGAATGGATGGGAAGGGGTGTAAGGGCTGCCCAGATATGATGTATGCTGGAGGACCCTGCTTGGCTTTTCCCCTCCCTGTCCCCAAAAGGCACCCTCTGAGGTCATTCTTGCAGCCTTGGAGCTGCAGCCAGTATGGTTCGTCTCATGCTGGCTGCAAAACTGGGGACAGGACTTGAGTTCAGAGTTCTGACCTTGCAGCTGGCACTGTAGAAACCCTTGTAGCCATCTAAACTTTCTCTACTAGCCACAGCATCAAACTGCCCATATTGCAATACCTTAAAGACTAGCACACTGCATAAGCTTTCTTCAACTAGAGTTTCCTTCATCAGATGCAATGGATTACAGAAAAACTTACTTATTCTCAACAGCCTTATAGGAGATTAAGCAAGAGGTGTGTGTGTTGTTAGTTGTAGAATACTTCATTCTGTTTTTAGAATGGGGGAAGATCCCATAGTGTCTGCTGGATTATGCAATCTGATTTATGCAATTAATTTTTTTCCACTGTGAAGTTATTCCAACATCATAAACTGGTAAAGATAATCATCACAGTTTCTCCTTCCCACACTTCTGCAATAGAGGACTACATTGTATTCATTAGCTTGGGATTATAGGATTTTGCATTAAGGATTGTCAAGCTTTTAGTACTGGTAAGAATTAAGAGGTTAGACTATATGCTTTCCAGACACCATTCCAGGACCATTTGTAGAAAGCAAAGAATACTTAACCCTCTAAAGCCATGAATAATTTTTCTTGGTCCTTGACCCTTTACATTCTCCTAAAAAGTATATTTGAAAGTAAAATTATATACATATTAAAATGACAATCCTGTTTATAAACTGCCTTCATTTCAGTATCACAAAGCTGAGAGTTGGTATAATCTCACAGTTCTTTTGGGGGGAGTAGGATGCTTGTCTCCACCATCTCATGTCGAAAGAGTGTAGCTGGGGAGAACAGGGCTATTTAAAACTGTTGCTGCCCTTATTCTTAGACTGTGTTAACTCCATGACATGTGCGTAGGTGCTCTCTCTCCTCCTTCCAGGAAAAGATGGTTACACTGCAGGATTACAAGTACTAAATAAACCTGTCTTGTTCAATGGGGATTAGTGCATATAATTTAGGATTCTAAACAGGAAGCAGAAATGACTGAGCAGTGCATCCGTGTGGTCCAGCTAATAGAGGTCATACTTGGGCCAAGAGATTTTGGTTCAAAATCTGTCATAAGCCTGTTGTGTGACCCTGGAACAGCCAGAGATGTACAAGGTTTCTGTTGTAGTACACAACTCATCATAACTTGCCCCATTTGTTGTGAGCCGCCCCGAGGCTACGGCAAGGGGCGGCATAGAAATGTTTTAATAATAAATAAATAAATAAATAAATAAATAAATTTGCAATGCTGAATAGAAGTATATTCTGGGGGGAACACTCATAGTTTTCTGAATTTGCAATTACATCAAAAATGTTCTTCAGCTTTAGCAAATGGAAGGAAAATGTGTGCTTTTGAAAATTGTGCATGGAAATCCATATTTTACCCATTCGAACAAAAAGAAAAATGGGTTGAAAATGAAAATTGGATTGAGTGGAATTGAGTTTTGAAAGAGAGTTTTAAAAATTTGAGTTTAAATATTCCTGGTTCTCTCATCCCTGGTCTCAGGCTCAGTTCCCCAACTGCTGCAAGGGAACACAGATAGTATCCGCCCAGATAGTACCCCTAACCTGGAACAGTTATTGTCCAACAACAGTGGAGCAGACACAGACAGGAGTGGGCCACAGAGGTAGGGCCAGATAGAACCAGATTCACATGAGGTGCATTTTGAAGAACATCCCAAGGTGTTCATTTGTATGAGCATAAGTTTGCAGAACAGAAAATAATAATTTCCACCATTTTACTGACATATTCAGGGCAGCCAACAGCAAAAACAAAACAAAACAAAAAAAACCAATGATAAAAAAGCAGGTAACAAATTAGCATGGCAAAAATCACAATAAATTCAGGGTAGTCCCAAACATTTGTTGTGCCCTTGCCCTGCCTCATTCATGGAAGAACTTTAGGAGTCCAGCCATTGTTGTTTTCCTACTGTAACCCTCCCATGTTTTTCCACAGCTTTTCCCATCACTTATTTTACTATAGAGAATCCTTTAAGGTGAAAATGATGGGCTAACAGGAAAATGCCTTCTAATTAGTGGCACTAATTAGATTAGTGCACCCCCACTGGAATTAAATGTCTTTCATCCCTGGGGGCAAGAATGACTGATCTCAATCAGGAGTATAGTCCAGAGCTGTGGCATCTGCCCTGGAGAGGCCCTGTCTCTTACATTCATCCAGCAAGTATCTTCTGATGGCCTTGAGCGGAGATCCTGAAGTTGATCTTAAGATGAGCAGCTGGTAGATTTGCAACAGCAAATTCAGAGTTCTTCTGGCTATTTTTTTAAAAACTAAGGTTATGCTTATAATATTGGTTTCCCTAAACAGAGATGCTTTTTTCCCCTATGAGTGAAAATTTGGGTTTGGGCCAGGCAAGCCTTTGCATGATAAGGATTTGAAGGAGGGCTCTGTCGTATCACTTCCCCATGTTGTTTGACAAAACAGCCTGTCCTTTTCATTCGGTTGTGTGTCCAGGTAGCAGCTGCACTGGCCTTGCTCAGCTGCTCCTGATCCTTTTTATTCCTCCCCGCACTGCCCAGGCCTCATGTAATGCTATGGCATTGCCAACACTCTTTTTCTTCTGGTAATGCTCCTATTAAGAGTCATTCATTTTAAAATCTTTGTGACAAAATAGAAATCTAGCTTCAAGAAATCCAGTTTGGTTGTCTCTGCATGCCAGGCAAAATTGTACATTTCTCCTAGTCATGTAACTAAAGGACAAGAGGCCTAGATGAAGAAAGAAAAGAAACTGGCAATCATTCTTTAGGTAAGAATTTCCCTTTTTGTTTCATTTTCACTCCTCCTGAACATATTCACCAGCACTAATTTTTCAGTGCAGGCATCTCATAATGAAGCAGGCTATATTGTTCACTCCGTTGGCAGATTTCATTCCTTCACCCACCCAGTCCCACAAAGTTGCTCACTCCTGGAATTAGTAACGGTCAAGTAGGCTCTGACAAAGCCATCGAGTTGCTCTCAGCAGTTGGTTGCAGTTTGTGCCAGACGGGCACCTCAGGCAGCTCATTCTGGGTGTCCTGAACGGGCAGCAAATGCTTAGCTATTTGTTTTTAGTATTGTACTTTTACAACCAGAGAAGTAGAGAGGTGTGTGGGATTTTCTGCCTCAGGCACCATAATACTTTGTCCAACCTTGAGTATTTGACAACATGACTCTGGAGTGGCACATTCGGTGCTCCCGCTCACACTGCAGAATGTCTTACGCCAGCCCCGAGAATTAGAAATCCAGGATATTCACACAAAATATTTGGTTCATCAGAGAAAGCTTCTGAAAAGTATATCTGGACTGATTCTTAGCAGTAAGGAGCCTTGCAGAGACCATGGCCAAGGAAGGCTGCTCTGTCACTCTGAAAGACCAAATTGGAAGTCCCCATATATCAAAAGCTGACATCTTGTGAAGTGTCTGTCATCTGTAAGAACTATCGTCTAAAGCCAGTGGTTCCTGGTGCTGAAGCACAACCTATACATTTATACAGGGCAAACTGCCCCCTGAGAAATTTGAGTTGACATTGTTACTGTTATATCATGAGGTTGCTTTATTTGTTCTATTTTGATTTACACAAATTGAACCCTATGTGCAACCTTGTATACTTCTGAGTTCCGCAACTGGAAGGACATTTTAAAAACAAACAACTATAGAGCTTGGATAATGGAGAAAAGAGAGAGTTTTATGCTAATCCTGAAGTGCAAAAGTTATTACTTAATTTCTGGAAATATCACTTGATCTTAAGAACCTAAGAAGCTGCTGGATCCCAGCAAAGATCTTTGCAGTCCTACAAGGATGCCCCAGTGGTTAACCTGATGCCCAAAAAGCACCTCCCACTCATGTTTCCCAACAATTCGTATCCAGAGATCTGCTGTTTCTGATACAGAGGTAATATACAGTTACAATGGTGACTAACAGCCATTGATAACCTTCTTCATGAATTTGTCTAATCCCCGTTAATGCCTATCTCCACATTTTGCAGTAATGAATTCCATATTTAACCACGAGCTCGATGAAGATATTCTTCCTTTTCTGTGTCCTACATCTCTCAAAGGTTATACTAATTATCCCAGGTACTAGTATCGTGAGAGGGGTAGAAAAAGACCCAATCCATTTTCTTCTCACAAGACATTTTATTTTCCTTTTATCCATTTTCTTTCCTAATCCAACAAGTCCCCAATGTTATATCCTATCCTCTTAGGAAAGATGCTCGTTTTGCTTCTCTTCTCTCCAGTCTGCTACAAAGTGAGTTATTTTTTATTAACTTTAGGATGCAATCTGTGCAAGTTTTGACAGAAAGGAAGCCCTACAACTCCCACCGCATCTGGCTGATACATAGGACTCTTTTTGTATGTTTATACAAATTAGGGGACTATCCTAAGCAGACAGAAACAAGGGGACTATCCTAAGCATAGACAGAAGCAAGTCCTACAACTGCCAGCATTTCACAGGTAGCACGTTTGTCTTATCACTCAAAAAATGGTTTGTGAATGCCCATTATTAGTAAGGTCATAATGATTATCCTAACTTCCTCCGGTTCATTTCCCTCTGACCACAATTCCATTTTCTCCAGCCAATGCATGTTTCTACAAGGAGGGCTCCTAATGCCACCTAATTAAAGGCATGGTTCCGCTATTTCATCATTTTCTCAATGCATTTTCTGCTATAAATTAAAAAGAAGTGGTGAAAAAACATAGGAAGATATTACAAGTAGAAGACGGGCTTCTCTAGGCAAGGCAATTAATACACTGCATCTACTTTCATTCTGATTGCAGAACTGAGACTGGAGCACTAAAAAATGAGAATTTCCTTCCCCGCTTTTCCATGATATAACTTCTAGGTGGCAGGTGGTACAGCTGACCAGTACAAATACACAAAAAGAAATTGCACTTTCTTTCAATGTCAGGCATAATATTCTATATTTTCTGGTCTAAAAATATTGCCTATTCACAAATGCAACGAAAGCAGAAGGCCATGATGTTTCTAAAGAACTTGTAAACAACTGTGAGCAAGGAATAGCCAGTGCACAACAGATACCCCATGCAGAAAAGCTCAAGGTCATCCGGATCCCACTAACATTTTGTGGATTAGACACAGGGAAAGCATGATAAAAGCTTCATCTGGAAATGTTCCACCTTTTTATATTTTCCTTCTTAATTCTGGATGTTTTCTGGGAGCTGAAGGCAACGTTTTCTGGACTCCCTGTAAATTTCTATGAATGAGACAGAGCAATCGCACCAAAAAAACCCTTGCCTTCAAACAAAACACTTCATGCTCTAACGAAGCGGAACGAAGAAAGCTGATGCCAACGCACATCCGTCCGTTTTCAAGGTGCCACAGGACCCTTTGTTGTTTTTTGCTAACAACACTAACCCGGCAGCCTCCCTGGAAATCGTTGCTCATCTGTACGCGCTCGCCTCTGCTTACATGACAAATGCGAGAGTGGGGGCAGCCGCGCGGATTCTGCTGCCGCTGCCGCGCAGAACTAAGCAACCAAGAGCTGCGCGCGGCATAAACTTTGGCGCTGTTCTTTTGGGGGTTTCGGTTTCCGCCGCGGCCGCTCCACCCGCAAATGGCTAGCCTGAAACCGAGGCTCCAGCTTTTCCCCCAACGGCCTCTTTCCCTCCCTCGCTTTCTGGATCATCCTCCAGGGGCGGAGCCAAGCCCTGCCGCAGCTTAACCCGCTGTCGAGGCCGATCCCTTACGCAACCGGACCGCCAAGCCCAGAAAAGGAACTGGCGAGAAGGCAACAAGAGAGGAGGGGGATAAGCGTGCTTTTTGTTCAAACCAGCCAATGGGCACGAGGCGTTGAGAGACTGACAGCTCGGGTCAGGTGCGGCTCCTGCCAATAAGCTACTGTTTGCGGGATTTGACAGACGGACGCACAACATACACGCGCCACCCAGCAAGGCCATATTGTCACAGCGGGGTTGCATTTTAGGGCTTACAGCGGGCGGACCCGCCGGCAGCAGTGGCAGCTTGGAATTAACTGAATCAATTGAAGCGGTTCGCTAGCTTCGTGAATCCAGTTGAGCTGTCATTCTGTGGAAGGAAAAAGGAACTCCTGGGGCGTCTCTTTTTCTACTTATTTTTGTCTTCGTTTTTCTTTCTTCTAAATTCTTCTTGGCGGCATTTTGGACACTTTGTGCTGTGACTTTGTGCGCACTTGGAAAACCAAAGCTTGGAGAGACAACGACAGAGAGAAAGAAGGGGAGACAGAAGGAGAAGAAAGGTGATTTCGATGCTTTCCTTTCTTATCGTTTATTCTCATCCTGCGAGTCGGTCTGCACCCCCACTTGCGGTGCCCGAAGACTTCTCGCCCCCCCAAGGAAAAGCATTTGAGGTAAATCTTTCCAACTGGCGCCTTCCAGCTGAGCTGGACTACAACTCTCATCATGTCCAATGGGCTGCTTCGTGGGGATGCTGGGAGTTGTAGTCTGGCATACATCTGAAGGGCGCCAGGTTTGGGGGAGATTGCTCCGCACTACTCCGCCTGTCGTGCCTTCCGTACTACTGGAACAAAGCGCCACCAATCCCTTTTCTGCCTCCTCTCTCCTTTTAGTTCTGTTCTATTTAAAGGAGAGGAACAGCAGCGATCAGCCTCGTGCACGCTGCTTTTGTTGTTGTTATTGCAAAGCAAAAATAGAGCTACAGACTGGAAGGAGCTTCTTAGCTGGAGATGTTGAGAAGGGGCGCAGTGGAGGAAGGAACGGGAAAGACCCGATCCTGTGTAAAGCTAACTTCATTGGGGTTTATTCCTAAATCAGTTTGCACAGGATTGCAGAAGAAGAGTGCTAGTGAACAAGGTGAATCAGGGAGGAGAAAATAAGCAAGCGTGGTGCTGCTTCCTTGCGGTTTTCTATAATGGGCACGATCTGTCATAATCGACATAAGTAAAATTATGCTGTTTTTATTTGACTTGACAGTTCCGCATTCGGCCTACTTATCTGTTCTGTTTCTTGACGGCTCCCTCGTTACTACAATTACAAATTACATTTTGTAATTTTCTTGAATGATCTCTTGGTTACTGCACTAACTCTAGTGGAGCAATCTCTGCCAGGGGTTAATTTGAAAAGAGAATGTTATGAGGGCTCAGGACTGTCTGGAAGTCACACCCCCTGATGTGGAACCCTCTGCCCCTGATCTCAGATGTATGGGGATGGATGATGGTTCCTAAGTATAAAGGGAAAGACTCATGCTTCGTATATATAGAGTCCTTGAGTTATTTGTTTATCCTACAAAATTTCATCTCACAACAACCCTGTGGGGTAGGATAGACTATTAGTGAGTGCACATGGTTCAAGATCACCCAGTGACTTTCATGACTGACTGGCACACAAGCCTCTCCAGTCCTAGTCTGGCACTCTACTGGCCGCACAGCTCTGGGTTTCTGTGTCCTAATGTGCACATGCATTATTCCTCCGCTGTAAAGTAAGTCAGTATTATGTAGATGAGTGGTGGTGACTGAGGCGGAAAAACAGAAAAAGGCATGCTTTTAAAATTACATCATGAATGCACAGCAGAATCCAGATTCAAGGACAGCCCTTCCTGACTCCTAGCTCAACCACTTAGTCACTTTACAGCAACACCTCTTCTTTGCTTCCAGATGAAGCTTTTGTTGTGCAATTGCCCTGCCTTCCTCATGGAATTTCACAAGGAGCCTAGACAGTGATTTTTTCCCTAGCACTTCTTCCTCCTTTCTTTCCATATCAGAAACAAAATGTTAAGGAAGGAAAGTCAGAATAACTGCTGTGTATTTGGGCAAAGCCCCAAGACCTTCAATCTAGAGGCATCCTCTGGCTTTGTGTTTTGTCAGAACCAATGACATTTTCAAGGCTAGCAAGTCAACACTAAGATTGAAAACAAATTTCAGGACTCAGGCCTGGTAATATGCCCTGCAAAAATCAAGACTCGGCTCCATAAGGCTCCCTCTTTTGCAAAATTTTCCACTGTTCTCAACACCAGGTTATAGAATTAAAGGAAGGTGATAGGATTTGCAAAATGCATAGAAAGTAACTTGACAGAGGCTCCATTAAAACCTGCTGCTGCTCCTTTTTTGAAAAGAGGTCAAAACTGATCCCTGGAGTAGCATATTACAGTATTTCTGTGGCATTACCCCAGTTTCTGAACTGCAATGAACAGATGTCTTTGTCCTCTTCTTTTCCTTTGGGAAATTTTATCTTAATTTGTCTTCACTTTCTGTACATTTGGAGGGGGAAGTGATTTTTGGGATGGGGAATGACATAAAAAACTCTGTTTGCAAAATAGTACTAGTCATGGTTGGGATAGCATTTACCAAGAACTTGGAAAAACAGAACTTCTTTGTAGCCTGTGATGCATCTCTGCCATGAGACCCAAAGATGCATTCCAGGAGAACAACTGTGCTGTAGGAGAAGCACAGGCCATGGCACAATAGAGGCTTAACTAGTTTATTAATTATGGCTTGAATTCTGTGAGTTTGCTCACTTTCTGTTGTGGCTAGAGCAGCAAGGCAGACTCTATAACCGTATAAGGGTTGGAAGACAGGAGCATGATGAGGCCAAGTTTCTGTTGTTTGGGTTGTTTTGCATCCTGGCAGGCATATAAATACAGTTGCTCCTGGGGCGGGGGGATGGGGGCACCTAAATGAGTCTGACTTGAATCTAGACTGGCTTTATCTTGGCAAGAAGACATACTTTCGCCTTGGCCCAGAGCTCTGCCATTCTCTGCCAAGCTCTAGATGCATTTGGCACATGATGCTCTGAAGGGGGTATGCAACTTGTCTGTCTGCTGGCTAGAAACTGAACTCATCTGCTAATGCCAGCCAGAAGGCAAGATTGGCATTACATAGCAAGAGCTGCAGGTGTCAGGCCACAGTGCACCCTAAAGGACAAAGAGAAATGCCCCATTTCTTTTGGGTCCTATGTCTGAAATAGAATCAGTGACCCTGCATCCCCTTTCTTATTATTGGCTATTCCTGTACTCATTCTCCCATTTCTAATTTAGGAAATTGGCAAAGTTTGTGTAATTAAGTGGCTAATTTAGTAAATATAGGCATATGCTCACTTAAGCAGGATTCAAACTGATTTAACTGCTTACAGAAACCGAAACTCAGTAGTGTTACAAGAATGCTGAAATTATTTTAAAATCCATATTATTGTCATAGCTGAGTGGTAAGATAAGCAAATGTGTACACTCCTAAGATCTCTAGATCATTTCATCAGGCAAGATGGTATGCAAAACGGGTGATGGATGGGATGGAATAAGGAAAGGGGAGAAAACCTGACTGAGTTGTAAAGTCTCAGAGTCCCAACAGGAGGTTAAAGAGAAGAGGCCTGTAGGCACAAATAAGGTGTTGTAGGTCATGTGATGGTTACAGGTTGGACCTGCAGCTGCATCTGACATTGCTGAGAACCAGAAAGGAAAAAAAAAAAGTTGGATATTTCAGAGCTTAAATGGCTTTGAAAGAAAATCAGGCAAATTCATGAAAGGCATGTGTTTCTGTCAGGCTGTTAATCCTGACAGATAAACAGGGCTTCCATGTAGAGATGAGTATGCCCTAGAACAGTGGAACAGAGCACTTTCATGGTGGGGTGATGGATTGTCCCCCCAGCCCCTCCATGGGTTAGATGCTCCCCCCTTGCCTGTTTCAGCATCCTCTGTGCTGAAAGCCATGGGGAAAGGGACTTGACCAGTGGCTGAAGGTGTAGCCGTTCCTCTCAGTACTGGTCTAGTACCTGGCTTTGTATGGCAGATAGCATCCTCACAGGACCCCCAGGCACCATGTGAAGCAACTTAGCAGCCATCGCGAAGAACTCTGGCCTTGTTTGGCATGCCACAATTCTGTGGGTGCTTTGCACCAAGCAATTCGGGCACCCACATTCTTACTGTTATCTCGGACCTCAGATGCCCCTGTGTGCTGCCCTGTGGGAATCCCCTGTAGTTGACTCTGGAGATAGCAATGGGGAAAATTTCTCCAGTGGGAGGACTGGGCCAAGCCTCACCCCCTCAGGGAACTCCAGGGGTTGCATTAGGCCTGTGACCAGGGCTCTGCACCCCTGCCTTCAAATATCGGATGTCGAGGATCAACTGTTGGCAGGATCTTTTGCCTTCGACCTGCTTGTGGGCTTCACACAGACACTTGGTTGGCCACTGTGGGGAAACAGAATGCTGGACCAGTTGGCCCTTTGGTCTGTTCCAGCAAGGCTGCTGTTATATTTTTAAGACACCTCTGAGGACTCTTATTTTTGTGCCCCCATGCAACTACTGACCAGTAATGTCATCATGCTGTGTTCTCCATTCTTATGATGTGCACTTTCCTGCTTCCTCAGGAATTTTGACAAAGGACTGGTGGCTCTTCTGTGACCATGTCCCGACGAAGCCAGCGTCTTGGTGGGACTGTTCATTATTACCAAAGCGAAGATGATGGCAACAGCAGCAATAGTGGTGGGAGTTCACTGCTGGGTGGACAGCAGCCCTTGTTTAAAGATAGTTCCAGTAGGTAAGTGAGAACAAAGAAAAGGAGAACCCTGTATGTGTCCCGATAAATGTTGGTGAGTGGTTGGGTTTGTTTGCATCTCAATGTGAAAAATTAGTTTGTCATTGCTTTCTCCATATCTCTGGGTCAAGTGGTAGATATACTGGCAAGAACTGGGAACTGGGAAGTGTTTTGTGTTGAGACATGTTATAATGATAACTCTGAGCTATTGCTAGAGAAACAACTTCAATGACCATTATTACTATTATATTGCTTTTTACATTTAATTTCCTTCTGACCTCATTGTTTACTCTTCCCCATCCCGATCATATATACTGCATATAAACCTCAAACTCTCCATAATATTCCATGCATCTGATTAAGTGGGTTACAGTCCATGAAAATTTATGCCAGAATAAATTTGTTAGTCTTTAAGGTACCACAGGGCTCTTCATTGTATTTTGATAACATAACTCCACTTGAAGAGTAACATCTGAGTTTAGATGCTAGATTTAACAATGAAAAAAAAAGAATTAACATTTCTTTCATTTAAAAGGTCTGATTTTGCATTTCAAAACCCACATTTTGGCTCTCAGCATTTGTTTTGGAATTGCTGTGTTAAGGTTGGATCTTAAGATATGTAGATTACTATTGAATTTCAAACCTGAGCACAGCTGTAATTTTTAGAAATGTAGTCTTAAACTTGGGTTGGATTGGCCTGGAAGAGAGCAGAACAGTGTGGATACTGGAGAAGGACTTTCTCTAGGTCAGCTTCCCCAACCTGGTGCTCTCCAGATGGCTAGGAGTGCTGGGAGTTGCAGGCCAAAGCATCTTGAGGACACCACATGGGGGAAGCCTGCTTTAGTTCCTTCATTATTTCTTGATAGAAGACTCGGCAATAGTAAGGAAGTTTTCTTGCCTGCTACCCTTTTTCTCTCTAGTTGGATTTTTTTTAATGCTAAGTGGAGCAGCTGTGATCAAAATCTGATCTAGCAGAATCAAAGTCTACATTGCTGAATGTGTCATTTCCAAAGCTGTAAATACTATTTATGAGGCCTTTCAGGATTTTTTTTAATGATGTGTACCATAGGGTCATGCTAGGCCCTTACTGTACCTATGATGAAATTGCCATTCCCTGCCATATTTTGCTGTGGAAGAGACAACTGGGTAAACCAAGCTGGATGGATCTCATTTGGAATTCTCCCATTCCCCTTACAAACTTCACTTTGCTCCTTCTTTTAGAAAGGTGATTTAGCACTGCAGCCGCATAGTAGGGAACACACACCCATAAATTGCATAGTTAAGGAAGCAGTTAAAAAAGTTAAAAGCAGTTAAAAGAAGCAGTTTAAAAAGGAAATGAAAAAGTTACATGCTCATCAGTAAGGGAATTAGGACACTTGTTGCTGCTGACGTCACAGGGTGGGCTCAATAAGTTTCCACCATATTCACACTGCTGCATTCCATACTGCATTCCAAACAGCAGTGGGCACACCAGTTGAGGGGAAGGAGGCATATTTTCTTAGCATCAGAATATCGATACAGTTTGGGTTGAAAGAATGTAGTTTCCTTGCAACATAAGCATGCTGGACTAGGTAGGCCTTTGGTCTGAAGCAGCATGGCTCTTATGTTCTCCAGATTTCTTCTTCGTTCCTTCCTGCTGTACCATAGACACTAACCTGACACCATGGACATAGCCCTTAGACACTAACCCCATACTGGAAAACCACAGCAGTTGCAAAGGAAGCAGGCTGGCAACAAACATGGGAAATAGAGTGAGCAGAGCATTTTGTGTCCTTGGTGCATCTTCTCTGCTTGGTAGAAAATCTGTGGGTGGCTGAAAAGGAAGTTGCCGCCTTCTATTCTCCCTCCTGCCTTCTCTCTCCTGTGCATATGCACAACTACATACACATTAAACAAAACATACAGGCCAGGCAGAAATAGGTGCTTGTGCTGTTTTGAAACAAACTCAAATCTCCCTTCTGCAGCAAAAAGTTTGTCTCCTCACTACCTGCAGCATCTCTCCTGTTTCTGCACAAAATGCAGCCTCTGGTTGTTTCCTGCGTTGATGGAAATACCCTGAATTGTTGTCCCTCATCGACTTATTTCCTGAGCATTCAGAGCTGAGCAAGCACGAGAATGGTGAGACAGGATGCAGTCACCTTAAACCAGCAAATATGAACGACTGTGGTTTAGTGAGGCATTTCTTCAACTTTTCAAGCTCATGGTGCCCTTGTAAACATAGTTTTTAACTTCTGAGCCACCTCCCCCGCTCTGACTACAACCCGTCTATTCCATGTTTGAAGTGTACGCTGCTACATGTGTGCAATTTTAGTATAAACTTGACTCATTTCACTTTTTTGAACTACTTTTTTGAACTGCTCTATTATACTTCAGAATTTGCACTCCTCTGAATTTTTGCAATAGAGTTCTCTGGTTGAAAAATGCATACAAAATGTGGATACTGGAGCTGGGGAAATGCATTGCAGTAGAAGCAGTGCTTGCAAAAACTGTATATATTAAACAGAAATGCCTACAAAAATGCACATATTGGGATAAATATTCACAAAAATGCATTCAGTTTTCATGTAAAGTTACAATATCAAATTTTAGGACAACCAGAACTTAAGACTGGAAAAAATGGGAAACTAATAAAAACTGAATTGAAAGGCTTAGCTACCTATCCTTAGTGCAAGGATGAATGAATGGAGGCAGCACTCTAATATTGGAGTGAGAAAATAAAACCAGCCAAAGGGAAACTTCTTTAGAACACTGCAGAAGTATGACCCATGTGTTGCAGAATCCTCTCCCCACCTGTGTTGTCTTTGGGTATTCTTTCAGCCTTCTCCAGCTTGATGCCCTTCAGATGTCTTGGATGATGGGAGTTGTAGTGCCACACATCTGAAGGATACCAGTTTGGGGAGGGCTGATCTAACCCATCTCATTAAAAAATATCTATACCACCCAATAGCTGAAGCTCTCTGAATGATTCACAGTAGTTTCCATTACTATAAATATAAATAAATAATATGGTTTAGTTCATATGTATTAAGCTCTCTTGGAGCAGAATGGAATACAAATGTAACATGCAAATAAGACTTAGTGACTTTGTGATCCCATTTTTATCCTATACTTTCTCCAATGTCCACATGTTTTTTCTTTCTCCTTGCATCCTTTCAACAGGCCTGCATGTGTCCAGGTTCACTTAGGGTACTATTCTATGCTTGTTTAGACAGAAAAACATCTACAGCTCTCAGCATGCCCCAGCCGTGAAGCTTATTAAGGCCCCCTTCCTATCTAAATGTGCATAGTATTGTGCCCTTAGTAAGGTTCATGGGTGGGCACGAAGGTCACCCTGCATCTCCTTGGTCTGTTCTAAAACTTAGCAACCGATTGCACGACACTCAGTCTCCTTGTACAGTGCAAAATTAGCTCTGCTTCTAGACATGCAGTAGTTACTTGAAATAACCTTATAAAAGCTTCCTTTCTCCCCTCCTCTTTTTTCTCTCACTCATTCAGTTCAACTCCTGGGTATTTGGAGCTCATTATTAGCCTGTTATCCAGTAGCGCGCGCGCTCACTCGCTCGCTCGCTCGCTCTCTCTCTCTCTCTCTCTCTCTCTGTGTGTGTGTGTGTGTGTACATACACATGTGAACCCTGCTCTTTCCTTATATATTGTCTCATCATTATGCCAGCTTATTCCTGTTTCTTCCTTTGCAGTCGGATTCTGAGAAGGAAATCCAGCAGCATGAAGCGCCTCTCTCCAGCCCCTAGCCTGGGGACCGGTCCCACCACCCACACCACCTCCTACTTCAGCGAGTCTGTGGTCAGGGAATCTTACCTGGATGATGGCAGAGGACTTTCTGTTAAAAGCAGCACTGCCTTGGGTGATCCACTGGACAGCAGTTCTTACTGGAGTGAGTATTTCTCTCTGTATATGCTGTAGTTAGATATGGGAAAACCTATAGCTCCTATCACTCCAGACCACTGGCCATCCTGGATGGGTCTGATGAGACTTAGAATCCAGCAACATCTGGAGGTCCACAGGATCTCTAACCTCTAGAAGTTCTGCATAATCACTCAGCATGCTCCCTATCTGGTATTACTTATACTACAATTATTACCTCTACTCTGCCCTCACAATTTCGTTTGGTTAGAATAATGCAGTATTTTGCCTGCCTCAATATAATGGAAGAATAAGCCATATGTTGTGCAGTTTTATGACACTTTTGAGCCAAGGCCTCCAAAGTGGCAAGAAGACACAAATGCATAATAGACGCACTTCCAGCCAGTTATCGGTATATATAATGCCAACTCATTGATCTTCCTTCCTTCCTTCCTTCCTTCCTTCCCTCCCCCCGCCCCACCCCACCCCACCCCACTCTCTCACTTTCTGTTTCACACTGATTTTCTGTCTTTCTTCCTGATCATTCTTGCTCTTCTTGGGTGCTTTCAGACTGAAGCCTTCTTGCCGGTGCATGTCCTCCAGTTGCATATTTTAAAAATATCCAGAATTGTTATGGGTTTATCACACTGTAGAAGACATAGCAGTTTGAGTATGAATTTTATTTGTGCCATATCCCACAATATCACATCAATATATGGGTGAAGCAAGATGAAGTGCAGCAACAGCTGCTTTTCTGTCACTTCCCTCTGCCAAGTTTCCCCTTCCCTTTGCTAGCAATTTCCTATTGCCACTCTTTATTGCTTGGTGGGCATGTACACAGGTACATATATTCACCTGTGCACAATCCATTAAAATGTAAGCAAATTTAAAAAGTAACTTCCATGCCACACAGTTATAAATATAGCTGAAGCAGGAAATAGCAAAACATTTGTCTTCCGTTTTTGCACGATCCCAGATCCTTCTGGTTCTATGAAAGCACATTACAATTTGGGACATATTTTTAGCCATGATAGCTCTTACAGCAAAAATGTAGGAAAAAAGTGGCCCAGCTGCGGAGAACGACCACCACAGTGCGTTCATAGAATATGTCCCTCAGTAACATCACAGTGCTTGTCATTACCAAACCCTCAGCAAAAGGCTGAAAACTTATGATGACAAATATCCACACCCCTTAATGTTTATGGTATCATTGTGCACCTTAGAAAATTTGATTTTCCAGACAATGGTAAAAGGTAGGAGATACTGGGGTGGGGGGAGCAGAAGTATGGGATGACTACAAGATAATAACAGCATCATGTGGAAACTCCCCCCCCCCCATAAAATCCTATGAACAAGGCAAGTTGACAGTATGTTCAAAACCATGCCTGAAAACATGCTTTTTCTGTCTTCTCCACCTGGTGGGATGCTAAGGAAGGAGAGGCTGTTCTTGCAAGAGATCTGAATTGATCAGTTATTGGGGTCTTTTGAAATCTGGCCAAGAGTCACATGCTGTCAGGTTGAGGGCCACAGGTTGCTCACAACTGTTGTATGCACCATTGAGAAGAGGTACACAAGAATTTTTGAGCTTGCTTCTAAAAATGGTTTGTGTTTCTAAAGAGAGTTTGTTTATGACAGGTGAGGAGTTTTCAAGAAGAAGAAGAGGCATTGGAGGAAGCACAGAATCCAGTAAAAAAATTAATGGACTGGCAGAAAGGAAGATATATGACACCTATGCATCTTCATCTGGTTACTCCTCTGAGGATGACTACACAGGTATGGAAGTGTTCTTTCTGTGAGGTTCCACCCAGCAGACAAAGATTCAGGCTATGGCTGATGTTGTTTTGTGCTGAAGGTTCTGCTTCATAGCTTGAATGGGAGGAAAAAGCTACTAGAATCTTCTCACACCCAATCCTGTTGTATGCATGGGATGAAGGAAGATGTAATAGGTTAACAGTGGTCCCAGCAGATCCTTTAGCTGCAGTATTCGAAATCCAGCTTCAAAATGTGACTTGCACAAATACATATTTACAAGTCACCCTCTGGTTCTGGCATCAGTCTAGCTCTTTCCTATCACATTTTAGGAAGGCTATTTTCCTTGTTTTAATAAAGGTAGCTTTTAAAAAGTGATTTGACTTGTATGTGTTTATTTTATGAATGCTTATCTTCCACCTTACTTTTTAAAAATACAAATGTTAAGGCAGTTGCAAAATTGATCAGGGAGCATGGAGATATTAGTGATGCTGTAACCATTAAATAGGTACCCACCCTCTACAGCTGACTTTGCTCTAGTTCAGACTGACCTGCTTAGACAGAACTAGCCAACTCTGTTGTTCAGTGCTTGCCCGGGGTGGGAAAAAAGTATGTTTGTTCTGAACACAGTGAGGTCAATAGTCTTTACTTGCAGACCCATCTTTGACCTGGACTTGTAACAAAGGAGGGACTAAAGAATCTAGATGAAGGGCTAAGAAACATGGTGGCACCTGCTTTTCTAATCGGGTTAGGCCATCCTATGGTTACCAGGGCAAAACAAAAAAAAAAGGAAACATAGCTGTAATGTTAATCTGTTTTCTAGTTTGGTTACTTACAAATCAGTGGGGAAGGAAAACCAGTGTACAGGATGCATCATGTTTCTGAAGAGAGAAAATAAAGAGATGCAAAAAGCCTATGGAAAAAAATAACAGGTGTCACCTTTGGCATTTTTAATCGGTTCAACGTGTGGTTGGAACCAAAGCCATTATTTTATCTCTAGTTAGGAGATGACAGAGCAACAATAGTCCCTATATAGGACAATTGGTGCAATTTATACATAAATACATAAATAACATTTATGTTATTTTTAAATAAATGAAAATTCTTCCTCTTTCTGAACTAGTCAATATTTACATCCAATCTTGATTAGAACAAGGTGGGTGGTTCCATAAATCTAGCAATCCCCTATGCCATTTTGAGCACTAAATGAATAGACTCAAGAAGAAATTTGGCCTTTACTTTTGTTCAGTGTGTGTGCGCGTGTGTGTGAGAGAGAGAGGTGTGGGGAGGGAGGGAGAAGGAGGAGAATAATGTTATTTTTGCTGACAATCTTTACTTTGTTTCCTGAAGGTAACACTTACTTGGACCAGAACTCTTCAGGTTCTGGGTTTAGGAATGCACTCTCCAAAGCAGGTTCTCTTCTGTGGCTGGTGCTTACATCACCAGGTAAATGGAAAATCAATCAATATTTTATTCACAGGATTGGATTAACATTACACAATGCAGCAATATCACAGCATGTTATCTATACTATGAACTTCTGTTGTTCTACTCTAGTCTAATTCCAGGCTAATCCTGGAAATTGTAGCTTTTGGGGGTAGCTTAGAGAGAAAGGTGTTAGAGGGACTGCCCTTCTCACAGACCTACAGTCTTCATACAATCAATTTGTCAGAAGTGCAGACACAGTGGAAAAATTGATGATTGAGGAAAAAGAAACTCCTTGACTTGGGAGGTTTAAATGTTCTCCTAAAGGTTTCTGAGCATTTGCTGTTTTTGCTGTCAAAGTTGCCTATGTGGCAAAGGAATAGAGAAGGACTTCCCACAGGCTGACTGCTGCGGGAACAGACTGCTGGGCTTGGTAGAGTCTTGGTCTGATTCAGCAAGGCTCTTCTAATGTTCTTAGGACTTCTCTTCAGAGGAAGAGGGGCTTTAAGGTGAACAAAGGGAAGTCGCATTCCAGCACCCTAACTAGATGAATGTTAGTGTTATGTTGGTTTTTGTTTTGGTTTTTTGCAGGGCGGTTCTTTGGATTGTTATACTGGTGGATTGGGACTACGTGGTACCGTCTCACAACTGCAGCTTCTCTCCTGGACGTCTTTGTCTTAACCCGGTCAGTGTGGAAGGGAAATCAGAACAATTCAGACTGTGAATCATGAACTGATCAATTAAGTGTTAATTGGGTGGGAAGCAAATAGTTTAAATTCCTGCAAGGCTGAGCAGGGCTGTGCTACACAGGGCTGCAGTCTTCATGCCACACCCCTGTCCTCGTCCAGGGTGCCTCTTACCAGCTAGAACAGGCCACCAGATGTTTCAGACTTCAACTCCCATTAGCCCCAGGCACCATGAGCCAGAGCTAGTGCTAATCTGCCACTCTCTCTCCCTTGTTTTTCTCAGACAACAATACCACAATATGTACCATTATATCATCCTGCTGTGTATTTCCCTGTGTCCTCTTGCCAGCAGTGCATTGCTGGACTGGGGAGACCCACATCCTGGTGCGCACCACAACTTGGGGTAAAAAGGCAATGGTCGCAGCGCTGCTTCTCTCATAATGGGGGTGCAGAACTTGCAAGGCTCCCAATCTGGGTGCCAGGGGTTTCCCGAAGGCTGTGCCCTTCCCACAGCTGGAGAACACTTGTAGTCACCTTGCCCCCCTCCCCATCCCAAAAGGTTGAAATAGCTCTCCTAAACTTAGGTTCCTGGCCTTGAGCCTTCCCTAATGAATGGGGCCCCCAGAGCTCACCTGCAATGGAATTATTCCTTCAGGCTGAACGAGGTGCTCCTCCCTTGCTTTGGTGGGTTCTGTCTTCAGGGGACTGCATTGATGCCTATCATCCAGTAGTGCTACTAGCCAGTATCCATTAGTGGCTAATAGCATGCCTGGCTATATGCTGCCTCCTTCACAGAGGTGGCCTGCTTGCATACACCAGTTGCTGAGGAGCTTGGGCAGACAGAGGGCTTTCACCCACCCTGCTGGAGGAATCCTGTGGCAGCTGGTTTGCCGCTGTGCATACAGAGTGCTGGACTAGATGGACCGCGGGTCTGATCCAGCATGGCTTTTCTTATGCTCATACCTGTTTCACTCTTCTTGTGCAGGAGCCATCCATCTCTGAAGAAGCTGCTGCTGTGGCTGCTTCTGCTGCTCTTCCTCACTGCTATTGGTTATGGTGAGTTTGGAGTTCTGAAAGTCTCCTCTGCAGTGGTGTGCCTTACATCCTTTTCCTGTGTCCCCCTGCAAAGTGCAGGGTGAAGCTAACCTGAGAAGGGAGACACTGCGTGTTACCATTAGTCCCCTGATCCTTTTTGCCAGACCGTAAGTGAGCATATATCTGTTTATAATGTGTGGTTCCTCCCTGAGTTCCCTAGAAGAAGAGAAATATACAAATAAAGTAAATAAGAATGGCTGTGCAGGATCAGACCAGCATGCATTTAGTCCAGCTTTCTTTTTTCAATGGTGGCTAGCAGATGCCTTTGTGCTTTATCCCCTGCATCTGGCCATCAGATGTATACTTCCACTGAAAAGGGAAGTTCTATTTGTTGTGGTTGTTGTTGTTTTAAAAGATTTGTAACCTGCCTTTCAGGGCACAGTAGCCTCATACAGTGGCTTTGTTGTTGTTTAGTTGCAAAGTCATGTCCGACTCTTCACAGCCTAGTGGAAAACATTCCTTCAGATTCTTCTGTCCTCCACCATCCCCCAGAGTCCACCCAACCCCACACCCACCTCCCCAGTAACCCCCTCCAGCCACCTCAACTCTGTTGTCCCCTTCTTTTACTTTCAATCATTTCCAGCATCAGGGTCCTCTCCAGTGAGTCCTTCCTTCTCATTAGGTGGCCAGAATATTTGAGCTTCATCTTCAGGATCTGTCCTTCTAAAGAGTAGTCAGGGTTGATTTCCTTTAGGACTAACTGATTCGATTTCTTTCCCATCCAAGGGATTCTCAGGAGTCTTCCCCAACACCACAATTCAAAAGCATCAATTCTTCAGCGCTCAGCCTTCCTTATGGTCAATTAGTGGCTTACAGGATTACAAAGCCATCAGCACACCAGGATTTTTAAGCACAAAATGCAGGCTGTCTTCAGGGTGTTGTTGCTGCTATGATATTGATGCTGATGATACAGGTGATGGCGATGGCCTTGCTTTTACATCCTGCTTTTTTGCTCTTGTGAGCAACCCAAGGCAGCTTACATGTTTTCATGTTATCCTCGCAACAGCAACCTTCCGAGGAAGGTGAGACTGACAGTAGGTGACTGGCCCAAAGTAACCCAGGGAGCTTCATGACCAAGTAGGGACTAGACCCTGGATTTCTCAGGTGCCCAGTTCAATGCTCTAGCCCTCTCACCAGCTCTCAGTGATGAGGCCATGCGTATCTCCCTGTGTAGGGCATTCAGAGCTGTGGGATCATCACTGCATGCCTTTCTTCTACCAGCTTGGTGGTTTATTTAGCTTGGATAGTTAGTGGATAGCTAGCCATATCCTCATTAACTTGTTTTATCTCTTCTCATTAAGGTCACCTTTATATGACAAGCCTGCAGTTACATGGTAGCACACAAGGTTCGGCATCTAACATGCATTGTTAGGGATAGGCAGAAAGCTGAGCTCCAGACATTCAGAACTTCAGCTCCCAGGTGCCCCTGTCAGTTTGACTAATGGTCAAGAATGTTGGGAGTTGTAGTCAGAAACATGTGCTGATCTACTTTCTGCCCAATGCATCTATTACATCTTTCTATCATAATTCCTTTTTATGTTATGTCACTTTGTGCAGGCAAGGCCTCATAAGCAGCAGAATGAATCATTGAAAGAATGAATTTAGTGGACGATTTTGAGTTTTAGTGTTATGGGAGTACTATATCAATTTCTCTGGGAAAAGCCTGCCTGCCCGCCCGCCTGCACTCTTTTGTGGAGTCTGCTGATGTATACTCTGAAATTAACTTTAAACTCTTCTCACAAATGCTAGGTGCCTGGTATTTCTACCCCTTTGGGCTCCATCCCTCTATGCTTTCTTGGGGATCTGTGAAGATGTCCCCTCCTGTTACCAAGAAACAACATGAAGCAGGGGAGCTCGCTGAATTTTCTGAGGTGAGTACTGACTGGATCTTGGGAGTGCGAGATTAGAGGATAATGACTCATGTGTTTCACTGTTGGATGTGAACTCTTGCTGAACTGCAGCTTAAGCTGAGGAGAGACTTTCTAAGGCAGCCTTCCCCAACCTGGTGCCCTCCTGTGTCGAATGGCAACTCCCATGGGCACCACTGGAGGGTTCCAAGTTGAGGAAGCCTATTCTAAGTGGAAAAGGCTATTCCAAGCTTCTTCATCTGTGTTGTGAACCTCAGCTTTGCAGCTAGTGTTGCAGACCTATGTATTAGCAAGCGGAACCTCTACTGCCAAATTTCTTACCATAGAGTGCTGCTGTTACACAGTGGCTAGAGAGACTGAACAGTCAATCAGCAGATCACAGATTCAAATCTCTCCTTTGCCCTGAACTCATTAGATGGCCTTATTTCGGTTTTGGCCTTGCCATCTTTGCCTTTGGCTACACCCATTATCACAAGAGCTTCTGCATAATGAAATTTGACCCTTAGGCTGAAAGAGGTTCAGCACTGTCAGTCCTGGAAGTCCCAGAACTATGTGTGAGAATAACCTCATGGGTCTCTTTTCCTCCCTTTCATTCTTACTGTCTCTGGATTAAAAGGCCCAGCAGCAGGTGTTGTCCCGGCTCCAGGCCCTGGAGAAACGTTTGGAGAACCTGGAAGCTGCTGCATCAGTGCTGCAGCTCCAGAGAGGAACAGCAACAGAGGGAACCACTCTGTCACATGATGATATCCTGGCACTGCTGGACGGGCTGATGAGGCAACGAGAGACCGCCATGAGAGAGAAGTTCCATGCAGAGTCAGACCTTCATCTCCAGGTTGGCTACATACAGGGAATGGAGGGAGACCTCTTGATATTAAGGTGGAGGAGGCAAGATTGTAGAGTGGCAAGCCTGAAGCATTGCTAATGGGTGCAAGGAATTGCTTTCAGTGTTTGATCTCTGGTTTTGAAAGCTCTGTTTCTGCCTTCCCCAACCTGGTACCCTCCAGATGTGTTAGACCGCAGTTCCCATAATTGACTGGACTAACTAGGAATTGGTCCCACACATCCAAATTGCTATCCTGGCTGGGAATTGTGAGGTTTTTAATTGCCATTCTGGCATAGAATGGTGGGAATTGCATGCATATTTTTACTTCAAGCTTTTGTTGCTCCATGTCTGCTTTTGAATGATGTTATAAATGTTTCCTTGCTGGGTCTTTTGGTGTCCACTTTGTTATTTAAATCAGTGGTTTCTCTGACTCTCTAGCTTTGCTGGCCAAAGAAGCCACCATCTGCCACAAAACCCTTGCATGTTGAAGGGGATTCTGGGGAGTGCTCTGGTTGCCCACTCTGGGCCAAACTTCATATGACATTGATTACAACATGCCATTTTCTCATGTCTTTCCATCCCTTCAACCTTTAAAGTAGAGGCTGCAGAGTGACTGATCTAGATCAGGACCATGACAGGAGAGGAAGGCCAGTTCAGGTCCCCTGCTCATTTTTCCAGCTAGAATTGCCCTCCTTTAGTTGCTGTTTGTCCACAAAGTTATCACTGCAACAAGTGGGACCTTTAGGAGAACTGTGGGCAGGGAAACTGCTTTGAGGGATGGGGAGAGGGAAGAGTTTGAAAATCATAGAGTTTGGAGCATGCAGCAAAATGCTGTAGTGTGAAATTCTCTTGTTCTGTATTCTGGTTAGCCAGCCATGCCTTCCAGCATAAGACTCTATTCTGTATCCTGTTGTCTGCTTCCCCATTCCCCTCAACAATCATTTAGTATCCCAAAGTCTCTGAGCATGCTCAGTCACCACTAGGTTGCTTTGGCAGTCCTGTTAGGGTCCTGTTTCGGAAGATGTCTTGTACTACTGCAAGCTTGGGGTTTCCTGACCTTGCTGATGGGACCTTGTACAGCAGAGGTGCTGCTTTGGCTATGCAGTGTGTGTCTGCATTTCCTTATGGCATCAATTAATTGATCAGTTCAACAGCACACTGTTAAACTTTTGTAAACCTTTAAGGGTGCAGTCATATCCATGATTAGACAGAGAAATGGCCTGCAACTCTTAGCATTTCCCAACCTGGAAGTTGTAGGCCATCTTTCTGCTTAAACATGAATGGGATTTTTTCAAGGTATATGCCACTTCTTATCTCTGTTCCTGTACAGGGTGAGTTGGATCTTTTACGAACCCAATGGAAGAAGGATTTCGACCATTTCCTGAACAAAGTCTCCCAGGATAGTGAGGTAAAACCAGGACACTTTTTTAAAAAAAGGAAAGGCTTCCAGTGTTGAAACAATGTGAAACGAATTTCTTCTGTAGCTTAACTATGTCCCCTCATTTTCAATCCAAATCAAACATGATCTTCTCATATAATAAATAAATCTATTCTCACCCTGCTCTTTGAAGATGGCTCAAACGATTGCTTTCACTGAATATGCTTTCTCCCATGCTTTAATCCAGGGGTCGGTAACTTGTGACCCTTTAGAAACTACTGGAGTGCAGCTTCCATCAGCCCTAGCCAGCATATCCAGTGGTGAGGATGCATAGGAGTCATAGGCCAAAACATCTGTTGGGTCACTCATTTTCCATTCTTGCATAATTCAGATATTTATTAAAACAAGCAAGTGTTGGACATGTCCCATCTGCCCTAGAACTGATCGATGTTTCTAGTCAAATTTTAGCACCTTGTTTTCAGGTTTCAGGATATTTTTTGCTTAACCTCTTCTTTCTTGCAAAATTGCATGAGGTTGATCATGGTTATTCTTGTTTCACAGATGATTACTGAGGCCAAGGGAGAGTGAATTGCCCCGAATCACCCTATAACCTATTGGCTGAGCTGAGTTTTGAATTCAGGTCTGCCAGCCAAGTACAAGCCCTTGTGGCATGCACATGCTGTTATACAGAACTTTCCAAAAATAAACCCAGGTATAAGAAAACTAGTAGTTTTCAGAAATGTTTTGATTGATCCTAAAAAACGAATGGGTCCCAGTGAAGATCTGTCTTAAGATCTGTCCAGCCATCTGTTGCTGTAGTTTATTTCTGTTCCTCCAATTCTAGATACTCACCCAATGACATCCTTTCTACTGTGTATAACTAGTGGATGTTATCCTACTCTGTTTTCTTGTCCCAACCACTGCTTTTGTTCCCTTAGGAGGCAGAGGCCAGAATGCTGCAAATGACGGCACAATGGCAAAGGTAACACGAACGTCTCCAGCAAGATGACACTTATGGGAAGGGAGGGAACACAAGTATTTGGGGGATTGTTCTTTGAGAAATAGAACTATCAAAAAGTGATGGTTGTATCCATTCCAAGACAGATTCTTGCTGTCAGTGCTGTTCATAATTTAAAGCCTTTTAACTAGAGATGTTGCTGACAAATAATGGGCTTGAGAGGCCATCAGGACACGTGATGTAGAGGAAACTGAAATGTTGCACTGCTGCCTGAGGGATCCTTTGCTTAGATCAGGGGCATGCAGGATGTTGGTTGAAATCTACTGTTAGCTTTCTGGGTGATCTGAGGTTGATCAGCAAGAGTTTCTGGCTCCTGGTTTTTTAGTGAGTGAACTGTGTAGTCAGTTGTGGTTGAGGAATGCAGCCTTTTCCTGAATTCAGAGTGCTTGATCTCTATCACTTGATTCTAGTTGGTGGACCTTGGGGCTCAAGTGAAGACCAACAAAATTTTTGCGAGCTTGCAATGTGCCCACCCCAGCTTAGGCAAAACACAGTTTTTTTCAGCATTGCAAAAATAAACGTGTCAAAACAGTATGAACCAATTCAGAACATCTTTTTTAAAAGTGTGTTTTCTTCAGTTGCTTGCAAAGGAAGCTCATACATGTTTCATATATATTCGTTTGGTTTGCACATCACTACTTCTCTGAATCCATTTACCTTTTCCACCATTGTGCTTGAATAATTTCTTCCTACCCAAGTCATGCTACAGTCTTTATGATCAACTGGGAACCATGTGCAATTTTTAAATAGCAGAGATAAGTTACTTAAAGAGCTATACTCAGTGGCTAACCCACAACCTTCCTCTAAAGTAGAAGCATAAAAGGTAGTTACCTCTAAATGTTTGTTTATGCATTTTTACACCGCTCTCCTACAGAAAAGAGCTCCTATGGGCAGTTCACATTAAATCAGTAATAAGGCAGTTTTTTGATACTGAGATTGTCAGAATTCAATATCCTGGGCCAGATATGAGATACAAACATGCAAACTACACAGTTTAGATTGGACAGTCTGGTGTCACTTTGGCTTTATTTAGTGGAAGCCTCATTTTTTAAGAGCCTGAGCAGAGGACCAGTGATTAAGCTCCTGAGTTGTATATCAGGATCAATAAGGACAGGTGCCAAGTCCTCCATCTAGGAAAAATAAATGCATTGATACAAGATGGGGAATATGTGGCTCAACAGAACTGAAAAAGAAAAGATCTGTGGATAATAGGCTAAACATGAGCCAAGAATGCAATGCAGCCACCAAAAGGGCAAATGCTATTTTGGGATGCATTAACAGAAGTATTATTTCCAAATCTCAAGAAGAATTCCTCTACACTCCTCACTAGTCAGACCTCATCTGGAATACTGTGTTCAGTTCTGGGCACCAAGATTTAAGAAAGATGCATAAAAAATAAAAAGGCCAACAAAAGAGGAGGGCAGCAAAAATGACCTAGGGTTTGGAAACACTGCCCTATGAGGAGAGATTGAGAGAACTGGGCATGTTCAGACTTGAGAAGAAAAGAGTGAGCGGAGATATGATATTTTATTTATTTATTTATTTATTTTTATTTTTCAATTTATATCCTGCCTTTTTCCTCAAAGGACTCAAGGCAGCTTACATCATTCTCCTCCTCCATCTTATCCCCACAACAACCCTGTGAGGTAGGTTGGGCTGGGAGTCTGTGACTGGCCCAAAGTCACCCAGTTGGCTCCATGGCCGAGTGGGGACTAGAACCCAGATCGTCTGAGTTCCAGTCCCATGCTCTTAACCACTACACCACACTGGCTCTCTAATCCCTCTATAAGTACCTCAAAGGCTGTCACAAAGAGGAGGGTCAAGATCTCTTCTAGCTGATGCCAGTGTGTAGGTCACAGAATAATCCATTCAAGCTGCGACAACCCAGATTCAGGCTAGACATCAAGAAAAGCTTCCTCACTGTCAGAGCAATAGTACAGTGTAACCAGCTACCTAGAGAGGTGGTGGGCTCTCCACTAGAGACATTCAGAAGAAACTGGACAGCCATCTGAGTGGGATGGTGTAACTTGGCGTCCTGCAACAGCAGCGGTTGGACCCAATAGTCTTCATGACCCCTTCCAGCTCTACTATTCTATGATCTATGTTTTTGCTTTGTTTTCCATTTGAAGTTCCACCCAAGAAGGTCTAATGGGAAATTTGCGAAAGGAGATGGATGTGCTGGAGGGGAAGCTAGCAGGGCTGAAGAAGGAGTTTGCGATCTTGGTCTCTGATCAGAAGGCTTTGTCAGAAAATATGGAGTCTTTTCCAGGACAGATCAAGGAAATGAGGGAAGATGTAAGTTCCTTACTTCTTTCATTCAATTAGGAAACTTGGATTTTCCCCCCTAATATAGCACAGCCAGACTGTGGAGTCACATTGTGGGCTTTACTGCTTTTAATGCAGGGACTTGGAACTCCTAAAGCAAGGTTGGGGGACCAGTAGCCTTTCACTTGTTGTTGGGCCCCAACTCCCTTCTTCCCTGATAATTAGCCATTATGGCTGGGGTTGATGGGAGCTGGAATTCAACAACATCTGGAAGACCACACATTTCCCACCACGGTCATAAATCACCCTTCACAAGCATCCTCTGAGTGTTCTTTCTCATATGACTTTGCACAATTGAATCACTCAAATATCATTAGGGTAATTCCTAGATTATATATCATTCTTCTGGACATATTTGAACCATACTTGGTATGGTTCAAATGGAGGACTTCTAATGTTAGAGATGAAAGGCATTGTGCTACTATTCAATCTTGCCTTCAGCCCTTTTTGTGGAAAGAAAAAAGATGGAAGAAGCAGTGGGAAATACGAGAGTTACAAGTGAAAGATGCTGCCTTCGAGACCCCTTGTAAAATTCCCCGATTAGGACTTGGTGATGGCACACAAAAAGCACCCAGTGTGCTGTTGGGATGAAGGCAGCGCTGTCACTGCTGTTATTGTTCTGTGTTTATTTTTAATTATCTTTAGTCCACGGAAATAGTTTTGGTCCCTAAATCCAATCAGGAAACATTGCATTTAATTTGCAGAAAAACCCTATTATGAAAAAACCAAAGGAGCCATTTTTCCACAGGCGTGTCTCCTTTCCATGCACCAAACAGATAGTCATAAACCCAGTGCACCTCTGTTACATATCTCTGCCTCATACTGAGAGTCAAACACAGCCCCTAGAAAGAGTAGACAAATCAGTGGAAACCACAGTTTCCATTCCCTGCAACCTACTTACATTCTTATTGTAACCAGGAAAAGTACATTTATCAAACATGATCTTCCCTTCGGTTGTTTTAGGTGGAAATCCAGTTTCCTGTATGGCTTAGCCGATACCTGTCCCAACCTAGAGAAGATGGAGTGGGCCTTCTGTTCCTCCAACGTGAAGAATTGCAGGACCAGCTCCGCAGACTGGAGCAAAAGATCCTCACCAAGATCTCGGAGGACCAGCGGCTGTCCGCACGGGATGTTGGGGTAGTGCTCCAGAGGGAAGGAGTCACAGGAGTAACAGAAGAGGTGTGGATCCACTTACCAGCTGGCCAAAGTGGTTTGTCATAGGCCACTTCTAGAAATGCATTTGGTGTTTGTTGAGCAGGAAATGACAGTGTTGTAATGTGACATCTGTTCTGTTCATCCTTTTTCTGACCCATGCATTGGTGGGACTGATTTGAATCCTAAGTGCTCAGTTTTCTGCCTTGAAAGATCATAATTCTGGGGCAGCTGTTCCCTCACTGGAAGTCTTCCAGAACTCTTAAATTACAACTCCCATAATCTTCAACCAGCATGGCAGGGAAGGTTGCTCAAATCAGTATACTATGCTTACTAGCTATGGGAATGTGGATCTTGCTTATTTTCAGTAAGCCACAGATACTGTTGCGGGAATGAGGCAGGGAGGACTAGCGGAGTTGCAACTTTAATGAGAACTAGAGTGCTCTTTGATGACCCCATGTCCACGGGTGCCAAATCACCAGTCAATGGTGCAGATCCCATATCATGATGGGGCACTGATTTGCTACTGATATACAAGCAACCTATGGATTTGTAGCAACATGGTTGCACCATCGTTCCCAAGGAAGCCTTTTCATTTGTATGGTTGAGCTCTAAATTTGGTGGAATAAAGCATTAGAGTATTAGGAATCCCCTCCTTGTATTCAGAATGTGTGTCTTGTTTCAGCAAGTGCACCACATAGTGGACCAGGCCTTGAAGCGTTTCAGTGAAGATCGTATCGGAATGGTTGATTATGCCCTTGAATCTGGAGGTATGCACACCTGAGGGTCCTATCTTGCCTTTCTGTCCTGGTAACTGTTGAGGTACTAACTGGAAAGTAGCCAGCAATAAAAAGTACAGTATGTTCGCTTATGGCACAATGGGAAGAGACTGGGATGGGGACAGTCTGAGAATCTTCTAATCCATCCTTACAAAACAAGCAAACAGCATCAAGTTTCTAGCCCCTGTGGTGGCAAAGATTAGTCTAACAATTTGGGGTCATTTTCAGCTACAAGTAGTTCAGCTGCAGTTTGGGACTGTCTGGTTGTGCTACTGGGGAATGTCATAGCAGCTTTCTAATCCCTCACCTATTGGATGGTCTGCACATCAGCTCCCTTCCTGTTAAGCCATGATCAAATCAATGTGGTTTGGCTTCACCCATCTTTCTTCCATGCCAGGGGCCAGTGTTATCAGCACCCGATGCTCAGAAACCTACGAGACCAAGACTGCACTGCTGAGTCTATTTGGGATCCCTCTGTGGTACCACTCTCAGTCTCCACGGGTCATTCTCCAGGTATGGATCAAACAAGAATGGAGCCTGCCTTTTTTCCCCACAGTCACCCTATTCTCCTCTGTATGCCTGGCTTAAATCCTTCATATCTCATTCTGTTTATTACCTTTTCATCCAGCACTTTGTCCTAGGAGCTCAAAGTTGCATATAGGGATCATCCCATAACTCAATGTATTTTTTGTATTTTTGTATTTAATGGTAATTTATTATGTGCTATTGTATTTCAATGTATTTTATTGTGTTGTAAGCTGCCCCAAGGCTTCGGCAAGGGGCGGCATAGAAATGTTATAATAATAATAATAAAAAAAATAATATTATCCCCACAGGGTAATGAGGCAGGCTTAAAGAGAGAGAGAGAGTATCTGGCTGAGTAAATATACTCAGGCATAGCAGTTGGTGTCAAGCACAGAGCTGGAGACACTTACATCTGTGCCTGTGCATTGCAGGCACTTTCCAAGCAAAGAACATCTGCACTAGATGGAATTTGTCTTCTTAAGACTCTGTTTTCTCCTTGTGGGCAAAAACAAGAAATATCTGGTGAAAACTCTGAAACCAGACATCTTGGTTGAGGTGTTTTTTTTTGGGGGGGGGGGGCAGATTTGCTGTGCAGACCCAAACTATTGCTTGGCTACGAAGTGTGTTGGGTGGCCCTAGGCAGGTCTAAGCAACAGTGCAGGTTTACAAGTAAGATCTGCAGCAAAATGCTTCCGTGTGGGAGTGCTCCTGCTCAGGATACTCCATGCTGTGCCATTTTCCACTTGGTTTTTCTGTCCCTTTCTCCACAAACATGTTTTGGAGCCGCTGAGCATGTTCAGTCTTTATTGGACTGTTTTGGCGCAGGTTACACCCTTCTGGACAAGTTTTTTCCTAAAACTTGTTTGTACTTCTGCAAACCTTGGGGATCCCTTAAGGCTGCTGGTATGAGCCACCTCTTGTGCAAGGGTGATGCCGTTTTGGCTGTGTGAGCAATGGCATGTACACCCTTAACATCAGAAATTAAGAGGATAATCATGTGTGGTTTAGAAATATCACTCTGAGGGCCTTGGGCTCCACATCACGGGCTGAAACTTAAACAGGATCATGTTACCATTCCTGGAAGCCGCAGGGAGAGAGTGAAAGCATTTGAAATAGTACATGCTGTTTTGGTTAGCATCCCTGTTTTGATTGTAACATGCCATTCCACTGATAACTGCTTGGAAACAGAAGACAAAACATACTCTGTCCTGTTCATTTCCTGATGTAGCAAAGACACTTTTTCCTATGCTGAGATTTGTATAAAAAAATAGTTTCCCCATTATGGTGGATTAGCAGAATAGTTCTATGTTTGTTCAGGATTAAGCTGCATTTTATTTAATGGGACTTACTCCTGTCTAAGGAGCCTAAAACAGCCTTGTTAAGCAAGCCCAGAAAAGTTACTAGTCTGAAAATGATTTCACTGGTCATGGAAGGAGATTGTTGTTATTGTTGTTGTTAGTCGCGAAGTCGTGTCCGACTCATCGCGACCCCATGGACAACATTCCTCCAGGCCTTCCTGTCCTCCACCATCCCCCGGAGTCCACTTAAGCTGACACCAACTGCTTCAGTGACTCCATCTAGCCACCTCATCCTCTGCCATCCCCTTCTTCTTTTGCCATCTATTGTTCCCATTAGGGAAGGAGATAATCTGCTTTTCTCTCCTCACTGAAGAAGAGAAGAAACTGCTTCCTCCAAGACCGGCACAGAAGTACTGACTGTTAGGAGTCTAGTAAAAATGGTCTTTTACCATGTGGACTGGCAGATAATAGATAGATCTCTCTGTCTTTCCTCTGCCAGCCAGCTGCATCTTCTCATCCTCCATGTTCAGCACAGAAACCAGGCAGGTTAGCAAAAGAGGGATCAAGCAACTCTGTCACTGATCTGCCAGCCCCGTTTGCTCATTTACATAGAACGACTTGTCACCCATGAGGACTAGGAAAAGTTGTCAAATACAGGCAGTATTTTTTTTTTTTTTTTTTGGCCCTCTTTTTCTACCGATTGAGACAATGGTACCATGAGGGGCAAAGGTGTTTTTCCACTAGGCCCTTGAATATCAATGTATCCTTGTGTTTTGTGTTATAAGGACAAAGTCTAACATATGTACACTTTACCATTAGCTAAACCCACTTGTGTTCTCAATTTGTTGCAGCCAGATGTCTACCCTGGGAACTGCTGGGCATTCCAAGGCTCCCAAGGCTTTGCTGTCATCCGCCTTTCCAGCAACATCTATCCCACTGCCGTGACCTTGGAGCACATACCCAGATCCCTCTCACCCAAAGGAGCCATTCCCAGCGCCCCCAAGGATTTTGCTGTCTTTGTAAGTCACCTTCTTATGAGCCTGGGAAAATAGCAGGTAGGGCAAATTAAAATAAGAGCGGGGAAATATTCTTCATTTGTAGGAGGATCCTACAATGGATGGTTCTTCCAATACCCTAAAGCCAGGGGTGAGCAACCTGTGCCTCTATCCATCCTTTCTTCAATGTGTAAAAAAAGACCACAGAGCACCAAAATATTTAAGATTAGCTTGCAGGCAGGTTAATTATAATCCATTTAACACTCTGTAGCTGCTCTGGATGGAATTCTCTCTCATTTTCCTGGTGCCATGGAGTATGGACTGTGGGGTGGACTATGAGAGCAAAGATGGCCTCTGCAGCTGCCCTAGTTTCCCATCTGTTTCCAGAAACTTTTAATGTTTCTGCAGTGAAGAGGAGTCACCTCCCAGAACTAAAAGGTGGTTTTCATAATGTTGTTCTTGATCCCAGTTAGGGTTTGGAGTTTTACTCCTGCAGGAGTTCCCAGCAGACTAAGAGCAATTCAGCTATCACAGGTGAAATCTTTAGATTTCCATCTGCAATTTGTTCGTGGCCAGTTTGTATCCATTGGTTCAAGTCTTCACAGATGCCTTTAAACTAAATTATTGGAGACATGACATCAGAATCAACTATTTTTAGCCAAAACTTCTAATTGTGCCATCAAATCATCTCTGACTTATGGCAACCCTATGAATGAATGCCCTCCACAGAGTTCTGTCCTTGACAGCCCTACTCAGCTTTTGTAAGGTGAAGGTGGTGACTTTCTGGAATCAAGCCATTTCGTATTCGGTCTTCCTCTTCTTCTCCTGCCTTTGACATTCCCTAGCGTTACTGTCTTCTCCAGGGAGTCTTGTCTTCTCATGATGTTCCTGAAGTACAACTGCTTCAGTTTCATCATTTTTGCTTCCAGGGAAAGCTCTGCCTTGATTTAATCTAGGGCCAGCTTGTTTTGCTTTCTGCTGGTCCAGGATCTTCACAAAGCTCTTCTGCAGCACCATGTCTACTCTATTTCCCATCCAGTGCATGAAGAGTAGTCGGTTGTCAGGACCTATCTAAACAACCAGTAATCTGCTTTCTAGCTTGTAGTTGTCCACTATCCTGGGTTTTTGGTTTTGTTTTTGTTTTGGACTGGCATCTTCAAAGCAGCCCATAGTTTTATACAGCATAATGGCTACATTGAAAATCAAGCTTTCATAACTATTGGCCTTCTCCTCCCACCCTGCTAATCCTTTGCACCCCTTGCCTCCACACTGTCCCGTATTGTTTTGTTTTGGCATGCAGTTGCAAGAGCCACCTTTAATTGCACTTCTGCCCTCCCTCTGTCCCACCCCCTCTGACCCCTGACTGCTCTGTTCTCCCATGGCCCTTCCCTCCTCACACCTCCCTCTTCCTTTCCGGGATGTGTTCCTGCAGGGTTTAGATGAAGAAGGACAGCAAGAAGGCATCCTCCTTGGGCAATTCACATACAGCCAAGATGGGGATCCCATCCAGACCTTTCACCTTGAGGTAAGAAAGAGGACAAAGAATAGGATGAAGGGTAGGGTAGATGGGACAAGGAGACTCCAAGCCTAGGCAAGAGAGGATTGGAGAGTGACTGCCAGAGGTGGGGCCTCCCCCTTGCCTTGCAGGTATCTAACCTGAGACATTTTGGTGGCTGGAGGAGAAAAAAAGCAACACACTTCTCTCCTTGGCTAAATAATAATAGTGGGCTTAATCCAGACTTGGTCATTTATTTATTTATTTAAAACATTTCTATGCCGCCCCCATTGCAACAAAGCCTCGGGGCGGCTCACAAGGAATACATAAAAACATACATAAATAATAATAATATAACAATTAAAAAAAACTACTTTGAGTAGTTTCACTGATTTCATGGCTATCATAAGATACATTACTTTCAATGAGTTTGCTTGAAATCCGGATCCAAGCCATTAAATTGATTGGCGATTCTGCTGGTTTCCTCTGATACCAAAATGCTCTGATCCCAATACTCCTCTGCCTAATGGCAGAAAAAAAGGCCTTTGGCATCTTTCTAGGCTTTTCTTTCCTGACTCAATTCCCTCTACATCTGCCAACTATACATCTACCCATCATCCCCAGCTACCATGTCCAATGGGTGAGGTGGCTTGTAATGATGGATATTGTAGTCGAACACATCTAGAAAATTTCAGGTTGAGAAAGTCTGTTGTCTGTTTAGCAAGTTTGTTATGATCAGTGATACTGTAGAATAACAGATGTAGTGGGGGAGTCTCTCCCAAAGGAATGGGCAAACTGGGGTCCTCCCATATATTTTGGCATAAAAATCCCTATCAGCCCTAGCCAGCATTGCTAATGGTGAGGGTTGATGGGAGTTATAGGACAAAATATATGAAGGGTTGCAAGTTGCCCCAGTAACTATAGGCCTATGATAACCAGCAGTCTCCACTGTGTTACATAAACATAGAAGAATTCTCTTGCATTAGACCAAGGGTTCATCTAGTCCAGTGGTGGCGAACCTATGGCCCACGTGCCACAGGGGGCGCGCAGAGCCCTCTCTGTCGGCACATGAGCCAAGTCGTCCCTGCATTGCCCCAGCAGCTGAGCAACAAATAACAGCACACATAGGGGCCATGCGCATGCTTGGAAAGGAGAAGTGGCGCCAAGCGATGATGTCACGAGCCACGACTCATTAGCCGTGACTCGTCCAAGCTTTCGCATGGCCAGTCAGTGCGCTGCCAAGGGTGTGTGTGTGTGTGTGTGTGTGTGTGTATATTGCTTGGACTGTCTGTGAGTTGGTTTTCCAAACTAAAACCTCAGCTTTCAGGTTTTATTGTAGTGTTGGCACTTTGCGAAAAATAAGTGGGTTTTGGGTTTCAGTTTGCACACTCTGTAAAAGGTTCGCCATCACTGATCTAGTCTTTCTGAATACATTCACCAACTAATATTATAGATGCCAAACTGGGTAGCATTCCTTACATTCTTGAATTATTGGGGAGGCAGAGCCATCTGAGGCTGTGTTTAAGACCTTGAGTGTGGCAGCCTCTTAATCAGAAATCATATCGGGTTTTCACCAGAAACCACCAGCTGGTTAGTTGATACATTCTGCAGCCAGTAGATGGCAGCTTTCAAGAAAAGCAACCGGGTTAGAGCAAGAGAAGAGCAAACTGATCCAGTATTTTCTCTTCCTCTGTGGGATGAAGGACCCAGTTTTCTAAGCCAGCCTCCTCCAGCCTGGTGGGAATGCCGGGAGTTGCAGCCCAGCACATTTGCAGGGCTCCAGAGTTGGGAAAGCTGTTCTAGGCTGCACAAAAATATGTTCTACATTTTGCTTTTCCTCTTTTTTCAGCTTCAGGATGAAGACAAGAAGACAGCCTTTCAGCTGGTTGAGCTGCGAGTTCTCAGCAATTGGGGCCACCCAGAATACACTTGCATTTATCGCTTCCGTGTCCATGGGGAGCCAGTCTCTTAACCCTTTCTAGTGCCACAGTCTTGATAGCTGGCTACCTCAAATTCTGTGCCTCAGACTGACACAGGCAAGCAGAAAGCAGTGTCAGAAAGGAGAGCCAGTTGGAATGGGTGATGCTTATTATTTTGCTATGTTGCTCTTAGATAGGGAACACGGGGAATAAATCACCACCGTCCCCAGGTGATTGGTTCTCTTTGGGGAAAAAAGCAAAACCAAACCCTTCCAGTGTGCTGAGGAAGAAAGTGGGCTCTCCTTGATTTGGTATTTTATATTCAGCTGCTTTTTAAAAATTCAGTGTTTAAAAAAAAAAGAAACCTATGCAGTTCTTATCTTGCCCTTCCCACCCCAAACAAAAACTGTATTCTGACTTTTTTTAGAGAGCTGTGTCATGATAGCCCTTATAGTTCTAGTGGTGTTCATATTTTTATTATATAGTATTTGGAGGTGAGGGTAATAATGTATTTATGTAATCTGTCTCAGATGAAGACAGCAAGAGGCTTTATGCTATTGCTTTTTCCTTTCCTGGGTTGGCAGGATTTAGTTTGTTTTTATTATCCAACCATGTCTACTGTAGTAGGCACCCACAACACTGCACAGTAGGGAACACCAGAGGAAAATGGGCATTTATTTCAAGTATTTAAAAACAGGAGGCTGCAGTCCTAAAGGATGAGGAAGTAAGAGGCTTGTTTTCTGGGGAGAAACAGTGGGAATGTAAGCAGGAGTGCCAAAAACTGCTCAGTGGCCCATTAGTATGGCTTCCTGCTAAAACTCATTTCCATGCTGCCATGCTTAGAGCAAATGACTGAATTCTGACAGGCCCTTTCACCACAATGGAAGTTCCTGCAGCAATCCTGGATATGTAAGGGCTGATTGTTCGTGCTGAGTGGTGAAGGAAACCACCCTGCACATGCTCAGAGACACCCATTTTTGTCTTGCATATTCCGAGTGAACCTTGATATTAAAATCTATGGTTCAAGGATAAACCTTGCTAAGCCTGGCTCACATTAAAGTCTGCCTTTGCTATGCATGCAAAGGAAACAGGCATGTCTCGCTCTTGGGCTGCATGTTTTAATGCAAAAGTGGCTGCAGTACTGGTTGTGTTACAGTGCAAATGGCTTCATGTGCTCTCAAAGGATTTTGTGTTTCTTCAGCTTGTATACATATAGATTAATTTCGTAAAACATTCAGATAGCAAAGAGCTAAGATTAGAATGACCACTAGTGGCTGCTTCAGCCCTTAATTTCTTTGGGCACTACTCACAACTGTTGAAATCCATTTTATCTCTAATCTGTGGTCAGAAATAACAAGGAATTTTCACCTTCCCCCAACACTGGGAGCAGCAAACAAGGGAATCCCCTTGCTATCTCTGATCACAGACTGGGAAAAACATGTTTCCTCCCCACTTCCAGAGGGTAGGGCCCACACAGGACTTAATCTTCCAGGTGCCAGACTGGGAACCCTTTTGGGACAGATATGTCCAGAGGTTCCCTGTCTCTTGCATGAACCAAATACCAGACTAGATGGGTCCTCAGGCCCCTGCTATGGGTTGACACAGAAGCTGTGCAAATGACCCATCCATCACTTGGCACAAAGTGCATGTAGCCACTTTATAAATCGTTTACATGTATTGGCCTGCTAAGAGGTACAAAAATGGTCCCCACCTTCTGTAGCTGACCTGCACAGGTACTGGAATGAGATGAGATGGGAAGGAGGACATAGATTACTGAGGGGGTGCAATGGACTGCATTAGTACGGGAGACAGGCTTGCGGTTTTGAATGCACCCTTGCATTAATACATTTGTTCAAAAACCCTGAGCAGAAACTGAACACCGCAAGGAACAGAAACTCTCTTCCTGAGAGACTGGTTTCAATTTTCAGGAAGCTTTTCCACACAGTGGAGGCAATTAAAAAATGGAGTCCCCATGTTATCTCTAAAGTGGTATAACCTATTTGACTTCCTTATTCTGCTGCACATGTAGACCAGTCCACTTAAGAAATCTAGAGAAATCTGTGGTAAAATTACTACAGATGAAGTGCTTACACTGTGTTAAATAGGTCATTGGTATTTGCCAACAGTAAAAGCTGCACTTGGAAGGAATGGCCCTCTTGCTAGGGATATCTCATAAAAGAATTGTTTCTTCTAAGAGGCTTCTACCAAAGGAAGGATATGTGGGCATACATGGTGCAGTGAAAACAGTGTGGAACGTGCCAGTTTCCCAGCTGAGTTGAGCTCCAGAACAATCTGTCCCTCGCGTTCACAATGGAAATTGTGCACAGTGCTGCTGGACTTTGTGTTGGTCAAGAGACCACTTCCCTTCCATCTCTCCAGAATACTGACTGCCACAATGGCCAACCAATCAGGGAGCTGGTCTCTCCTCCCCTTGGCTAGAGGTTAGCTTCCTGATTGGCTGGACTTCTTCTTTTTACTTAGAAAAACCTGAAGCATCAAATACACATTTGGATGAATATATTTGCAGGGTACCTGAAGTAAGTGTGCTTTTCTTTAAAAAGTTCAAAGGCAGTGGTATAGATGTGTTGAAGCACAGAGAATCAACATTTGAGTAGTGAGAACTATTTGTGTCAGAAGAGGAAGTGGGAGAAGCAGCGTTTGGCCATCTTTGCTCTATGTTGAGACAGGCAGACTGCTGCTGTAGTTAGCAGGACATTTTTTCTGCTTTTGGAATGTAAACACCATTTTCTTAGCTGCATATGCAACCTTGGTAGCTACTGCACACTTCAGAGCATGGGCAGTATTGCATGCCATTGAGGAAACTATGACAGGATAAAATCTGTTATTGGTTCCATGTCCCTGTCAAGAGTGTGAGGAAGAGGAGAAACTTTAATGTGACCGGTCAAAACAAAGGATGCCCCACAGAGAAATAACAAGGCAAACGTATCATTCAGCCTTGCCATTTCAATGTTTTAAAAGTCACAAGGATTAATGAATGTGACCCAAACTGTTCTAGCATGAATGCTTAGTGGAGAAACTGTGATGTAATTCTCTGGTCATCTAAAATAGCTTAGCAGAAGTGCATGGACATAGTTTGATATAGATTCACACTGTTAGTGTTACTAGGTCATGTTCATTTAGTTATAGCATAGAGTATTGGGTGTTCACTACCAGATGCATCCAGAGGAAAGCTGGTACCTGAGGGAGCGGGGGCATGCACAGGGCATGCTAAAATGGCCCCATCACTTGCTCCATCCTTACTTGCATCATCCATAGTTGCAGTTTTTCGGATGGTGGAAGTCTACAGCCTACCAACTGACCACCCATCGACTCAGCAGTGAGGGGTAGAAATAGGGTAGCCGATAACTGTGTCTGTATCCCTCTGTCACGCTTACAGCAATGATCTGCAATATGGGAGGAGGTATGTCGTCCTATTGGGCTCCAGTAAGAAGTGTTATGCCCCTTGGCTTACAGCATTTGCTAGTGGACTTTACTTGCAACTTGACAATAAAGGTCAGTTCCAACATTTATTTCTCCTATGATGTAAGTAGGGCAAAAAGCATAATAGAAGGCAACACTTACATGCTTTATTTAACCCGTAATTGTTTGCTTTCCCCAGAGTTTGTCTGTCAGACTATTGAACAAACTGTGGTTTGTTTTCTCAATTCTTAGTTGTTTCTTTCCTCTTTTGCCTGCTCTGTCCGTGTATCCCATATGCCTTTGCAGTGCTGCAGTACTGGCACACAGAGCAGCTGGGGGTGTGGTATTTTTCTACTCTTGCCTACCATCTCCATCACCTGGAGAAATAATTACAGTTCTGAGTTTGCACATAGTGATAACAATCCAGAGTTCACAACTCAACAAACCATGGTTTTGTTTTCTGGATTGTTTGTGGTTAACAAGCTTTGGTCACTACAATCCAAAATTCTGGAGTCCATACCATACCATGGGTTACTGTTGTGTGTCAGCCAGGCCATAATGTAATTTTATATGCCAAAATGGTGGCATTCCTGAAAAAGGGTGGCAAGCTTGCACATAACAAACAAAATCAGCCTCTTTTTAACCCTACCATTTTGCTTTCATCAGGAAGACCAAAGGAAGGATATCAGCGCTGCCTTAGAAATTGCAGTTTTGAGCTGCTCTAAGTCCCATTAGATACCTCTTTCATGCTTTTGGTAGGAAACTGGTTGTACTTCTGCACTGTTTATTGGTCAGCTAAGGTTGTGGTATGATGCTAGAGAGGATTTTAAAAAATACATCCATGGATAGTTGTCTATATGTGCGTGTGAAAAGCTATGTCTTTGAACCATAGCTTAGCTCTTATCTTTGTACTCTGCAGCAGATAAAGATGTCTTAAGCACTGATTTTTTTTAAAAGTTTGCTTATGTATTACCCCTTATAAAAGATATGTTGTTGATTAGCTGTACTTAGGAGAAAACAAAGGTAACTTGTATGGGTGCATACACAAGATCACACTTTCACTATGCCAGGTTAATCAATCTGGTGAAACTACTTTGCCTTGGTTTCATATAATTAAAGTGAATCCATTGCTTGTGTCAAACGCTTATGTGTTTCAGCATCTTGGGTGAATGTAAAAATTTGATTAATAATCTGAGTGACCAAATCAGCATTTGGTGATCTTGGATATGTACCTGAAGGACTGTGAGTGACGTTGTTCTGGCTCTCATGTCCCTGCCTATAGCTGTGTTAGCACCTAGATACTATTCTCCAATTGCGCAAAACTGGGACTGGACTTATGGTAACAATATAGATGTCATGCTCATGTCAGCTCCCTGAGCATAGCTAGGGGACTTGCATGCAGGTGCTGCTGGTTTCAATATAACCACAAGCATACTTGTGGAGCAGCTTTCTTCAACACTGGCCAGGCTGGCTAGGGATGGTGAGAGTTGCAGTTCAGGGCATCTGGAGGGAGGCAGGTTGGGGAAGATAGTTCTGAAGTTTGTTTGCTCACAGGAGGCACCATAGCATCTTCCATTATCAGATCATCAACAACACAGTTCGTATCTGCAGTGTCTTTATCAACATAGGTGAGCACCATCCAAAGCATGACTTCTCTTCCCCATGCCTTCCTTTTGGCCTGTCTCATTACACTGTCAAAAGCACCATGTTAATATAGTGCCATCAGTGTACAAGAGCAAAAATAGTGCTTCTTTAAGAAACAGCTATCTACAAAGCAAGGGAGGAGAGCAGTTTGTATCTAAGACTGTAACCTGTTGCAAATGCTGCACTGTTGGTTCATTATTTTTTATCTACCAATTGTAATTTATGCCTATGCAAAAGAAACCCAAGACAATAAATGACCTTTTTTTAAAAGGGTTGAGACTGACTGTTGGTGGAGAGGAGATGTCATTAATTTAGTAATTGTTTTGCAAGGGAGGAAATTGTAAACACCGAAGGGCAGCAATTCTGTGAGTGCAGAGTACCACACACATGCATGCAGAGCTTTCTAGAAGAACTTGCCCATCTCCTCCCATAAACATCACTGTGCTGCTATGCATGGTGATAGCCTAACAGAGCTAGAACAGAGCCTCTGCAGTGACCATCTAGTAACATGCTGCTCGTCACATGGCTTCAGCTGTGGATGCACATTCCCATAAAAAGGGCCAGCTGGAAACGTGCCAGATAAGTGCAGTTGTTAGCATGCAGCCGAGTCCACTGTGTCTGCCCACAGACCTTCCTTGGGCCACTGGTAGATTGCAAACTATTAGTAGGACTATAGATTGCAAACTATAACTCAATAGGCAAAGGAAGACTTGGTAAAATTAGATTTAGAGTAATCTCATAAGTTATTTCCTGGCCCAAATTTTCTGGGGTTAGGTAAGGGAGGAAAAGTTGCAACAGACGAGAGAGGGGTTCAGGTTTGAAAGGAGTCTTACAGCTTTCAGAACTGAATTAAAAATACTGAGCATAAGGGCTTCCCCTACATGTGTGCTACAATGGTAGATTTGCACTGGACTGCCAGTGTTTAAAGGAACACAGGTAGTAGCCCTTAAAGCTATGCTAACACCTCTTCCTCAAATAAATTATATGACACCACTTTCCTTCCATCTTCTAGTCTGATTCAAAGAAAATTAATATTAGATTCTTCTATTTTATTTTTTAATTTGAAAGTTCATGGGACACTGTGAATTACAGTTCTAGATGCAGGGGCTGCAGGTGGCGCAGTGGTTTAAACTGCTGAGCTGCTGGGCTGGTTGATCAAAAGGTTGACAGTTCGAATCTGCATGACAGGGTGAGCTCCCGTACTCTGTCCCAGCTCCTGCCAACCTTGCAGTTCGAAAGCATACAAATGCAAGTAGATAAATAGGTACCACTTCGGTGGGAAGGTAACAGCGTTCTGTGCACCTCCATGTTTAGTCATGCCGGCCACATGTCCACAGAAATTGTCTGCGGACAAATGCTGGCTCCCTCTGCTAGGAGACGGAGATGAGCACCGCCCCCTAGAGTCAGACATGTCTGGACTTTAACGGGGAAGTCCCATTAAATGGACTTTAATGGGGAAGTCATGGGGAAACCTTTACCTTTCCAGTTGTAGACCACCCAGTGCCCTCAGATGTTTTGGACTACAGCTCCCCACACCATTGACCATTGGCCATGCTGGCTGGGAATTATAGATGCTGTAGTCCAAAACATCCAGGGGACACCAAGCTGCCTACCCCTGGAGTTACTGGTGTGTACATTCTCTAGCAATGGAAGTTACAGGCAATTGATGCCAGTACTGCATAGCTGGAACCCATGTTGCTAGCTCTCTGCCGAGATCTTTGTACAATGCTGGTATTGGTTGATAGATTACCGTATCAGAGCCCAAATGCTAAAGAAATGCATTTGGAGGTGTTTCTGTTGCTGAAACCCAAAGATGTGAACACAGCACATGAAGGAGTATAGCCTACCATGTCTATACTTGACTCTTGCCTGTGCTGGTTTACAGTATTAGGAGGACAGCAATATATAGCTAAGTTCAGGAGACAATAAATGCTTCTTTGAAGGAGGCAATGGGTCTACCTGCTTTGAAAAAGACAATTACAAAACCACTGCTGAAGAACGCCCCCACACCCTGTGGACCTAGAAGAATGAAAATTCTTGGAGCAAGGCAGCCGATTAAGTGGTATCCACACAATTCCAGCCACTCTTGGATGATGCAGCCATAGATTGTCTGGTGCTATTTTCATCTTGTTCTGGGCCTCGAATTGGCACTGCAATCACATTCATTGTCATTCATTCATGGAGTGAAAAATGCACTTAAAGGTAATTGCTTCCCCAAATACTTCAGGCTAGCTCAATAAGAGTAGTTGCAATCAAAGCACTGACTTTATAGAACTTCCTACTCATAAAGCAAGAAACTAGCCCTTGCCCTGGTACCTGAGCCTTGTGTCAAACGGGTTTTGACAAGCACCTAGAAACAGAAAGTTATGTGTACCCAAGTCCAGACCACATAACCTTCAGAAAGAAATTTCAGCCTTGCTGAAATAGATACTCAACAGTTTACGCCGGTCTTCTTTACACTGGGAGCATTTATTTCTCTTCTTTGTGGGGAAAAATGAAAAGAACACACCTCTTGTTTTGACAATTATAACAAACCTTTCTTTTTTTATTTATACTTTTTTTACACCATGCCAGCCTCAGTAGTCTTTAAATGCTGGTCACAAAGTAGAACACAGCACTAAGTGACTCCTTTAAAAAAAAAAAAAAGGGAAACCTTCAGCACTGCGCATTCCTTTTTCAGGACAAAGGAATGGAGAGGACACCACACAAAGGTTTCCACTTCCCTTGGAAACAGAAGGCAACAAGACTGATGTAATGATTGATGTCATTACAGGGCCGAAGGCATCAAGTGGAGTGGGCAGGTATCTTGCTTTCTGCCCCCTTCCTGTGCCATTCTGCTCCAAGGGTTCCATCAATACTGTAGCTGCAGGAAGTCATGTCCATAAGACTCAGTGACATAGGCATAAAAAAGTCTTCTCTATCATGGCACCTGCTGCATGTGCTGGATTAAAACTCCCATAAACCCCAGCCAGCATGGCTGAAGAAGATGGGAGTTGCTATCAAAGTCTTAAAGTCAACCGGGGGTATCCAGTTGGAGAAGGCTCACATGAAATGCCTACTTGCTCTTCAAGGTTCATTAACTTCCAGAGTTTAGTTTTCTAAAAAAAAATCCTGTTTGGAAGGACAGTTGAGACAGCAACATGGGGAAAACAGTATTAAAAAGTTACAAACCAGTGAACTACAAACCTGGTGCTCTTTTCATTTTGTTAGAAAAACCACAACAACATGATGCCAGTTAAAAAGGAAGTCAACTCAGAACAAACGCCTTGAGTAGATGTAGCTATCAAACTTATAAAATCACAGATGTGTGTCCATCTGAAAATATAGCTTACAGCTTCCTTCAGTAAGCCTTGGACTGACTGTCTCAGAGCAGGCAAAGTCCCTGTTACTGCCATGGCACAATTAAATTTTGAAGAAAGGATGAAACACGGGCTGCAGCCTGGTTTTTAACACTAAATGGCAAGCATCCCATTAGAGGAAGGGAGATGGCACCTATTTCTCTAACATGAAAAGGGATGCACCTTCTTGCCTTATACCACTGTTGTGTTCTCCAGATGTATCAGACTGTTATCTCCCATAATTCCCAGCCAGCATGGCCAAAGGCTTCATGGGAGTTGCAGTCCAACACATCAGGCAGGCAACAAGTTCAGGAATGCTGCCGTATACAAGTACAGAGCAAGAAGATGCTATTGATAGTGTCTGATCTTGAGGAGGGGAAGGAAATGCTGTATTTAATGACAACTCAGAAGTCACAGAGATGAAATGGGAAAGTAACCCAAAGCCAACTTGCATCAGCTCTCCCCTCACCCCTTCCCATTTGTGCATGTAGCTGGTTACAGAATCAGGTACAGCCAGCACTCAAAATATGGGGCACCCATGATCGGTTCTGTAAAAGCAACGTCAGTCCAAAAGGATTGTGTGAAATAAACTCTCTTTGGCCTTCAGCTGACCCTTTTCAAAGCCAGCAGTTTCATGTCAGGCAGGAAGAAGGAGTGCTTTTGTGGCCACCCCCACATGGCGCAGACTAATCAAGCTCACAAGTGCGTGTGAATGAGGACTCGGATCTCATTTTAATCCAACTTTTGAGGTGCTGCTGGTTAGAGGGGTTTCCTTCATGCAGACTGCCAATTGCAGTCCTTGCTACATTACAATAGGAATGGCCCAGCTTTCCCTTAGTACCGGGGGGAAGAACTGCTACCTCCTCTCAGCCAGTTCAAAACGTCATACTCTTAAAGGCATCGGATTTCAGGAATTCTCAATCTCAGACAAGATACAGAGTCAATTTGTTTTTAAAAATGATGGGGATGGGATGAGAAGAGCAGGTACCTCTCTTTATATACCTGGATTCTCCTGCCTTGTCATGCGCACGCACACACACAAACATCCACCATAATAAAAACTAATAAAAATCATGACTAAGAGCTCACGATGTACAAAATGTTTCAGGCTAAAGGGAGAAGGCGGCAGTTGGTCAGTTCCACATGTGCTTTGTCACCTTCGTTAGCTTAAATTGCAACTCCCCCTCCCCCCCCACCACTCTCCTCCAAGAAAGGAAGCAGAAGAAGAGTTTCACAGCAGCAGTTCAAGCTGGGATGGATTTTGGTTGTGCTGCTCTGGATTTTTGGATTTAAGAAACGGAGGGGAGGGTATGAATTCCTCAGAGATTATGAAGATGCTCAACAGCCCCCAGCAGGAGTGGCAATAGCTCCTTGAGATTTGACTTTATGGCGCTGGCCACCTCGTCGCCGGCCACCTCCTCCAGCCTTTGCCTGTGGTACGGAGCAGGGAGGGAAGAAAAAGAGAAGTCCAGGTAAGGATGAGATAGACAAGACATTGCCTCATATGGTGCAAAGAGGTTGGGTGGACAGCATAAATGAGATGTGCAAATACAAACATACAACTATATACATGCGTAGCTCATGTGAAGAAAGGGAGAAGGAAACTCTGAACAGCCACATGTGGTCAATCTCTTGCAACTGTGCCCCAAACAGCCAGGAAGAAAGAGGACTTTTGTCCTTTCTGGTTTATACAGCACTTTTGTAAATGGGAGTTTAAAAGGAAAATTGACTATTTTTGAAGAGGAAGACAAGATATGGAAGGATCAGCAAAACGAGCTAATCTCAAACCTCAATCCACCTTGTTTCCATTACCAACTGCAAGTTTTTAAGGTGCATCTTTAAAAAGTGCATCTTAAAAGGGTGTGTTTTTCTATATTGTACATTCACTGAACCAACATCAAGCTCAGGAATGTGCAAGGTTTGCCTTCAAAATTCAGTCAACTTAGGTGTTGCAAACAGGGAAAATTCTGGTCACGAATGAAATAAATAAACACTTGCATACAAATCTGTAGATTTGTGGCTTTTGCTCTCCAAAACACACAAGCTGAAGCAGTGGAGGATTAAGAAATACCTTATTGCCCTCTCGACTGTGGGGCTCCTCATCCAGTACAGGCTGAAGGAAAGCATCAGGAAAAGAGAAGCAGGTGAGCAGAACAGGACACACACCCAAGACACTGGGCAAAGTTCAACAGAGGGGAGAGCTGCTGCTTAACAGTGCAATCTTAAGTATGTCTTCTCAGGAGTAATGTCTGCAGGGTTCAATGCAGTTTACTCCCAAGGAAAAGCACATGGGATTGTAGCCCAACCTGCCACCAGCCAAGCACAACAAGAGAGGAGGCACAGCATCGGAGTCACCCAGAAGCTCAGACTCCAGGGTAACTCCTGGAAGGGGAGGAGGAGAAGGAAGACAGCAAGGTGTCTGAACACCAGAAAGCACAAAGCAAAAGAGTAGTTCAGAACTTTCCAGTCCCACCCAGAGAAAATATCTTGCAGTATTTGCATTAAAAAGCATTCCTCTGTAGCAGGACAGAATAAAAGCTCCACCTGTTTTAGTTGATGCTTGCTGTTAATTTAAAATATTTAAATTCAACCTGTGCAAAGTTTGGGGTAGCATATAATACCACCAAATTTTAAAAGCAATATATATATAATCTAGCAAAGGAAAAAAACCCAACAAAACGTATGCCACCTGAAGCATAATTCAAGTCATGCAACTCGCCCTCCCACCATGGTCATGAAACCTTCCTCCCCTCCCTGCCGCCACCAGCCCCAACCTAGAGAGTCTTCATGTGGCAGCAAAGGAAAGGTGCTGGGCTCTCTGGGATGGAGTGGGAAGAGCCAGGGAAGGCTGCACAGCAGCAGAGCCACTGATGGGTGACGGCGCAGTGGTTCTGGGTAATTGTGGCATCTTGGCACATGGCCAAGGTCCCAAGAAAGGTCAGCCATGTGCTGAACTCTCACGGGCTGCTCTGGACAAGCTCGTGTGCTTTCTTTCGGCAGCAAATGCCACCATGGAAGAGTGGCTGGAAGGGCGCCCTAGACCACCCCACACAGGGATGGGGGCAGGCTCTGCAGGCTTAGACTGGGGGAGCAATGCATTTTGCTGCTCTTCCAGCTCTGCCTCTGTGTGGGCAGCTCTCCCTGTTTCCTGGGTGGACAAAAATAGCAAGAAACAAAAAGATCTTAATAAAAGGCTTAACACCTCAATGCCCTCAGACATGACACAGGCCCTCCACTTTAGAGGCAAAAGCAGCTCCATAATTCAAGGATGTCTTTCTGCAGTCTCTGGGTCAGCACAAATAAGTCCTTTCTTGCCATGGAAGGCATTAACTTCACAAAGCAAATAGCAAACAGCAGCAGGGCTCCTAAAGAAAAAGTCAGCATATGCCAAAGTTTGAAACCAGAGCCATTAAAAACCCTTCTTGGATCAGACCAAAAGACACCCCATGTCTCCTTGCATTAAATACACAGGCTTTTCACTTAGAAAATCATCACTGGCAAGGATAAGACTCAGTTTCCAATTCACAAGGCCACATAATTAGCATTCTTAGCGATAAGATAATTCTTCCCAGGGAGAACTTTTGAAGCCACTGATGCAATGCATTCGCACTGTCCGAGGACCCCAAAATATACACCAATGAGCCCAAAATGAAAAGATTTAACACGACTTCATTGGGAAGTGCCTATTAGCACTCCTGCACAGAGAACGTGGTGGAGACAGGAATGCAGTCTCCTCTTCTGGATGCCCGTGGAAAGTTTAAGAGCATTTAAACATACTTAAGTATTTGGGAATGGAACAGAGGAATGGCACCAGTTACTGTGCCTACCTGCATCTGCTGGGCACTAGAAGGGGCTGAGGGGGCTGCTCCCAACGAGGCGGCATCCTCTGCCACTGCAGGACTAGCTGCTACCGGGCCAGCCTGGGCTCCCCCTTCCTCTCGCTTCGTCAGGGGCCCTTTTTTTGTTGACTGCATCTTAATTTGCTGGGGCTTGGAGTTCATCGGAGAGTTATTTGTGGTCTGCAGTAACTGTAAGTCAGAAAGAGGTGAGCAAGATAAAGAGAAAATAACATGTGCCTGCATGTGTTTTGTCTGTGTTTTACTTTAAGAGGGAAGGGGAACCTCCTGGGATTCCACAGATGGCCACCCCACTTTTGGCTGGCCTTAACTCCTTTCCCCAAGTACCAATCATTTGCTGATTTGCAGGCTTTTATGCAGGTCTCCTCTCACCCAGCCTCCTGGAAAGTTGAAATGCCTCTCCTGGGCTTAATTACGGGCAAGAAGAGCTTTAACCCAACATGTATCGCAATGGATTGTCTTTTAGCCCCAGCCACTGCTGATAGGCAGCCTTTCCCCAGGATCTCTAGACTGAATTTGGCCCTCCAGCTAAAAGACACTTCTCCACTGATGACTTAGAGCACAGTGGTAAGTAAGCAAAGTTCTCCTGAGTTTTTGGCAACAGGAAGGGGGCCGTCCACAGCGCACCTATTAACCAGAAGCAAGTGAAAAACAGAGTCAGCAAGAAATTCCTCACCCTTTGACAACCTTTGGCCACCCATGCCCCATCTCAGGAGCGGGCAGACAATAGATCAGAATCAGCTGATGGATTTCTGAGTGACTTGTGATAGATTAGCCAGGGTTTCTAACCCCCCCGTCATCTCATTTAGGCAACAAAATACAGCTACCCCACAACTCCAAGTGCCTCCAATGAGGCCACTAGTATCTCTAATTAGTAGTAACTCAGATAAAGCTCATCCCAGTGTTTTTATGATTCGGGGTGCACCACTGGGCCCCGGTGCCAAGTCACCATTTTGCAACTGCCCACCCACCTCAAGCCACATTTTTGCCAAGTCTGGGTTCAGTCTGTAGGGCTTAGAGAAACAGCAAAAGTCGTTCCCAGGAGCCTGAGGTCTGCCCACCCCCGCTCCATCCTGTAGCAACACCCTTCTTACCTTGGTGATTGTGCCTACAGCTTTGGTTCGCCCCTCCCGAAAAACCAGACGCTGGTCTATGTGTAGGTATTCAGGGGTCTTGATGAAGCGGAAGTGCACGGTGGCTTTGTCTCCTGTGCGCAGGCAGTCTTTGTCCATACTGAGGATCGTGGCTGTTTGGCGGATGCTGCCACAATGCACTGTGAACAGGAAGACTTTCACTGGCACTCTTTTTTTCAAAAATAAATTTTATTATTTTTTCTAGAAACTAACATTAAAAACATCAATCATTTAAGACACTCTCAATGGCAACACAAGAATACATCTTTGCAGTGCAGGAAGCGCCAAACCTCCATGTATGGAGGCTTCATTCCCAACACAGGCAGCCATGGATGTATTTCCACTGTCAAATTTCCCCAACGCATCTGGAGGGCACCAGGTCGAGAGAGGTGGTGCTAGAATGAAGCACACTGACCTATATACTACCTTCCCCAGCCTGATGTCCTGAAGATGTTCTGGACCACAACTCCTGACCCCTGCATACTAGGCAACACTCAGAAAGGAGAGCAGAGAGGCAAAAACATCCTCCATTGCTCCTCCTGCCCTGCCCTGCCCTGCCCACAATGGCTTGGCAAGGCTTAGCATGGGCAGAGCCCCCTGTTGCCTAGGCAAGATGCCCACAGGACTGAGCCTCATTATCACCATGCTATCAGCACACGTGGGTTCCAGATCTCAAAGCCAAGGTGACAGGTGTACACCAGGGTCACAGGAAGCAAGCACACATACCCATTGCCTGGTAACGTGGACTGATGGTGGTTGGGTGATGCAGTACCAGAATCTCTGCTTCAAACTCCCAAGAAGCTTGAGGATTCAACCGAGGAGACACCATCACCATGCCTTTCCGGATAGAAGAGCGCTTAATCTGCAAGCAGAACAATTTAAAGCGGGTTGAAATAAATAAGGAAGTACGAATGAACTCATATAGCTAAATTATTTTTTTAAAAAATCAACATATTTCCACAATATTCTTAACAAAATAAACACAACTGCAGGAACCCAGTTAAAATGAAGCCTCCTCTGGGATGGAATGCAATGGCCATCCAGCAATGTTGAGCAGGAATTTGACAAAGATGAAGAGAAAAGGAAGGGGAGGAAAAAATAAGTCTAATTCCAAAAAAATAACTCCAGTACCAAGTTATTATTTGTTAAAACAGCAAGGGACAACACATGATCCCACCACTACCCACCTGCTTTTTTGACATTAAAAAAGCTGCTACAGATCCCCACGGGAGTCAAATTTAGCATGCAAACAAGATAGGGTTTTGAACTTTGAAGCACTCTGTAGAGTTCCGGACAACTTTTTTCTCCTTTAAAAGCATTTAAAAATAGTTTTCAGGACACCCAGCGGACTGCAACTCATTGCAGGGAGGGGGTTTGGTATTAGGTCCTCCTGAAGTTGCCAACCCTGCCTTAAAAGCTTTCTCAGCATGATGTTGACCAGACAGCTAAATGAGACTTCCTTTCTGCTGTCCTTGCATGGGCAAAGGCATTCACTGGGCCCAAATCCCACTGCACTTCATCTGGCTTACTTCTGAGCAGACATATGCAGTTATGCAGTATAAAACAGCCTCACTAGAATCCCAGCTCCCAATTGGAAAAAGAAATAAACATCAGTCTTCATGGGTATTAAGCAATTTGGAATGCAATGGTGAAACATCTCCGCCATGTTTCTCACTGACAGATGGAGCTCACTACTGGCCTAGCTTCATCACCACCTTAGGAGAAGTTTAGTTCTACTATGCCTTTGCAAAAACTGTATTTTGCACATGGAATCTGCAATTTAACTAACGATCCTAAAAGGCTGTGATCATGAAAGTACAGCAACTACCAAGGAGTAATCCCCATTGAAAACAGCAGAACTTACACCAAAGTAAGCATGCTTAGGATTACACTGCCCACTATGGCTTCAAGTGCTCCATCTGGAGAGCATGGATGGCTGAGAGATGCTGGGAGTTGTAGTCAAACAGATCTAGAAGGTGCCACACTGGGGAAAGCTGCTATGGAGTTACCACCACTGGTTCATGCACCCACCTTTTTCAGAGCAAAGGAAGCTGTCTGGCCTCCCCGCACCTCTTTGACTGGCATGCGTTTGCGGTGGATGGACTTCACAGCAATGGGCAAAAAGTTACCCAGAGGGTCTGGGCCTAGAAGCAAGGTATCATTTAGCTTGATCAGGCCTCTCAGGGTCGTCCCAGACACCACTGTCCCAACACCCTACACACCAGGGAGAAGTGAAAAAATAGCAGGAGTTAGTCAGGCTGGGAGCACTGTCACCCCACTCCTTTCTCAGCCCTGGGAAAATATGGCAGAATTGACTTTAACACCACTCTCCTTACTGGAACAGAGTAAGTGTCATCTATCTGGAATTCAGCGGGCTCCTCTTCCCTGTAACTTGTCCTTGGAGACAGGAGATTGAGAAACATCTTTAGCAATTCCAGGTTCTCACCAGTGACATTAGAAATCTGGAATATTGGGCACATCCTTATGGGAAAAAGAGAAAAAACAAGGCAAAATGTTCATGGCTATTTGCACTCTTGGTCTTCATACTGGGGGTTGTGGGGGTGGGGGGGACACATACCAGAAGCTGGTATGTGTCACATTGCCTTCTAGAATCAGACTTTGGTATTTTCCATCCACTAGCTAAAAAAGCAAATAGCGCATGACAAAAAAGCAGAAACAACCTCACACATTTCTCATCCATCTTATCTCCACTCTGGGCAACTATACATGTATCCTTTACCCAGAACACTTGGGTAATCTTGCCATTAATCTCTTTCACCCACTTAAAAGGGCTAAAGAAGGCCTCCTGCATTCAGGACCTGAGCCACATAAGCTGCAAGGCAGAGATCTCTCTGTTGTAGCTTCCTGACACTGTAACTGGCAAAGGCCTACTACTGAAGGGCCGGGCTAGATTCTTTGTCCTAAGTTTCCAAACAAGGGTCCTATCTGCTTTCATTTGTCACCTTTCGGAGCTGAAGTTGGAAGCGGTAACAATGACATCGTCCTTGCTCTGGACCAGCACAGGGATCTTCCTGCACCCTGGGGACTTCAGAAGCCGCTGCAGGAGCTTCAGGGTTTCTTGATGAATAGAATGAAGAGAATTAGGCCCATATTCCTTTTGTTACACTTAACTTTGGTAGGTTAAGAAACACAGATACAGGCAGAGATAGGATGTGATTTTCAATGGCTGAAACATAATCCTTCTGCTAGTCACTATCCACAATTTGGTACTGTTATTCTTCACAAGCCCATAATGACATCTGCACAGCAGCTCATGCTTTGCCCATTTCCCTCTGTAGACATTGTGCTTTTCTACGTCATGCAGCATCTACTTTTGGTTTTGCCGCAGAATTAAGATCCAAACTCTACAAAGAACTTTTCCCTCCCTGCTTTTCCACAAAGTAACCTCTAGGTGGCACAGCATGACAGAATAATGTGATTACATAATTAGAACAATATATTTGATTTCTCTCTAAAAAGGATGCAGAAGTGCTCTTAAAAAGTAAACTGGAGAGTTCCAATGTTATTTTAAGACTCTGTAAGCAACCACAAGTAAGGAATAATGACTGAACAATAAATGTGTCATGCAGAAAACCATTTTAGCAAGACCCAGCCTGTTTCAGAACTGCATTAACTTCCTTTTAGAATGGGATTTTGAGATGGAGGGCCAAATTCCATTTGGCAGGAAAGGATAGGCCCAAAAGCAAATGGATGAAAAATGCCAGCATATTATAGCTTAAAGTTCTTACAACCAGCAACTAAGTCTGAGAAGTCTTTCAGCTGTTTAGAGTGGGGAAAAGACACAAAAACTGGCAAGCCCCCAAATGGCTGATGACCCGGTGAAAGGGGGGACCCTCAGACATCTTGGGCTTCCAGGCTTGAGGTTCAGCACCCACAGTTTAGAAACTATGGAAGAGTTCTAAGCAGAAGGCAGAACTATGCATCTTTGTGCATTTATTCTACCCTTTCCTAGGATTTTGAATTTCATTTAAAAGAGGAGATATTCTGCCTCAAGTGAAGATACCATGAAGAGGCTCCGATTCCGAAGTGTCAATCTAGGTGGACTTTGGAGGTTACAAGTCAGGGCTTCCTGCATGTGGAACAGCCCCTTGTTCCTCTCGTACAGCTGCTTGTCCACCACCTGTGCTCCACAACTTGCACTTTGCTAGAAAGGAAGCTTCTAAGATTCTCACCATCATGTCTTGGCAAATTTTTGGATTCTCCACAACTCTTCACTAGACAGGGTGGCACACAAGGCAAAAGTGGAAGGGGATGGGGGCAAAGAAGTGGCTGATGCTCAAGCCCAGGCGCCTTCTCCTCTTCAGCGGGAAAATAGGAAATGGCTTCACTCACACTGACTTCATTAATATAAAACCTGAATTTTTCTCTCTGTAACTCTTTTCCACCAATTAATCATTGTGTGTTCATTGTCTAAAGACAATTGAGCAAGACTGGATTTTGTGTTTAAAAATAGATCAATAAATGTTTGCTTCCCCTATTTTTCATTTGTTCCCTGCATTTCCACCATGAAAATGGAGCTCAAGCTTCTTTCCAGTAACTACTAGGAGGTGACCAGGTGCAAGCTGTAAAGACCTCTGCACCTAGCAGAATCCAGTTTGAATGCCTGCAGCTTCCTTCCATTTTCCATGTTAAGACTGTAACTAGGCTGCCACTGTTTTCCTCCCTGCAATTTTTGCTTTATTCACCATCTCAGGACTACAATACCTTACAGAGCACTCCTCCTGTCATGAACCTACCAGAATACTATGCTCATCATCTGAGGCTCTCTTCTTAACGATAGGTTCAGAGACAGCAGCAACAAAGGAGAAGGCCTTTTCAGTAGTAGCCCCCCAACTGCTGAATGCTCTCCCCATCTGATGTTGAGTGTCATTTTTTCAGCACTATGTTAAAACTATCCTGTACTCTCAGACATTAAAAACTTACAATAGGTTTTAATTGCATTTATTCCATCTGATCATTATATAGTAACTGTTTTTATAAACTGTTTAAAGTTTGAATGTTCAAGTTTTGAATATTACATTTGTTTCGGAGTTTACGAACCTCCCAGAAATCTTCAGCTATTGGGTAGTATACAAATGAAATCTTGTCTGAAGAGTTCTCGAGAACTTGAAAGCTTACACCGTATTTGATAATCTCTGAGTCGGCCTAAGGAAGCTATTACAGCATTATATTAGCTGTATTTCAGAAATATTTGTTTTGGCCAACACAGCTACCTTTGCCTTTTGTGTGACATTGCTAAAATGTTGTCAGTTCTGAAAATAGGCAGTTCGTACAGCTAGCAAATATTTGATTTGACTGGAGAAGTTATCAAGCTAGATGCAAATAAAGGAATCACTATTAACTTACTGGGAATGTATAAAAAGGTAAGCTACAATCCATATTTTAATGTAGGTCTTCTCCCAGTTCATTATACTGCATGAATCTCAAACCGGGCAGAGCAGAAAAAGCTTCACCAGCAACATCGTTTTGAAAGGGGAAAACACATTTAGGAAGCCTGCAGTCTCTGCTGTCATACCTGGAAGCACAGAGCTTGAGCAGGAGAAACTAATGGTCGGATGTGACTTCTGCTGACAAAACTGGAAATGCCATCACAGCTTAACAGAAGTTGTCCAAGTCAACATCTTGTGTAAACCATCCAGAGAGAGGTTGCGACAGTATACAAAAATGTTAAATAAATAAAAAAATAAACATCTTGCCTCAACATGCCCCAAGGCAGTAGATTCCATGCTTAATTGCATGTTGCAATAGATGTTCCTTCAAGATGAGAAAAATAGCTTGCCTTCACCCAAATCAAGCACTATCCCCACAGACCTATAGCCATGATTAGGACAGGAAAACGTAAAATGCATTTGCAAAAGACCAAAGCTAGGAACACCTCATACACAACATTTTGCCACAGTCAGCTTTGAAGAACAACAAGCACTTTCCATTTTCTGCCAGAATATTAACTGTAAATTAAGAGATAGCTGGAAAGACCAATACTTACAGCATCAGAATTCCAAAAGTCTCCTAAACAAAGGTTCACACATTTGGGGTTTTACTCAGTGGTGTCATTCCACTAGAGCAAATGATGCTGCTTTAGTGCAACCCATGTTCCAAACTATGTGGAAGGAAGAATCCAACTAACATTCCACTTGCACAACTGGGTACATCTCTTAGGTTTACAAGATGACCTGCATGTTTTTATGTAGCCACTTTTGCAATGGGAAATAACAGCCGAGCAACTGTTACGAGGACATTGGATTTATTTATGGATTGTTATCAACTACATTCCCATACCACCCAATACATGAAGGTCCCTGAGTGATTCACAATCATTTTAATAATAACAACTATAAAATACAACATAGGATGTACCACAAAAGTTTAAAACTACAGTATAAAATAGAAATAAAAAGCTAGTAACAATGCTGAGATTTAAAATACAGCAACAAATTTGAAGCAGAAACTGAAAGAGTACAATATTTAGGAAAGCAAGGAAGATGCCTGAAAGGGCACAGCATAAGAGCATGGACAAGAGAGGAGCGGAGAGCAGCCCTTGCTGCGGTCGACACAAGATGCAGCCAGGCGACACTCCAAAAGAGACAACTGGTGTGTCGCCAGTGGTTGTTAAAACTGTTAGCTCCAACAGTGGTGTACACTACAGGCTTCCTCTGCTGGCCGGCAAAAGGAAATGCCTGATTGCCACTGGCGACTGTTTCTGTGGACTTCTGCTCCTGAAGGCATGATGGGTTAGGGAGAATCATCATTACCAAGAAGCCATTTTTGCTGCTTAACAGCTATTAGGCACCACAGCCAATGAGGACCTCCATGTCCAGACATGTTGGGTCACTGGACAGCCATTGCTGGAAGGCAATAGCAGGGAAGGACCATTCATTTCACACACTGTTTGAGGGCTTCATGGAAGCTTCCTGTTGGCCAGAGTGGGAAACCGTCCAGGCTAGAGGGGCCCTTGGCAGGGTTTATCTTACATCAGTTCAGGAGTCCCCAACCTTGCTTTTCTGGCCTGCTGACAGAATGCTGTGAACACTTTCACAAAATGGTTCTTACAAGAGGGTTTCCCATTCAAAAAATAAAGAGGTGGGCTCCAAACCCCCCCCCCTTTTTTTCTTCTCTGGGACTCATTCCACAGCAGCTAATTGTTGAGATGTGGGACCCAGGCGGGATTCTAGGAAATAAAGATGCTGCCAAAGGCCAACCCTGTGCAGTAGGCCAGCCTGTCAGTTATTTTATTTTTAATTTAAAAGAATCTCAAAGAGAATAAAACCTAGAACAACTGTAGGTACCAGGAAAGATGCCCACTGGCAGCAAGCTGGAGACACTAGTAAGAGCTCATAATCTTCTGGGATAATTAATGTAGTAACTGAGAATGTCAACTACGGAAAAATATAGTCATTGTACCTGAAAGGCACCATTGCTTCAGTCACAGTTGTTTTTCTGGCACTACTTACACTAAGACTGAGTTCCTGTTGATTTGCAAAATGTTTCACACAACTCTCAACGCATTCAAGAATATACACAACTCCCTATCAACAAGTTGTCTGAAACATTTGGTAAAGCTACTTATAAGCCATCAGTCATACACTTGGACTGCAATCCTACACACACGTACTTGGGTGTAAGCCCCATTGAACTCAGTGGGGTTTACTTCTGAGTAGACACATAGGATCGCAGTGTTGCTCTATTATTGCCTCCCTATGTTCTGAAGCTGTAGTGTTTAAAAATCTAGAAAAAGAAAAAAAAGAGCTAGTTGCAGCCATGGCAATCAGGAGGTAAAAAAAAATTCAACAGGTGCCTGGAGTGGATCTCCACAGATCCTTGCCTTACCCTAATCAATGAAGAGAATGCTCTGTCAGCATGGTCTGCTCTTCCCCAAAAGCTTACTTATGGGGGATAGAGAAGGCAGCAAATCAAAACACTGTCTTTGAGCTGTTTCTCTGCACCACAACAAATTATCCAGAGAAATACGTCTATAATTCAGAAGAGGCCACAAAGAAAAACAAGTGCACGCCAGAAAAATAATGCAAATCAGGAATTAGCGATGGCTAGAAAAAATAATATTTTGAAATGGTTATTTGAAAGTGGCTGCCACAAAAGGAGATGGCACAGCAGAGCTGTTTGCATCAGTATCCATTTACCTTGGAGAATATTGGCAGGACACATGTCAATCTTGGTCACCACCACAAAGACAGGAACGTTGAGGGCCAGTGCCAGGCCCAGGTGCTCCTTAGTCATCCCAACAATTCCAGCATTGCTGCCAACCTGCAACAAAGCAGAGTGGGAGGAAGAGAAAGACCAGTTGCAAGTAGGCAAACCACTTCTGAGGCTTCAGCTCCAAATCTGTGCCAGGGCTACCTAGTGTAATATAGGCATTTCTCCCTACCCATAAAAAAACAGGATGAAGGGACATGAGCACATTACAAGACAGAAACTCAAAACTCAAGGGCCTATCCAGCTATTCACAGATGACATTCTTGGGATGACACTGGACAGTTTCTACAGTCCATGTTCAGCCACTCAAATAAGTTCCTGGGAATCTGGTGTCCCATTCATGCAACCACCCCAAGAAAAGCCATGGCAGAATAGGTTGCTCATCATGCTTTTCCCAGTTTATACAATCATGGCATTTTATTTCCAAAAAGTTGTCATGTTTGCAGGTAATCTAATGATGCACTTAGCCTCTGGGGGGTGCACCTGCACTGTTTTCTCAGCCTGTGCCAGGAGTGTCTAGCCAAGTCTGTCCCTAGTGCTCTGTCTCTTTGTCAAAGATGCTAGACTAGTGCAGAGAACAATTCCCAGCTTCATAAAGCTAATGTACAAAGCCAGGAACAGTGCCAGGGCCAAGGGCTCTTCATTTAACTCTCCCCTTCCCTGCCCCTGTCTGATGTGAAACACTGACTTCTTATTAAGCCGGAGTTCCTTATTACATCCAAATTGGGGATCTCTAGCTTAATGTGCTTGATAAACCTGGAAAATAAGCCAGAATGGCACAACCCTTGGTTTAGGATATTGGGAATATCTATCTGGAGTAGACCACTATCCCAGAATGGTACCAACTGCCCCCAAAGTTCCTCACAAGGTACGGGCTTACGTTGTAAAAACTCTGCCTTCTGCAAGGATGCCTTCAAATGGCAGACTGGGACACTTGCTGATGAGAGAGTTTGCTTGTGGGTCAGTATCTTCTCACAAAGAAGCACTCCTTAGTAATTTGGGCTACTAGCTCATTAATAATTCCTCAGTTTCTTCCTTATTCATGAACAGTAAACACACACATATACTAGAACTAGAACAAGAATGTATCACAACCAGAAAGGAACAGTTAGCATCCCAATAACATGGCAGGCAATCCACTGACGCAGACATAGCACAAGTCAATCTATTTATGTAACAATGGTAAAAGTGTGTGCCTGTACCTCACAGATCTGACACCAAACCCTTTTGCTGTTTTATAAGTTAAAGAAAGACAACTGTCAAATTAAGATCTCAAAATAGAACCTAGGTCCACTTTGGTGCACACATGGCACACATTACAAATAAGCTCTCTCAGTTTGCCTTTGCAGCCCAATGAATTAGATACAGATTTATGATGCACAAATGGACCTCAGTGTGCTAGGAATTTTCTTAAAATGTATCTTTGCAATCTGAATACAGTGGTAGCTTGGGTCACGAACTTAATCCGTTTCAGGACTCTGGTCGTGACCCAAATTGGTCATGAGCCAAGTTAAATTCCCCCATAAGGTTCAATGTAAATAAAAAAAATAGTTACAGAATGCATTAACCTTAATCAGAAAAATGTAAAGCAAAGTGATAAAGAACAACAAAGATTGCGGCCGTCTCCCTGCCCCCCCCCCCCCCAGCACGACCGCGATCGCATCCCTCATCCCTGAACGCGCCCATCATCCCAGCATGCTGGGATGGGGGGAGAGATGGGAGCGATCGGGGGCATGCTCAAGGGCGGGGAGAGGGGCATGATCATGCTGGAGGGGGGAAGATGGCTGAGATCACGGTTGCGCTTGTGCAGGAAAGCCGAGCGCAATCACAGGCGCACTCATGCAGGAAAGACAGGCGCAATCTCAGCCATCTCCCCGCCACCCCGCCCCCAGCAGGATCACGGCCATCTCCCCACTTGGGGAGGTGAGGAGATGGCTGCAATTGCGGCCATCACCCAATGCGGAGTTCATGACCTGAGTCAGAATTTTTATGAAATTTTTGTTCGTGACCCCATTTGGTTGTAAACTGAAGTGTTCGTGAGCCAAGGTACCATTGTATATTGTATGGCTGTGGTGACCAATGGTGTTTAGCAATTAAATTTGTCTGGCAATGTTTTGGACACCACAACACATGGCAGGAGTCCCCCTGGAAAGGCCTTTTGCTGGCATCATGGTGCACATGGTTTACATATGAGCTTTCTCCAGGATCTGATCCATCTGCATAAACAGAGAACTGTGTTCAATCCACAGTGCAGGCCGGATGTCAGCCTGATATATTCTAAGGAAGAATGGAGCAATTACAAGAAAATCACAAGACTAGTTCGCTGAGTGACATATTGCCAGTGCTGAAGCTTGCATATTTTGTCATGGGAAATTACATATTACTGAGCACCACACAACCCAACACCTGATTAACTTCTGGATTCCTGAACATGCTTTTATAGTGGGAATGCTAGCGTCTCTCTATCAGCTCCTTAACACTGTGACATGAAAGATGGAGTGGAGGGGAACTCTGCTGTGCTTACAAGACCCCAACTACTGTTGAGATCACACCACCACAGCTTACCATTAGCATGCAAAAATCAGGTAGGTGCCCAGTCATGCCAAAGACAGTTGTCTTCAAGTACTTTTCGTGCCCAGCTAGGTCAATGAAAGTTATGACCTTTGTTGATTTCTCACAAATTTTGGTCCACTCCAAACTTCCGCCATGGCTGTCAGGCTTGTTCACTACATTGCCCTCGCTGTCAAAGCCCAAGATGTCGTTGCCCACACTGCTGGTTCGGCCTGACTCGATCTCATGCTTGTGGCGAAAAAGCTTTTGCCGGGCAAAGCCCCGTCCATTGTCCAGTTCACCATGGGTGAGGACACCCAGCAGAGTGCTTTTCCCAGCATCCACATTGCCAACGACTGCGACCCTATAGGAAGGCAGAAGAAAGTTGTCAAGACACTGACTTTCAAGCCTTGAAAATCAGGGATTCATAAGCTTTTTGTCCCTCCCCACATGCAGGCTAGAAATTTTGGAAGATGCAGTCCATTGGATCTGGAGGACACCACGTTGCAGAAGGATGGTTTCAACTTGTCTGGAATGTGAGACAGGAATGTGAGAAGATCTCACGTTAAATCAAATCACTAGTTCCTTTAGCCCAGCCTTGTTTTTACAGATTGGCAGCAACTCTCCAGGGTTTAAAGCAAGTGTTTTTCCAGAGCTACCTGGTGATTCAGGAGTCAAGCCTGGGACTTTCTGTGTGTATTGAACTACGGTCATTACCTTTCATACCATGAATGTAATTTAACTGAGGATGCAATGCTATACCCACTTACCCGGAAGCCTGCCCCACTCATGCCAATGCCAGTGGGACTTTCTGCCAAGGAGGCATATATAAGATTGTACTTCATTTGTCCTAGAAATCAGATCCCATATCCATGAGCCAATCTAAGGTAGATATACCCAGCACCCACAAAATCTTACAAAACCTATGGTATAAAAAACCCAGATTTTTGTCAACTGTTGGACACAAAGGACTCAGCCTGTAGTATTCTGACACACAGAGAGAAAACACAAGAATAGGAAACTTTCCATGGAACTTACAGCTTGCTATTCCAATCATTTGTTCAAGATCCTAAACAATGGCATGTACACAAAGTAGAATGGAATGAAAATTTAATTAGCAAGGAGAGGCCAAACCACTCCCATAGCCAAACCAGAGTTACCAGCTTCTTAGCACTAGCCAGGCAGGTGCAGATTTCCTGTTAACTAACCCTCATCTCCTTACCTGACCTCCAGGAAATCATTGTCACCCACACGCTTCCGAACCAAGTAGTCCCGCACTTTGCCTCCTGCCTCTTGGTGCTCCCGCAGGAGAATCACATCGGCATCTATCTGCTCTGCCATGCTTTTCACTGTAGCATAGGAAGCTTCCATGTCTGCTTCACTGAGCCCATACTCAGTCCCATCTAGTGGGGTATTTGGAAGAAAAGAGAAAGAGGAACAGCTGCTTACACTGTTTTGTTTTGTGGACCTGGGGCCACTTTGCAATGAACATGACCTGAACTTATTACTGGAAACAGCCTCGCTAGATCAGATCACACAGACCAGCTACAGGAATTGCCAAAAATGCCACAAAAGAACTTGGACTTTAGATTTAAAATGGTATCAAGTAACTGGAGGAAAATAAAACTTGAAAGCAGGAGTGGGCAGAAAACAGAACTCCAGTTCTGTGGGATTTCAACTGCCAGCCATGTTAGCAGGGACTTCTGGGAACTGAAGGCCAAAATGTCTGGTAATTTACCTTCTAGCCACCCCTACTTTAAAGCCCATCCAGGATACAAATGAAAACATGCAGGGGTAGAGAAGATTCCAATGCTATACCAAATGTTTATCTGATACATTTGACTGTTTGGACAGCCTGATTTTATCCCAGAGTGGGCAGCTCAGATCACCCAGCTCCTGGGGGGAAGGGGGGCTTGAAAGGAAAGATGCAATCTGCTACAGCCTACTGCTCTCCAAAGCTTCACTCTGCAAAGTGCTGAATGCACTTACTGAAGACATAACAAGAAAGGCATCAATGCATCCCCACTCCCAATCCATTAAATGCCAGCATAGTCTATGAGAAATTATGGAGGTACAAAGGTCTGGACCTCATGTGTGCAGAGACGTTCTCTTGCTATACATGTGCAAAGCAGAGGATCCAGCAAGGTCTCACAGGCACATTAGCTGCACAAGAGAAGATGAACATCCACGCTCCCACCCTGATCTATCTGCTGAAGAACATTTTATTTGGTAGTGTTCTTCCTCTTGGTTATTTGAGAATTGATGCTTCAGTCACTTCAAAGAGGGCAAAAATCCTTTTTAACTTCCACATTCTAGCTTGTAGAGCAGGGTGACGGAAAAAAAAACAATTGCGGGAAGTTAACTTGTTTAAACATTTTAATTTGTTTTACTTAAACACACATGCACACAATGCAAAAATCAAAGCATTCCTATAGGTCAGGTTCTTGGTTTTGTTGCAGGAGAAAGCTCAATGGTGCATGATGGCCCCACTCTCTGACTGTCTGTATAAGTTCCTATGCTTATTCAAAATCCAGGGTGGGTCAATTTACAAAAAGTAAGGTTAGCATAAGACACAACGTGACTGATATACTTTGAAGAGCTGGGGAATGCTGGAAACAGTAGTACCTTTTTCCTTCTAAACAGGCATGGAACTGCACTTCTAGTTACATATTGGAATAGTCAAGTGTATTTGTGCTATCACAGAAGAAAGGCTTTTCTCTCTTCAGATATCAAATACTAATCTCCCTCTCCTGCAAACACTGTAATTCAAGCCACTTCTGTCAAACCACTGCAGCTTTTTCAAGTTCTGCTTGTGGTGCTGAAGAGGGAAATCATGCTCACCTGATCCTTGTCCAATGACATAGATGGTCTCCCCACATCCTTCATCCATCCTCTCCCACATCTGCTGGAGCAAACTATCATACTGTTCTGAGGTTGGACTGACCATTACTAGCTGAACATAGAAAGCAGAAATCTATGTTAAGCCTGCTGATTTAGAATATCACCGTCACAATCTGACTTTTCAGATATCATTTTATCTTAGGCTTATGAGTCATATTTCAAGTAGATCTTTAAAAGGTACATTCCAAAAAAAAAGAATGTTGCCTGTTTGGGGTGGTTATTTTGGTTGATAGTAAAGGAAAGAAGAAAGTGTTGAGGAGCCACAAAGTCTAAAGAGAAGTTCACAGAGGGAGAGGGGATGAGAGAGAGAGAACACACACTGAGCAACAGGGTTGTCAAGTGGGCTAAAATGCAAACAAAAACGATTCCATGAAAAAGCACACCTCTCTTTAAAGTAGACTGAGGAACAAATCCTGAACAATGTAAAAGACAAAGTCTGTTGCTTTGCAATGGTTTTATACACAAAATATACTCAAAGAATTAAAACAGCATCACAACACATGCAATGCCACGCCAATGTTTTCACTGTGGCTTCTATTTACCCAGAACTTCAGGGGTCACTACACAAATTGAAAGGCATAACCCCAGAAAGAGGACAGATGCCTGACCTGTCAAAATGACCTGTCATCAGTTTTCTTCCAGATACTGCCTACTTTGAGAATATCATATGATCCCCACCTGGTGGTGAACAAAAGTCCAGGTATCGCTGCACATTCTTTTGTCAGAACAATACCTCTTATTTCATATCTGAATAGGTGCTAAATAATAAAGTATTATTTCACAACCCTGCAATCCTACAGCAGTGTTCCTTGAATAATTCCAATGTTGATTAAAAACAAACATCATTACAAAGGTAGGCAAGAATTCTGAACTTATTCTGTTTGAATGGATGCAGTGAAAAGAGTAATAGATGAACACAACATGGTTCCAAAAAACAACAACAGGTTACAATACTTAGATGGATTTGCGACTGCATGGTTCACTTTTGGAAAACAAGCACAGACCTATGCGTTCATGCCACGTACACTAGAGCATATCCATCCACCAGCCCTTAGTCACACACTCCAAGCATTCACACATGCATGCTTCACTATTAATGTGCACAGGAAGGATGCAGAACGTGTGGGCAGGTGTGGTGATGAAGGGTGTGCAGGTTGCTTCTCCTATATTCAGTGATACGAACTTATTGACCCAAAAAGGCAAAGAGGACCCATCATCACCACACCGAATTGAATGGGAAGGACGCTGTGGGAGCAACTGCGGAAATGGGAAGCAGACTATCAAAGGAGCGCAGTAAGGAGCAGTCATCGCCAAGCCCGAGCACTGGCCAAGCTCACCTCCGGGCGCTCCTGCCCCGTAGCCCCTGCCAGGCCTACCTTACTGGTGAGGTCGAGCTCGGGCTCTCCATTAAGCACCTCGCCGTCCTCGCTGCAGTCCGAGTCTGGAACGCCGTGGTGAGGCCTGGAAGAAGCCACCGCCACTGCCCCAGCGTGTGATGCGGGATCTGGGGCAAACATCGACGCCGGTACCGGCGAACCCCCCATCGGAGAGCGACTTCGCTCTGTCGCCATCTTGGCAGTCCCGGCCTCCTTCTCCTGCCCTATTAGTTTAGGCCCCGCCCACCAGCGCATAAATTATGCTAAAAAAGTGCCTGGCTTCTCTCGCAGCTTCTCGAGCAGACTGTTTAATAATTTAGTACCTCATCAGCCAATTGGAAGAAAGGTTATTAATAATTATTATTTGCTGTGACAACCGCAGTAGGGCTGGTTAAAATGTATGAGCCACGCCTCTTTTGAAAATCTTTTTCCGGTTCCTCTCGCCTAGAAGACAAAAAGCGGTGCTGGTGGCAGGGGCTGCGTGAAGTTCGATCTTTTAATAATACCTAGATGGCGGGCTGGTTTACGAGATCACCCTCTCGTGGCCAATGGGCGATGAAAGAGCAAGATAAGCAAAGATCCACACCAATCGTGGTAAAAGTTTACATTAAAAGGCGGGAATAGAGCCTTTGCCAATGGTGGAACAGGATGACGACAAAGCGCCCAGGTGAGAAAAGAAGGCTGGCACTTTATTATGATGGCCAATACAAACGCGACATAGACATACAAAAGCCACTCATATCCCAAGAATGTGTTATGATGAAACGGGATTTCTTCTGTTTTCTTGTCTGCCCGGGATAATCCCTGGCAAAGGCTGATGACACAGGGGTAAAATAAATTCCCATGAGATATTATAACCTGATGCAATCGAGCAGTCACAGCGGGGTTTTGTGGCTTGAATATTTCATTTCCTTCTTCTTTGGTCTAATGATTGATCTAGGAGGTGTCAAATGCATCTTAGCTGATGAATTTGAAGATCAGCTATAAGAAAGAATGAAATGGTTGTCAGTGAGCTCATTTTGGTTTTGGTATGGCTTTCAGAAGGCTTCTTTGCTGCCAACAGGTAAATGTATTAGGCCACATGGATACATGATGTGGTCAACAAAGGGTGCAGTCCTATTCATGGTTAGCTGGAAGTTGTGGAGATTTTTTCTACCTAAACATGGAAAGAACTTTGCTCTGAATTTATTTATTTATTACATTAATACCCCACCCTTTTCCCTGCAAGGAATCCCAGATGGTTTACATTGGCCTCTTCCTCTCTCTTTTATCTTCACATTTCTGTGAGGCAGGTTAGACTGAAGGATTGCCCAGTGAGCTTCATAGCGGAATAGGGATTAAAACTAGAAATTGGAGGGGGGGTGTTTCCAAAAAAATCTGATATTTAAAGACTAAAGGTGGGGGACCAGCAAAGATAGTTTGGACCAGGACCACATTGTGCTGGCCCTTTGTTAAAGCTTTCTCCAAAGTGGTGCCCTTCAGATGTTTTGGACACCAACTTGCAGTATTCCTGAAAGTCAGTTGTGCTAACGGGCTTCTGGCAGTTCAGGTGCTAAATATTTGGAGGGTAGCAAGTTTAGAGAAGTTCCTTTGCCTTATAGACATGCTAGCTACAATGCACCTGAGTTTTAAGATGTCTTAAATTATATTGTTAATGAAATTTCCCTACTCTTTCTCACTGATCTTTTAAAATAATAATAAATACGTAATATAGCAAATAGTTTTGACTTTTGTGAACATTTTTATGTGCTTCTCCAAGTTGCATAGTTTTGGGTTTAGTGGGTAGATAAATTCTACAAGCTATACACAACTAGACTACTGACATGCATAATGGCTTAGGAAGAATCAGTAACTTATACACAGAGCACACTCCTATGAAAGTCCCACCAAACTCCCAAGGACTTATTTCTGTGTAGTGCAGCAACAGTACTCTTCTGTGCAATAGCTTGATTGGAAGGGGAGAAAAGAGTTTTCCTCAATATCAAACAATTCTTTATTACCACTATATATTAATCAAGAAATCTAAAAACTGTAGCTGCAAACTCTCAGTTATGAAATTCTATTGCATGTTCTTCTAGGTGAAGGAATGAACTTTGAGAAGGAAGGGCTAATACCCAGAAACCTGTCTGTACACATGCAATTAACTGTGCCTGAGTACAGGTCAATGATCTGTATCTACATATTATGCATGTGTTGAATGCAATGTCAGAATACTTAAAGTAAATATGTGTTCATCAGTTCATGCTATATGTTCATTCCTTTAACCAAGATTCATCTGTAACAATGAATCACTGAATTTATGTTTCTAATACCTGTGTTCAATTCAGATATGAACACATGTAGACCTCATGCTAGGATTACAATTCATGTAGTAATGTGTTATTTGAGTCTGAAAATACAGAATATATTGCACAATGGATATTGTACATAGAATCCACTAGATTCCCTTTGCAACATTGGATTACTAGAAGCAAAGTAGCTTTGAAATGAAAGTAAGCCTGTATTGTGTAACTTTGGCAGGAGGTACTACAAGAAAACAATATTTGAAGTGCAGCTGAAGATGTCATCAAACCTATAAAGGATTGTCTTCCTCAGTAAGCCTGAAAGAAGTATACTAGTAGTTTTTACCAAAGGATGAAAGAAATAGCTATTATATCTAGGGGTAAATAATCAATTTTCAGCACTCTGAACTTGGTACGCTTGTGGCAACTTCTACTGGATGGACTTATTCAGCAGCAAGAACGTGCTGTGCATGGAGAATGTGTAACTTATCTAACACTGCTGGGCCAGCCACTGACAGTGAGTGAGTCAGTATTGTTGCAGTAGTTCCATGGTCTTCCCCTACCAGACAAAGTTCTGTGCCATAGGGTGAGGCATGGCAAATGGAAGAACTTTTCACTTTCACTAATGTAACAGTTCCTGATGAGCAGCTAGTCACTGGACCCATCACTGCACAGTTACCAATCATTCTTCCCCCACCCCGCATGTTCTTCTTGTCTTTCCGTTCAACATACACAACAGCATGAAAATTTCCACCCCACTCCTGTGTAAATCACAGGCAAGGCAGGTCAAAGCTGCAAGGGGAGTAAGTGTTGGGAAGCCAACTGTTCCCTTCGGGGGTTTGCCTCCCAGGGCAGCTATGCATTTCCAAAGTACATGACAGATAAAAGTCTACTGAGCATGGAGATGCAGAAATAGGAAAACTGCATCTGTCGCTCCTCTGTCCTTTGCACACCTTTTAAAAACAAAGGAGTCCAACAGAATGAAAAAGGGTGTCAACCCTGTACTACTGTGTTGTTGTCAGAACTGAATCTGGAGTTAACACTGTTTAATAAAAAAATGTCTCCCTTATGATAGCTGGCTGACTGGGGAATAACCACCAGGCTCTTGTTTGTTATGTATTCACAGGATGTCACAGTCAAGAGCTCTGCGTGATAAGGCAGTAGATTGTCTTCCACCTCATCCCACATCTATGCACATTTACTGAGATGTTTTTTACACAGGGTTCTCCCATGTAAAACACAAAAGTGTTATATCACATGATCAAATAGTATATATTTGAGGATCACCTTGACTCTTCTGTATCAGAGTCATTGTGGTGCAGTGGCTAAGACTGGGGCTCAGGTGATCAGGGTTCTAGTTCCTACTCAGCCATGCAGCCACCTCCAACTTTGGGCCAGTCACAGACTCTCAGTCCAAACTACATGACAGGCTTGTTTTTTGGGGATAAGAATGAGAGCAGGAGATAGAGAATTTTCTAAGCTGCTTTGAATTCTTGAAAAAAGAAAAAGGCAGGCTATAAATCTAATAAAGAGCCAGTGTGGTGTAGTGGTTAAGAGCCTGGGACTGGGACTCAAACGATCTGGGTTCGAGTCCCCGCTCAGCCATGGAGCCAACTGGGTGACTTTGGGCCCGTCACAGACTCTCAGCCCAACCTACCTCACAGGGTTGTTGCTGTGGGGATAAGATGGAGGAGGAGATGTAAGCTGCCTTGAGCCCTTTGTAGGAAAAAGGCAGGATATAAATTGAATAATAATAATAATAATAATAATAATAATAATAATAATAAAAATACTATCTGTTGAGATCATCAAGTGAGACCTTTTGCACTTGTCTGTTGCCAGTAGTGGTTAGACTGATGAATACAAGGGGGAGACAGTGGAAGTGCTGAACTTCTGAAATCTGTTGCTATCAGAGATTCATCGAGCTTTAACTTTGCAGATCTTCAGGAAAATTGTGACGACTTTTTGTTGCTGGCCTTCCCCTAAGTCAAGACCATAGGTTTTTATAGGCAAGTGTTTTTTTTAATTGTTAAACCACTTTTATTATGTGGTTTTTGTTTACCATGCTAGAGGGTTCCACCCATAAAGGCAGTGTGGAAATAATCTTAGTTGGGGAAAAGGAGATAGTTGCCTCTAAAATAAATAACTTATGTGACAGTTAGATTAGGAAAATTAGGAAAATTTGTAGCCCCAGCTCCCAGCTTGAGTTTGGCCTCCAGAGTTGGAGCATCTTTCCCCCGCCTTTAGAGCAGGCACAGTTCTTTCTGTGCTGACTACAATTCCAAAGTTGAAATTTCAGTTTCAGAACCACTGCTGAAGAAGTGGGGAGGGGAAGAGTAAGGCGCCACCATGGTACTCCAGGCAGTGCCTCAGCCCCTCCTCATCACACACAGGGATAAAATGCTTAGAGTGCTGAAATTGTCTAAGTATTTGGCGATTGAGGGAAGCACTGAGGCAATCTTTGCCTTACACCCTCTACTGTATGCCCATCATCCACCACCACAGAGGGTTATTAGATGGCATCTTTAAAATGCATTCCTATGTATACTTACTTAGAAGCAAGTCCCACTGAGCTCAAGTAGACACGTGTATAGGATTACAGACCTAAGTTATTTCTAGAATAAATCAGAGCACTTCAAGATCCATTCATGGTGAGGCCACAGCAGATATTGTAGATTAGGAAGGAAAGGTCCATCATGAAATGAAGCCCTGGAGCACATGATCCAGAGATTAGTTCTGCTGTCTAGAAATCAGTTCTTCAAAGTGAACACATTTAGGTAATGGAGCACAGATGCTTGAGTTAGTGACTTGGAAGAGCTTTGGCTATTGGCAGTGTAGAAAAATAATAAATTAAATGAAATCAGGTCCATTGTTTGACTGATTCCCATGGTACATTTCTGTTAAAGTCATTATGATTAAAGTAAGAATGATAATTCCAAAGTCTTTTCCAGCACAAGAAAAGGTTTAACAGCCCTAAGGTAAACTACTGAGTAGGTTAAATGTTACCAATTCTTGCAACGTCATGTCAAAAAATCGCCTACTATATGTTTTGCTTGACATGGAGCTGTCAGTAGTACAGAAATGTTTTCCTGGGAACAGGGGAGCCAACTGGCAAGCCTATCCACATAAATGACAAAATATATGCATCCTTATATATGTATGTGAATCCTTGATGTGAGCCAAAATATAATTTTAAACAAACTAGATCCTACATAGATTTTGCAGGGCAAATCTCTAGAACTAGTAATTAGATTCCTGACCATAGTCAGTGCTTTTTAAATTAAGACCTATTTTTCCCTTTTCCAAAGTTATTTCTCTGTTAGCATTTTTGTAGAAGAAACATTAAAGACACTATTTGCATCCTTTTTTTTAAAAAAGGAAGAAAAAAGAAACTACAGTGATGAATAGAACAGACAAAGGGAAGTGTTGGTAAACAGCTGCCCCTTCCCAGTCGTGTACCATGAGGCACAAATCGGTGAAGTTAGTTCCTAGTTTCCATGTCCTTAATCGAAACGAAGTCGCATAGACAGCTTGAATAAGGAACAGAGTATTATAAACGAAGAGCAAATGCGGTCTCATTACTGAGGCAAAGGTGGGAGAGGCATTTGAGAGCTCACGGCAGGGTCTTTGCGACACTCGAGCAAATGTACTCCAGCTATCTGGAAGCAAAACGATATTTTGAACGTTTACCCATGGAATTCTTTGTCCAACTTCAGGCAGCAAAACGGGGTATTCCGCGAAGTCAAATCAGAGTCTCACTGTGGAAAAGGAATGCGATCCTTACAAATATTTCCTCCAGAGAGTTCACGCAGATCTAACCCTTCCAATTTTATTTTGCTCATGACCCATCCGGCATGGCCCTGCAAACTTCAGGGGGCCACAGCAATAACCTCCGTAAGCAAAGCCACGTTACAGTATGAGAAGGTCAGAAGTTAGGCATGTTTAGACGGGGGAGGAAGCCTACAATTCCCAGCATGCTCTAGCACGACCTCCTCCCGCCTGCTTTTCTGACGTCACGCAGGACCCTGTTCCAAGACGTAGGGCGGTGACAGAGAGGCGGGGTGGGGCGGAGCCTGCCCGAAAGCAGGGCTTCTGTTATGGCTGCGCATGCGCTGGCTCCTGGGTGGCTGTTGGACCGAGCAGGTTGGGGCCGCTAACGGGTGAGTAGCGTGACGACCGGGCGGGGGATGGGGGGACGCGTCCCTGAAGGAGAAGCAATCCTCCCCCCGATAGATAGCCCCGCTGAAGAAAGCCTGAATTGACGGCAGCTCCAGGTTCCCCCCTTGAGGGAACTCTTTTGCCCTACACGCCATCCTGGCCAGCCCCGCACCCCGTCGGAAAGGTAATTTCCCTCCTCCAAGCTGGCAGCGATTTTAGTACCCTTGACCCCTCCCGGGAAGGAGCTGGCATGGCACAGTTCTCTGCCCCGTTACCTACATTAAGGGCGGAGAGCGGGGTGTGCAGTGGCCTGCTGACTGCTCAACGGCGGTTCAACGGGACAGGCCAGAATGGCTGTGATTGCAAACACAAACTCCCCTCCCCCAGTTCCCCCATACACACAGGCACGCGTGCGCAGACACCCCCCCCCCCCGGTTCCCTGAGCCTTTGCTTTTAACCACACATTTGGCATTGGGGGAAGTCGTAGCACGAAGGGAACGATCGTGTTCGTGTAATGCTGAGAAAAGTCAATCCTGGAGCATGTTGTGAGTCCTGAATGGTATGAAGGATTAATTGGCCGTTGCCTTACTCTTGCTTTAGAGAGAACAGCTTTCCAGCAGGTGGGGGGAACTTTGTTAATGTTGTTAAAAATGTTATATAGAAAGATAAACATTCTGTACATAACTGGATTGTTTCTTTCTTTGTCAGGAATGCAAGTATTGGCCAAAGAATTCTATGCATAGTGAAGGTGGAGCAGCTGCTTTTCATTTTTTGACCTGGAAGAAACAATTTCCTTTCCTAATTTTTGGCTTTTTTTTTTTTTAAACTCAGCCACTCCCTGAGGAATGCACAATTTCAGTTGATATTTTTCTGGGGGCCCTGTATTCCTTTTGGGATGGAGCAACGTGGCCTTGCTTAATTTCATGCTGTTCATCTTCTTTTCTTTTTTAGGGCAAGCATATTTTCAAAGTTGGGCTCTGGATCTTGGTGTTAGAGGCATCATTGACCAAAGGAAATGGAGGAAAAGGAGCGATGTGATAAATTTGATTTGACACTCTTGTGTTAGGGCCATGTAAAATATTTTCCAAGGGAAGACCAAGAGAAAGAAAGTTTCTTGTAAACTAAAGGAGGCGGGAGGGAGGGTGGGAGAAAAAATGATTCAGATTATTGAGTTACCTTTGCAACCACCCAGTAAAGACATCTATTAAAGCAACTGCAGGTTTGCTACTTGTGTGAGCTGGAGTTCCTATAAAGAAAGGAGCCATTTGCTTGCTTGTTTGCGTGTGGGAAGAAGCTTCACAAACTTTATCATCTTTCATCTTCGCATTCTACACCACGAAAGAAAAAATGAGTTGTGTGCCATGGAAAGGTGACAAAACCAAATCAGAATTTCCAGAAACACCACAGCTGACCCCAGTGCGTATTTATCATGAAAAACAGCGCAGGGAACTCTGTGCCCTCCACGCTCTCAATAATGTCTTCCAGGATGGCAATGCCTTTACAAGAGACACACTACAGGACATTTTCCAGAGGTAGGAAGAACTTGTTTTTGCCATCATTATAGTATTGTGGGATTTTTTGTTTGTTTGTGGGTTTTTGTTTACATTACTGCCTCCAAAATTCTTTATGAAATTGCTGAAAGAGAGAAGAAAAATATCAAGAATGGTAGCTCTGATTGCTGAATAGGCTTTTTCCTCCAGCGATTTCTTGAGCTCCCTCTGTGCAGTTCGCTTTTCATCTAGAGGCTGACCTGACTTTGTCCCTATCTCTGAGCAAAAGAAAAATCTACTTGGGGCTGCTTCACACATGATTTTTAATATGTCCAATTAGAAACTAAACATGTGCACATAACACATGGGGAGCCAGAAGTTGGCTGCAGTTTCCTGCTTGTGGGAACTGGCACCAGCTCATAATGTTAATTGTAATTTTTGTGTGATGGGCCTGGTAGTCCACTATTTAGCAACCATTGTTTACTGCAATCTCTTGTTTCTTTTCTGTGTCCAGTGTACCTGCATTCATGATTTACATAACAGTGCATTATATTTCCTATCTTTTTCCTGCAAAACAATAGTACCATTCCATAAAAATAGCATGAGTGGTTGATACTGGTTTTATTGTGGGGAGTATAGAGCTGAAAAGGGAGTCATTTTCAGTCTCATGCAAGTACTCAAAAATTTGTGAATCAAAATTCTCACATCTTTATGGTCTCAGCCCTATACACAGAAAAGGTGAAGTAAATCCAAATGAACTTAGACCAGTCTGAGGGGTGCTTTATTTTAAAGTAAAAATTCATAGGATATGCTGCATGTGGTGACAATTTGAAGATTTTATTGAAGATGAAAGTAGCTAATATAAATGGAATAGCTCCTGTGTTGTTTTTGCAATGATTTCTTGTTCCTGTGGGAATTCTGCTATTTGTCAAGGCTCAGAGGAATCATAATTTAAGAGCTAGTACGCTGAAGTAGATCCCCTTGATACTCAGCCTTTTGCTTATTGGAACTGAAAAATGAAGTTTGTGTAAATGTTCAAGAAACTTTAGAAAAGCTCTTATTGATGTGTAATTAAGGGTTTTGTGGCTTACATACTTATAATACTTGTACAGTTCTATTTGTATCTTTAAAATAGAATTGTAGAAGTGTTATGGCTGTCATTAAATAGCCAGCCAAACATTGGTCCCTACCACACAATAGAGAGGTGGTCCTTACTGATATTGTGAGTTCCAAAATGAAGCAAGGCAGAATCCCATCCCCAATTCAGAAAGTGGAACTGTCTGTTAACCTTCATTAAAGAGCTCTTGGTTCCTTCAAAGAAATCGTGGATGAACAAATACCATCTGGCTGTGGAGAAGAAGGATCTTTAAATGTTAAGTGTACTGAGGATAGCTCAGTTCCAGATGCTAGTCCTAATTACAGATTAAAGTTATTGGAACACCACATTAGCTGTATTTTGGCTGAAACCAGGATGACTTACCTTGCTTGCTTAAAAAAATCTTGATGTATGCATTTTACAGAAGTATCATGTAGGAAGTCTCAGATCATACCACTAAGAAATTTATTATTTTGTTTTTTAAAAAATACAGAAAATTCTATAGTAAGCAAGGTCTTTGTTATAGACCTAGCATCTGTTTAAAGTATAAAGTGTTGCTGCCATTAGGAGCTTTCTTTTTTTCTAGGTTTTATAAAGCTTTACTGAAGTCTTCTATAGGGTGGTAGTATCCTTACCAGGGATGTGAATCTGTTAACAGGAAAAATGATGGGCTTACTTTCTGGAAACTCTTAGCTGTTTAGGGCAAGGAAATATTCCATGGTCCTTGCTACAAATACACAGACAATTTGTTCATTTCCAACCATCTTTCCCAAATCTGGTCTACTTTGCCAGCATTCAAATATTTAAGACAGTACTGTCATCTTAAATGTTTGTACAATATGTTTCACATTCAGGTTCTCCCCCAATACCATGGTGACACCACACAAGAAGAGCATGCTGGGAAATGGGAACTATGATGTGAATGTCATCATGGCAGCTCTTCAGACCAAAGGTTATGAAGCAGTTTGGTGGGATAAGCGCAGGTAAAGAGAACCAAGAGGAGTTTGACTTCAGTGAAGGTGGCCACTTTCCAGTTGGATTTATAACTGAATACAACTGTCTTACCATTCTTGTTTTTTTCTGTTCAGGGATGTTAATGTAATTGCCCTCTCTAATGTGATGGGCTTCATTATGAATTTGCCCTCAAGTCTCTGCTGGGGTCCATTAAAACTTCCTCTTAAACGGCAGCATTGGATCTGCGTCCGGGAAGTGGGTGGTACTTACTACAACCTTGACTCCAAACTCAAGGTGCCTGAATGGATTGGAGGTGAAAGTGAGCTCAGGTAAGTTGTCTTCCATCTTGTCCTGTAAACCTGGGTGCAGATCTTTCTACATATTGTAAACTAGACTATATGGCCTGGTTTGGTTTTAAATTCTTTGTGAGAAGGAGAGAGTGAAATATTCCAGAAAAGTTGAAGAATGGAAGCAATGTGCATCCAGTCTGGATTTTATCTTGTACTCAAAAAGTGTGCATTTGTCACTATTTTAGACTTCGCTCTCCATTGGCATTAGAATAGTCTTTGTTAAATCTTTCATACACCTTCCTGCACTTTGCTGTCTTGCCCAACCTTGCCCTCTGTGATGGACTGCAACTTCCATCATCTCCACCTAACATACTGTGGGGATTCCAGTCCAGTACATCTGAAGGGCACCAGCATGAGGATGGCTGCTTTATTATGTATCTAAAAAAACCAACCAAACAAAACCTTGGTAGGTCCCTTGTTTCTGCTGTTTGTATGAACGTCTTAAACTAGACTTTGTAAAGTGTTGTATTTCAAATGCGATTTTGGCTGTTACGCAGCTTTACCCTAACTGGGCCTCTTCAGATGTTTGGCTAAAATTGTCACGGGGTTTTTCTTGCTTTTGGTGCAGAAACTATTAAGTACCTTCTGGAAATTGTGAATACAAATACATTTGTGAGCATTTCTGTTGTTCCCCATTTGTTTCCACAGGAAGTTTCTGAGACACCAACTGCGAGGAAAGAACTGTGAACTTCTGTTGGTGGTGCCTGAAGAGGTGGAAGCACATCAGAGTTGGAGAGCTGATGCATGACCTGAAACTGTCTTGTCCTCGCACTACAGAACTGCTCCCTACCACCCACCAATTGCTCATGTCCTGTGATGTGCATAATGAGCACTCCTAACTCCTCTTTCCTGGAACTCTGGATTGTTTTCCATTATATGGGTGCAATAAGGCAGCAGCAACATACTGTCAGGGCCAATATGAAAGGGAACAAGCTGGACACATACCGAGGGAAGAGGAGGAGGTGGAAGGAAGAGAGTCCTTCCTGTGCCCTAATGCATAGTGTGATTTAGGAGTGGAATGTTGGAAAACTCCCTTTAATTTTCTGCTTTCCCTTTCTTCCCCACAGTCTTAAGAGACTTTATAGTGGGTTGCACACTACTGTTTCCAAACATCCCCAAAGCTCATTTGGCTGGTATGTCTCCATGCAAAGGCTGGGGCCAAGCATGTTCCCTCCTTGTCTCCCTCCAACTCTAGCTGTGTTGAAGAAAATTGCAAACCACATGGGTCTCTCAGGAAACTCTAAATACTCTTATCAATGGTATGGTGCTTGTGGATCCCCTTTTGTAATAGTAACTGTGCCAAGGGTTAGGGGATAAATAGACAAAATGGGACCATCACTCTAGAACTCCCTTCAGGAGTTTGAGGTTTTTGTTTCTCATTCTCTTTTTATTATGTGACCTTTGTTGGTCTGAGAATAAAAAACTGAATAATTTGGGAAGGAGGTAACTAATTGATGCTTATTTAGAAGCCTCAAGGTTTTGTTTTTTTTTTAATGGTCCAGGTGTAGCCTGTTTGTTCTTGTTTGTCTGTGTTCTGTAATTCAGGGAAATATTCACTGAGCAGGGAATAAAACTATAGGCTGTTTGGGTATGGAATCTTGAAAAAAAGAACAGCCAAGTTTCATCAAGTATGGAGCTAATGAAAGGGCAAGTGTTCATTTTGAAGAGGAGTAACAGAAAACAAGATCCAAGGGCTAGATTTCTGTGGCCTTTGTAGTAAAAGTACCTGATGTAATGTCTAAGCAGGTCTGATGTAGGGGAAGACTGTCAACAGCAGACAGGCTAAGCCCATAGCCTTCCATTGGAATTGGCAGGTACCTAAACTCTCTTACTGCCCATGCTAAATTAGTGAAAAGGGCTGAAGACTGGAAGGAAACCAAATTAGCTTCCCTTGACATCTCACCCACCAGGTGTGCGTTGTTGTCACAGTTGGCAGATGAAATGGAGAGTTTGATCTTTCACACTTCCCCTTGAACCCAGGTTATTTTTTTGCATTTGTATTACTGCTTTTGCCAGCTTCATTTATTATTGGAACAGCAAAAATAGGATCCACTTTAAATGTTTCATACTATGGGGCAATTTACACCATTAGTTGGGAGGGCTGAAACTGACTTCTCTCAGAAGTCTTTAGCCTTCTCTCTCAGAATATAAGCAAGACACCTAAGCCAGCATTCCAACTATCTGAACTCTCCCTTCACTGTCAAATGCAGTATGAGTGGCATTAAGATAGGTCTTGTTTATTGACCTCTGGAGAACTTGTAGGCATTATACTGGAAACCTGAGTTTGACTTTACTCTGTTATGTACTATATAGTCCAAGCCTAATATGTCTATTTTTACTAAGCCCTCTTCTGGACTACACATTCCAATGACCAAAACCAGCTGGCAAAGTTTGTACAAACACTTTTCACAAGTAGAACGTCAGGCTTGCAGTTCTACTTCTGACTTGAAGCCATTTTTTTCAAATATTAAAAAAAAATCAGCAGGAAAGACTACTTAATTCTCTATGCTGACTAAAATAGCACTTTGGAGAGACCCTGTTTGCATGGAAGCCAATGGACCAGTGCACAATATGCAAATATATTTTTTAAAACTTAAGGCTGTTTCTCTGTGTATTTATGCCATTGTTCTGTCCCTAAGGAAAGTGTTGTGATTCAGCAGCTCAGGAAAAGGGAACATGTAATCACACACACCTCTGGACCAGAGTTGTGGCAACAGAGGTGAAAAGCCAGCTCAGTCCCATTACTGGGGAATGGAGAAGCCCATAATTGTTTTCTTGCTTGTTTGATTTGTTATAGCCTTGTCTTGGGTTTGTTTACAAAGATGTATTTTGTTTAACCAAAATATTAAAAATGAGAAAACCTTTGTGTTGAGTGCTGTAATAACATAAATGAAAAAATACATACATTGATACCCTGTTGCAGCCTTAGAGAATTCACATCTCTCCCATTTCACTACTGAGTACGCATGCAAAACAGACTTAATGCTATACTGGTGGTCTCACAGTATCCAACTTAAAACAAGCAAGATGTGAAATTCAACCTAAAATATTAAAGAGAACACGCACCATGAGTTCACTGAAACTATTTAATACAAAAATTTTGTGACTGACTTCAACAACAATAGATTCAGCATGGCGAGTTAGCCAAAATGACTTCCTGCTTTCCTTTCTTTTCAAACAATACATTGTAGGATATGCAATTTTAGGTACTTCATTACATAGAATTTAGTGTATGATAGGGTCTCCATCTATTATACCACCTGCTTGCTTTGAAATGGGTCGTATATAACAGGAGTAACACAGGACTATTTACATAGACAATATAACTGGCTGAAGTTAACCAGAATCTGATGTGTCCTGAGGTGGTTCACTGGAAGTAAGGATACCAAACAAAACTTCTAAAATATTTGTAATTGCTTATAACATCGACTGAGGAGGTAGATGGAAAAGTCATGACTGCCTAAAAATGGGAAGTGAGGCTATTTCAGGAGATCCAGAGTGGGGTTCTGCTTCCATTGTGAACAGGTAAATGTTCCAAGATTTAAAGAAAAAATGCCCAGCCTAATCAAACAGCTCAGACAAATGATTTCAACATTTCCTGCCATGATACGGCTCAATGTAGCTTCATTACATCTTCCCAGGAAGAGAAGGCAAAGCACCTGGCATTCCTCCAGACAATCCTGTGTTGGGTCCTAATAAAATCTGAAAAAATGAGAAAGGATCATAATGATTCACCAGCATGCAAGCCTGTTTACAACTTACTAATGAGGAGTTTCTACCATATGGGTCACATGTCCCACAGTTTGCACAGCTCTATTCATACAGTGAAAAACAGCATTTCCTTTTGACACTCTTTGACACCTTTCATTATAATGAATACTTTACATTTGTTCACACAGCTCAGCTTAAGATGAGTGAAATGACAGAAGATTGCTAGTACCTGAGGCAAACCAGTATTATTAATATCTGCCTTATAATCTGAAGTAGTTGGTATTCTTGCTTTGTCTCATCTGGTGAGAAACTCAGCAATACTAGGCTTCAATGTTTGAGTCCCCGCATAGGTGATTAAGAAAGTTCCTTAATACCTAAGGAAAACTGGCTTAATTATGCTTGCATCTAAATATTGACTAATTTTATTAATTTAACATGATTTTAGTATAATTCAACTATTAAAATATTCAGTGAGCACTTCTCTAGTATCACTTTATATTTGTCTATGTAAGCTGCCCAGAGAGCTTTTGGCTAAGAAGTGCAGCAAATAAGAGCAATAAATAACATTATAAAAAGTCTAGTTTCTTTTGCGGACTGTGTTCACCTATGATTTGTCATTATGTGCTGTCGCATCATCTCCAACTTATGGTGACTCTAGGTGTGAAAGCTCTCCATAATGCCCTTTCCATTACAGCCTTGTTCAGCTCTTGTAAATTCAAAGTGATGGTTTCCTTTATGGAGTCCATCCATCTCATGTGGACTGACACAATAACTTACCCAAACACATTTTTACTATAATGGTTTTCATCATTGGAAGAAAATGTATTTTAAACACAAATTGCAGCCCTGTTATCTTCCAGCCAAAGATATTCAATATTCAAATACATGGCTCTTGAACAAACAGTATATATTCGAGTATTGCTAGGAAGAGAAACACTAGCCTTGCCTGCTGTACCTGCAATGAGGAATTCCTTCTATCTACCTTGACTGGACAAAATAGAAACTTTCACCAAAGCAATTTGGTCAAAGTTAACTCAGCAGCCAGTTGAGTTAAATTCTCAGCAATACAGTTACATTTTCAACATTTTAATTGTTAAATTATACTAAAATCATGTTCTACAATAATAATTTTGTCTATATTTAGCTGCATAAATTATTTTCTAAAACCAATTTTGCTTAGGGATTAAGAATTGGTTTTGGAATATTTGTGTATGAATAAGGAATTTCTGTTAAGAGTGGCACTTATAACTATGCAACTTTTAAAAGGTGGCATGTGTCTATAGCCAGTTTAGTGAAACCAACAACAGTTACAGTCAAATTCTACTCTTCCCAAAGGAAAGAGGTGAGTAATGTGATCCCTCTCTTTGTAAATACAGAGCAGAACACGATGGTATATGCTGTAATTTCTCATGAACACCCCTGCCAATTGTTTTCAGTCACATGCTTTGCCTCAAGGACCCAGGCCTCAGTGCCTTAAAATGTACCAGCACTTAAGGGAATTGAGTCAGCATGCTGTTTTGTACTCTTCAGATAAATATAATTTGGCCAGAATGTAATCCAGAAGGTAGCTATGAGAAGGAAAGCGGAGATGCGGATCTGCATTACATATTGTATCAGCAACTGCAGTGACTGCATAGAATGGTGTGAAAGTTCATATAAACTAAGAAGGTAAGTTGCATCTATGTAAAAGGGATTACATGTAGTAAGTTGGGATGTGCTTTGCAGTGAAAACACATATAGCAAAGAGACCAAGGATACATGTATGTAGAATGGAAGATACATAATAAAGAACCACATTAAATTAAATTAAATTGGTACATTTGAGTGTTTCAACAGCTAATTTTGTACACTTTCCAGGATCAAGTGTGCTACTCAGCAGATGATGGGAAAAAGAGTCACAGACAAAAGGCACTCATTTTGAAAAAGATTAAGATACCTGAATTAAAAAGGTTTCAGAAGACAATAATTCTCACCTGCCGTTGCTGCATCTGCTGCTGCTGCTCCATCTGGAGTTTCTCTGTTTCAAAAACAACAGGAAGAACTAGGATCATGAAGGAAGTGGTCCCAATCCACAAAGCTGCCCTGGAGAACCTTTAGTGGGAAGAAGGCCAGAAGCAAATATTTTCTATCCTTGTTATATTAGAAAGGACTTGCTCTAAATTCTCATTAGCCTATTATTTCACTTAAATTTCTTCACAAGCTAGGGAACACCTGCGTCCCTGAACCCTACAATATTTCATTATTCTATTTTTACTTCCGAGTACAAATTCTCCAAAATACATATGCACCATAATTTAAAATTCCTTCTTGCTTTTACCTACCAATATTCCACTGAAATGCATCATAAGGAATTAGTAAATCAAAGGAAAAAATATATAAAAGGTACCCAACATTTGGTCTCACACCATAATTTGGCTCCCTGTTTTAAGAAACTCAAAATTTCTCTAACTTTTTCAAATAGAACATTTCTAGATTATATGTTTGTGATCTTGGAGATGGTATGTGAGAAAAGGTCAGAAGCCAAAACTATCATTTCCAATAGTTTCAATAACCTGCAACAAATTTTTTATTTTATTTTATTCTCTTACTTGTTGTATTCCAAGATGTTAGGATAGGTGCCCAATAATATCCATAGGATAAAATGCCAATTCAGTTAATCTGACAGACTGCAATAGATTCTATTAAACATAAGGGAGTTGGCAGCTTAGCAAAGATAAACCGTGTACAAATATTGGAGAAAAGTTCTATAAAAAGCTCTATCAATGGAATTTAATCCACATCATCATCACAGACAATATATGTAAAATCTCATTCTACTCCCAGCATGTTTTTTTCCTTCCTGTAACTAATATTGGTCTTGCATTTTATTGTTATAGGCCGCTGAATAAACCAACAGGGTTCTCTAAGCAGAAAACATCTGATAAGTTCTAGTATAAAGATATTATAGGATAATTAGTTAATTCTAGATCTGAGTGATATTTTATTGAGGATGCAATCCTATGCATGTCTGGACAGAAAAAAACCCTACAAGTCCCAGCATCCCTCAGCTAGTCATGCTGAGTACTTTAAGGCTTTTTTCCACTTAAACATGTCTAGGATTCTTCCTTGAGTGCCATAACATAAATTGTTGAGGTATCACACAAATGTCTGATTTTATTAGTGGTGAGAATTTTGGTTGCCTGAACAGAATTTTGGTTGCTTGTACATGGTACTCCAGAATAGTTAAAAAACAGACGGTTTAAAAACAAGATTGTGTACATCAAATTAAGAAAAAACTCAGAAAATAAGTTCATGTTTATTTCATTGGAAGTTCTTTTGTTCTTTTTATTAGGTAACATAACACACAATTTGTGTAATTTGGAAATACAGTTAATTAGGGAGCAATCCTATGGTCTCTAGACATTAACTGAGGGACCAACAGGATTTCTTGGGCTCCCAGCTGCCAGATCAGAACCTTTGCTCCAAATCTGAAGCTGGGAATCAAAGCTGTCCCCCTATCATTTGTCCCCCTGCAGAAATAATTGTGCCATCTGCTCTCTCCAAGCCTGGAAAAACAACCAGAATATAGAAGAAAATGGTTTTACAGAAATGGGGGAGGGGGGGGCACTAGAGCAGTCAGAATAAAAGGTATCCTGAAGCCACTCTTGCCTCCTCCTCCTTTGCCACTCTGACATGTTTCACTAAGTAGGCATAAAAGCCCATATAGCAAAAATGTGGACAGGGAGGCAAATATCACCTCTGTTACTTCTCCCACTCTGCATTAGAGACCTGAAGAATAATATACAGTGCATTTAACTTACATCTATTTTATGCTTATATTTAATAACTTATGAATATATATTATGTTTCTATACATGTAATTTGTGTTACAGTGGTTTTCTTCCAGCCAAGTGTTTAAGGAATGAAAGGCCACAGCTATTTAATCAGAAGGACCTTTTTTGCTTAGAACACAAAAATGGGGAATTACTAATATTCTCAGGATAGTTATCCAAAATTTCTTTCTGACAAAAATAAATACAGCAAACTGTCTTTACCCACCCAAATCGGTTAACCAGTCTCTAAATTATGCAAGTCATTTACCTAGATGGAAAGATACTGATTGTGAACATGCTTTCTGGTTCATATAAATTACATTCACTTCAAAGCTCTTTTTGGTTAAATCTTAAGAATTAGAATTCTCACTCATCCAATTATTTCTTGCCTCACACTGAAAAAGAATCACATGCTGCATAATGTGCAAGAGCTCACCATGAACCTCCATTAAATTTAAAAATGCAAATAGTGTCTGCCTCTGAAACAGTTTTGAATTCTTTGAATTGAACGAACCAGTTCAACATTTGCAACACTGAAATAGTAGCAGCTAGCCTTAATTGCTCACAAAATGCATACCACACTCTCAGGAAGTATACCACACAATTACATCTATGCATCATCTGTAGGACCTTCATTTATCATTTCCCCTTCATACCTGTACATTTTCTGGGCTACAGAAAGGGACACATCAAAAGTAGCTCCAGCTGCAGAACGAACACTCTCTGGGAACATCTCTGTCAAACCCCAAAGCCGCTCTGCCAGTGTCTCATCTAGCTGCAACGGAGGCAAGAAAAATTAAGGATGAGAGGCTGCCAGAAATCCCTTTCATACATCTCCCCCTGGAATCCCAACCAAAGTGGTGATGTGCTCTTCCTTTCACAGAGGATAATCCCCTGAAAGCATTCTCTATTTGAAGAAATGTCCAATCCAAATCCAGTTTTGTCCATCACCCAGAAACAAGCAAGATGCACATATTTCTACATAAATTATAGCAATTAATTATAGATTTGCATCTCTCTATATAGATCAAAATATGTAAAGCTTATGCAAATAGGGTGGTCTTCCGTCATCTTTTTTGGTAATGCAATTATTTCTTAGGGGCAATTGAGAAGCAGCCACCCTAATGACGACAGCCAATGCACGCCTCCAGCATTGGCCCTTCTGCTAAGCCCCATGCATCCTGCAGATCCTGCAAGCCTTTTCCCAAAACACAAGGAACGCACGTAGCACCCCCCACCCCGCTCCGTTGAGCCACTCTCACAGGCCCTTAAGCAATCTTCTCCAACCTAGATGCGCAAGGCTACAACTCTCCGCATTCTCCAACCATGAATGCTGGTTGGGGAACGTTCGGCGTTGCAGCCCAACGTATCCCTAGGGCATCATGCCGGCGGAGGCCGGCCTAGGCCAAGCCGAGCTGCCCCGCCCCCAAAAGGGGTCACCTCGCACATGGAAGGGTGTCGTCCGGCACTGCAACCGACCGAACAGGCCCCGTACCTCCTCGTCGTCGTCCTCTATCTCCCCTTCCAGTTCCTCGGCCTTCCCCGTACCACTCTTGGACAGCAGAAGATCCTCAGGAGACAAGGGTGTCCCGGAGGCCATGGCTGCAATGTGAGTAACGGCAGCGAGGGGCCAAATAGAGAGGCCGGCAGCGGATCGAACGTTACCGGAAGCGAGGAGAGAGGCGCTGAAAGAGCGGCGCTAGCGACATACAGTAACTCCGCGATGGCGCGGCGACGCCTAGTGGCGAGGGGTAGAAATGAAGGCGCGATCTGGAACAGCGGCGATACGCTCACCCCCAAGGTAGCATGCGGACTCACTTGAAACCATGGCAGCAGCTACTGAGGTGTGCAGTCTTGGTGAGTTACGGAAAAACCGCAAGAAAATGCTGCACTACCCCCTAGTTTGCTAGCAGCGAAGGCAGCTGACTCCTATGTCAATGGAACTGTCATCAATTGCAACTTTTTTTTAGATTCATAGTTGCTATGGTGGGTAACCTGCTTTGAGACTGAGTTCATCACAGTGGATTGCTCATATAGAGCTCAAAATAAAAGCCGCAAAGGACAAAGAGCCCCACTAACAGAAGAATCATTAGCCTCTTGGTGCAGCAGAGCACCAGTTTAAGTGCCAGCAAGCTTTCCTCATAATAAAAATGTAAGGAGGCCAGACAAGGCATTCCATCCTGACATGAGCCCCGCCACCCTCCATTTTTATCCTCTAATTCATACTCACCACTGCCTGATTACTGAGCATGCTCAACCCTTATTGGACAGAGTTTTTGCTTAAGTTTGCACTTAGAAGTTACTATTTTATTGCATTGGTATCATGCCATCCTGCCATGAGCTGGGAGCGGGGGCTCCTGGTTTTATCCTCATAAAGAAACCTGTGAGGTAGCTTACACAAACAGACTGGCCAGAAGTATGCCAAACAGGGTGCAGGGCTGACAGGCAACTTGAACTCTGCTGTCTTCCAGTCCTAGACTCACGTGCACAACTGGATGCTCTCCAGATGTTTTTAAACTACAACTTCCAACATTTCTGGACATGCTGCTCGGCCAGATGCAAGCTGAACTACAAAGGACACCAGGTGGAGAAGCCTGCTTTGCAAGTTAAGAGCCAGTGTGGTGTACGGCCGTAACTGTATCAGCATTT